GCGCAGAGAAGAAATGGGAAAAGAAGACGAAGGACGATGAATTGGCGAATGAATGGCCAAGAGCAGCCTGATTTTTTGGGGAAGAGGGTCTCCCCTTCATTATTTCCCTTTCTTCGTTTTAATTGCATGTTCACAGACAATGAACTTCTGGGACATGAACGATATTGGACAGCTGCACAGAGGGATACTGTAGCTTGAGTTCAAAAACTTCTAGACTATTCTAGCCAATTCCACTAACTTGTTTGCATGTCACAATTGCTTATTGTGCGACTTATTTGTCAATGAATTCTGATTGAATTGCAACCAAAAACGACAGGGAAAGAGTCGGAGAACGAGGAAATAAAGGAGGCAATTGGGGGAGGAAGGGCGGAAAAAAAAATGGAAACATCTCGAGCAGGAAGAAAATGGACGAAACAAAAAGTGGTCGGATTGGTTCGAGGAATGGGACAAGTTCCCAGAGAAATGAGTCAGTTTGGGGATGAACGGACCGAAAAAGAAGGCGTTTGCAGGAAGGAAGAGGGCGAGACGCAGACAGGAAGGAAAGGAGGTGAACTTTTGACGATGGCACTTCCGAGCACTGCTTCTTTTTAGTTCCTCCTTGTCCCGACAGTATCCGAGGACCACCCCGACCAAACTCCAGTTCATTAACAATTCATTCTTATCACCGCGTCGCATGTCGACCCTACTCTTATTGCAAAAAATGCTCAATGGCCCTTGAGAATCTGCTGCAACTCTTTCTCAACTCCAGACCGAAAAGTGCTTAGTATGTCTTGTGTTTCGATAAGAAGAGGGAAATAATAATGAAAAAGCGAATGAATGCAAGAAGCGATAAATTGAGGAAAAGAAAAGAGGAAAGAGCAGCTGGTTGCTCCATAAAACACACCTTATTGCCCGGGAGCACAGCGATCGGGAAGAACAGAAACGACGGTGATAAACATGATTGGAATGGAATCGCCGAGAAAACGACGGACAAAATGATGGGCAAGAGGTGTCAAGTGCCTCGGATTACGGTAGGTGTTTGCAAGAAGAAGAAGAAGGGCGTTCTTCTGAAATGCACCGAAATGTCACCGATACCGAAAGGGATGCGCACGTAGCAAAAGGGGGTAAAAGTCGAGTCTTCTACTGTCATGTCGTTATGAATAATTCAGCATCGACAACGAGACTCTCTCTCTCTCTTTTCTTCTTCTTCTTCTTCTTCTTCTTCGTCTCCTCCTCCTTCGTCGTCCATCCGAGTTCTCGAGTGGGAGGATAGAAGGTCCGAATGATGACGGAGAAAGAAAGCGAAGCATCTCAGAACAACATGGGCGGTACGGAAGAAGGATCAGAACGATACTACCTTTAGTAGTATCAAATGCTCAAGGAGCGTATAATATGTGGGGGAGGAGGAGGTATCGGATACCTTTCTGGCTCGAACCTTTGCCTTTTCCTCGGCGGGTAAACAATGGAATTGTGCCCCCCTCCTAGTGCTGTTGTTTTGAACACGGAATGTTGCGGAAATCCCCAAATCCGCCTCTAGATTCTCTTCTTTTTCGTATTTTCTCTCGTGGCTAACCTCGAAATGACACCGTTCAGTGGCAATTTTGAGAATGTCGAAGGTGAAAAAAGTGAAAAACGTTTTGAGAAAACGGAAGGGAAACAAAAGGACAGAGACTTATTCTTGGATTGGTTTCAGATAAAGTTTGACCGGATCGGCTGGAAAATTTCATTCTTTGCAGAAGCCCGAGTGCATTCTTCTGTTGACACAACCGATCACCGCGGAAAACGAATAAGGCGACAGAACGAGGAAAACGGAAGAATAGGGGGAGGTGTTTTAGTGTTCGCAATTCGGTAAATGATTAGAGAATGTTTTGTGGAAAAGTGAAAAAGTTCAACGACGAAAACGGGTGGGATCGGAGAGGATCAGACGCAGAGGGAGAGAAAGAGAGAGCGCGAGAGAGAGAGAGAGAGAGAGAGAGAAAAAGAGCAATCAAAAAAACAAAGAACACAGTCTCGTTGTCTCTCGTTATCACAGTCTGTGCTCCGTGAACGTGAGAGTTGCCGAGAGAGTCCGCGAAGAGCACAAAAGAGCAAGAGGGAGAGCGGGGGCGGCGGGGATGACTCAAGAGGATACAGGCAGTTGCTGAGGCTGCTCTCGCTCACTGTCGAACTGAGAAAAGCCAAAATGGATATGATGATGAGGAGCGGGCGGAGGGAGTTGTTGGCTCCGCGAGCCCTCGAAAAGAAAGGCAGAGAGAGAGAGGGAGAGGGGGCACGGGGGCATTTAGATAGAAAACACTTGAAATTCAATTGGATCGGGGGCAGGCCTTCAGGAAGCGGGCTGAAGGGTGCTCGAACACCTCCAAACTCTTTTGTTCCAGCGGCAGGGAAGTGGGGCCAAAGTTTGGAGGATTTCGAGAAAACATGGCAACAGGAAGGATTCTCTCTTTCTGTGGAGCACAAGAAAGGGGTGACGTCACTCGGAGCAAAACAGCAAAGTGGCACGAACATTCAGAAACCGATAGTATTAGAGTTGTGCCAACCTCGTGTTACAAACCAAAACCCAATCCTTCTGGTTTCCCATGACATTTCAAAACTCAATTACTGCCCCAGTTTTCCGCCTTCTCGGCATTGGAAACGTTTTCTGAATCGCAGCCGATTCTCCTTTAAAACCCCCTCAAAACGACCAAAAACGGAAGTGTATTCCCGGAACTTCCGGTTCTATTTTCAAAAGAAAGAAGGTGGAAAAGAGAGAGAGAGAGAGAGAGAGAGAGAGAGAAATTTCAGATGCAAAGGAAGGAATCATGTTCATTTGGCTGGGAAAGTTAGAGAAAAACGAGGCGAGTTAAAGAGTAATTAGACGGGGAAAAGAACCATTGGAAGATGAGAAGCGAGCGGAAAACAGATGAATTACGGCAAGAAAACGAGGAAGTTGTAGGTCAAAGAAGAAGAAAAAACCGATAATTGAAGTCTGTCCGTCGCCTTCCGTTATGCAAATTTCGTGGGAAAAACGAATTTGCCTCGACCGGACTGCCTAACTCTGTTCTTTTGTCAAGTGCATTCCTAGGCGACCGGAGTATACTGTACGCGTGTGAAATGAATGGGAAGAACGTGTGAAACGAATGAGCGGTTCATCGAGAAAAGAAAACAAGTCATTTTCCCGGGAAAACTGAAAGTGCCCGCCGCAATTTATCACTGGAGACGGCAGGAACCAATGAATATTCAGAGCTGTGCAGAAAGTACACGCTCCCACTGTGTCCCCTCCATTCGAAGTATTCAATTTCGCTCTGAAAAAGACAAAAATGAGACGGGCGGTCCGTGGAAGACAAATCGCCGTTCTTTCGGGTGGGATTTGGAAGGCAAACGGAGCACAAACGGACACTCGTTCCGTCGTAAAAAACCGAGAAGAAGAGGGAATGAAAAAAGTGGGAAAATCATGAAATGTTGCCTGGTGACCAGTGATTTATTGGATGCCAACTGTCACTTTTCGAGAAAACTTGAAAGAAAAATTACCAAGATTTCGACAAAAAAGGCAAAATAGAAGCGAATTGCAGAGAAGGGAGCAATTATTCGGAGGCTGATGATGCAGAAGAAGAGATAATTGGGTCGGATTCGGAGGGTTCCGGATGGGTTTGAGCATCAGAAACCGAGCAAGAACGAGAATGCTCTAATCAGCGATCAGCTAGGAAGTCATTCACAGTTGAATGAACGGGATATTCCGAAAGATTTCATTTCCTTTTCTTTACTTGGTGCGGGAGCAATCGTCTTCAGAAGGAAACATGTTTTGTTTGTCAACCCAAAGTACAACTTCTTGTTCTGAAGAGGAGAAGAAGAAGAAGAAAAAGAAAAAGAGGGCAAAAGGTGTGGAATGAAATAAACACGGAGCTGATTTATGGCTCGGCGAGCAGCACGGAGCCGCGCGCGCAGGTCAGGACGGAACAGCTGACTGCAGGACGCGCGGGGCAAAGTGGACACAACACGCCGTCCGAAGCGATTCATCACTCCGGTACGAGCAGCTACTCGTTGTTTTGAGTGGAGAGGACAAGTTCAGAGGGTGTATGAATTGGTGCAACATATTCACAAATCACTGGGAATGTGACAAATTTCACGGGAATCCTCGGGCGCGGAGGAATCCAAGAATGCCACTCTAGACGAAGGCAAAAATGGGAAAAAAGAAGAATACTCTTGCGAAAAAGAGACAAAACGGTCGGTTGTTCGCATTTTATGGGAAATCGTAAAATGACCAAAAGTTCTCGACTCGGACGGCGTCTTTTTTAGTTTCTCAGACGTCCGCGTTACGGGAGCGTTCTGGAAATCAAGAATGCGAATTTCCAGACATTCTTTCTTTCTCAAGACGTAAACGGAACAATAGAAAACAAGCTCGAAAAAGTATGAATGATTCAGTTCGAGAGCATTTTCAGAAGACAACGCCACGTCATCAATCATTCATTACGGGCTGAAAGTGCCGCCACGGAAGAGTCAGAAACTGTTGGCGTGAGAAGAAGTGAACGGAACGTGGGAAATCGGGAAGAAGTACTTACAAGAGGAAGGATCAGAAAGTTTCAAGTAGGCGTCGTCGCTCTAGATTCTGACGGAACTTCATCTTGAGGGGGACTGTCGGGACCAAACGGACGGCGCCCTAATTCCCATTAATCTCCCCGCTCCTTTCCTCATTTCTCTCTTTCTCTCTCAAAAACTTCTAAACAAACATTCGTTTCCCGCCTCCTTTTTTCCCATTTTTCATCTAAAAAACTCGAGAGAAGTGCATCGAAAAGGCGCGAATCGTTCTCGTCTTCTTTTTCTTTTCGTTGTGTGCATAAACGAGAAATAGAGAGGGCCACATATCGAATTGCTCTTTCTCTTTCTCCCCCTTTTCCAGATACTCCGTGTTTGACGATGATGTGATATCAGTGGAAACATGAGAGAGAAAGAACGGGGAAACGCAACAAAACAGTATAAAAACGGAAAAAAGGTAAGTAGCCTTTCAAAACTGCGCAAAATGAAGCTTGAAAAAAGAAAATAAACTAACGAGCAATGGATCCATTCCACGAATACTTTGGATAAATGTCGACGGAGACGGCGGAGACTGTGCTCATTTTGTGGTTCACCATCGACATGCTGCTCGTCTTCCGTCCGTTCGGAATCATTTCACGGTTCTGGTACTGAAAATTTGACTTTGGGCTCCCCGACGTTTCGCAACTCGGCATTCGCAATGTTTCGCAACTAACGTCAACTGTCAGAGTTCACGTGGGTATCGAGACGTCGCGGTTTCAGAAACGTCGGGAGCCACACTTCGCAGACGGAATCGTGTTTGGAGTGAGTGTTGCTCCGATTCGGCGACGTTTCGGGAGGCTCATCAGACTTCTATTCAAAGATTTTTGGGCAAAATAACATGTTCCGGGCATGAGACATTTTGAAATTCGAGTCAAACGAGAAGTTCTACAGCAAAGACTAGGAAGTTATTACATCAGAACCCGACAATATTATGAATCTTATCAAACGGACCCTTACCATCGAAAACGTGTCCTTCCTGGGCGGTTGGCTGAACGCGGACGGCTTCCGGCCCCCTCCGGCCACATGGGAATGCGATTTCTCCTGCAGAAATCCATCCAAGAGTCCTCCGAACGCCATTCCTCTGCAATCCAAAATAACACTTTGTACCATCATCAGAATTCCAGATTCAAATTTGGAACGCAAACGAAATATCAATGAAACGAGTGAGGAAAACAAGAAAAGAAGGCGAAGAAGGCTAAGATGAAGAAGAAGAAGAAGAAGAAGAAGAAGTCTGAAGCGGATGACTATGGAATTGGTTGGGGAAATTAGGCGAAAACATATTTTATGAGTGAAGCAAGAATGCCTCTCGCTCGGCTCCAACTCAAAGTCATTCACGAGCTATGGTTACACGTCATCCGTCCGTTCGTTTCGGTTGACGACCGCCAGAAAAGATGGCGATTTGATTTATTTTCTCTCTCGTTTGTTTTTTGTTTCGTGTTTTCTAACGGCAACGAATAAAGTGATGAAATTTCTAATGACAAGTGGACGTCCCAAACTTAATACTTATGAAATACTGTAGCTCAAGCTTTCTTGACAGAAATAGAGACCGATTCAGTGGAAAATGTGTAAACTGAAAACGTGAACAGTTAGTTTTCACCTGTCCATCTGGGGATTGTTATTCTAGATAGGTGATCAGCGAGCAATGCCAAGAAGACGTGATCAGTTCAGACGACATTTGGGTGTCTGGAAGGATTCCACGAAGGAACTGAAAGTGATAGTTCTCAAATGACATTGGGATCCACCCGACAGACGAACAAAACACACCGCTTCGAAATATGATCACGGGAATACAAAAACCGAAGGGGGCAGGTGTGTTTGGCTCGTTTGCACGGAGCCCCTCCCCCCAATGACACTTGTTTTTGTTGCTCTCTGTGAGCCGAGAGAAGTTCGGGAGCAGTGGGAGCCAAGGGGCATTTGAGAACAGCTGATGACGGAATGGGGGGAGGAGGGGGAGAGGAAGTGATGGGTCGAACACGAGTACTACTGCCACTACTACTACTACTCACAGACATATCACGTTCAATTCTTTTCTCGTTCCGGAATTATTCACGAGCGTCGTGTGCTTTCTGATGTCTCTGACAAATGGAACAAAACGGGAAACAATACCAAAAGGGCACGAGACGATTAGTCCGAATCCGAAGAGCGGTAAACACCGCCGTTCCGAAAGAGACCGGAATGAGCTCGGGCGGCTCCGTTTCAGCCCAAACACGGGCGAACTCAATTTCGAGACCACAGTCAGAGTCAGCTCGTTAGCCCAGAAGCCAAAATATGCTGCTTTCAGAGTTTTGGAAAATATGATTTTGAGTCCAGTCTGTCACGTGGCACACACCCGGAAGTTGTGACGCGGAAGACTGTAGCGAGAAGGTGTTTCTGGAATTGAAAGAAGGCGAAAGAAAACGGAAAGGCGGCCCAATTAATTCGATGAATTAACGTGGACGGCACAAAACACGAGCTCGATGACATGATTCTCTCCTTCGTCACCGCTCCGTCCTGCTCCGGCAGAAGCCTTCCCCAAGGTGCTGGTGCTTTGATTTCTACTCCAAATTAAGAATTCTCATCACGGAATCACTCGAATTCCGGGCTGAAAATAGTAGCCACCAACCAGGTCATCCAGCAGCCATTTGGGACCAAAAACCGAAATCGCACCCACTGAAAATGTTTATTTTATTAGTTACAAAAAAGGAGAAACGAAATTTCGAATTAATCCCACCGCGTTTCTCGCTGTTTTTCTTTGTTCCACCCACTAGACGCAATGCGATTTTTCATTTCGCCGGTTTGTTCTGACATCATTTCGGGGGGTAAAATTGAAAAAAAACGGGGTAAATGGGCACGGAAATGGGACATTTTCCATGAGAATTGTGACGATTCAGATGAGAATGTCTTCGAAATGATCTCATTTCATTTCATTTGGATGAGAAGGATTACTTTCGGAAAAGGAGGAACAAGAAAGGTCAAGTGGCTTTTGCAGCAGAGTCTCGGGTCATTCGGCCGCCAAAAGAAGGATGAGGCCCTCCCGAAGACGCTTAAATTCCATAAATTTTAAATTCGATCGAACAGCTTCGGGCACTCATCAACGGAAAAGAAATGGCGGCCAATGGTTCCGTGTTTTAGGGAAAAAGAGAAAAGTTCAGGAGATGAGGTCAGAATTCCGAGTTCAACAAGAAATTATCCGACGTGCGAAACTGGAAAGAGCTATGCAAATCAGAGGAATCCTCCTACTCTCTCTCTCTCTCTCTCTCTCTCTCTCTCTCTCTCTCTCTTTCTCTTCTCCCACGCCTTCAACCTTTCGGAAAACAAAACGAACATTCGGATAACGTGGAATGAACGGAAACGGGCGGAACGATGGAAAAGTGTTCCCAGGAGGCGAAACGGGGTCAAAATAAATAAAATAAATTGACGGAACAGAGGGGAAACGGAAGGAATTGAATGATTTCACGGCTTCACAACAGTCTCTCTCAGTTTATTGTCCTTAAAAAGAAAACACTCGAATGTTTATGGGGGACCACGAAACATCGGCCAGAAGAACCAGAGTTCAGAAAGGAAGGGCAGAAACGGAAAGTGTAAAGTGATCATTGGGTGCCATTTTTATCACACTTCAACACTTTTTCGGCAAGAACCCACCGACCATTCTTTGCTCTTTCCTCTAGAGATTTCGTGTCGATTATCCGCTCTTCAAGTGCCTTTTTCTTCAACAATTCTTCATTTCTTCCGTCATTCTCTCTCTTTTCCTTTCGCTTTCACTTGTTTCATCACGGTTTACGAGCAGCCATCATCCCCCATTAAAGGAATTGCGGAGCAGATTGCGGAGGAGAGCTTTTGATGGTTTTTAGGGACATTTCGGATACCCTGAGCCAGAATTGGAAAGAATTGGAAGTGGGCGGAATGCGGGGGAAAGTCTCGTGGATTCGGATGGACCGTCTTCTGAAGAACGACGTCTTCTGCCGCCTCGCCGTTGAGAATTTTCTCGGATTTGTTGATGAGTTTTCCTGTGCTCATTGGCTCAATTGTTCAGAAACAAACACCTTCTCCTGCATCCAGCAAAACAGGTTTGTGCTCCAGAATAGAGTTGGAGCACGAACCAGATGACGCCAATTTGATGAATAATCTGGAGAAAACAAGAAGGAAATAGAGAGAAACTTCACGAAACGCCCCGAAATATCACATGAATCTGTGGGAATGAGGATGCTCTGGAGAAGGGGAGCAAACATGAATATTCAAATGTTTCGAGTGATTGGGAAGAGCAGGTAGCCCTGCGTTGGATGCTTTTTGAGCCCATACGGAGCCAACGAGGAACCCATTTTTGATGCGGATCCCGTTGGGTTTCTTGCAGAAAGTCTGAATCAACTGAAAGTCAGGAGAAGTTGAGGAGAATGAGGGACGAACGAGTTTCTCGGCCGGAAAAACTGAAGCGGCGTGAATTCAAACGGAACGGGTTGATCACAGAAGTCACAAAACAGAAGAGTTTGCGGGAACAAAAGAATCAGTTGTGGTGGCGTTTTCCGAGCAAAAGTGGCTATCAAGGTGGTGGATTAACACTCAATTGAATAATTGCATTCTCGGCTGGTGTGTGTTCTGTTTTCTGACAAACAGAGTATTCGAAAACAACAGCAAGGCTCCGAGCACTTTGGAAAAACAAAATAAAACGGGAATTGTTGAGAAGTTAATGGGCTTAAACGGCCCCCGGAAGCGCGGATGCTATTGTCGCTTCCGGAAGTGCACTTTCAGCCGCTCGAGACGGTTTCCCTGTGTCTGTCCATCAAAGTTCCACATCGTGCGATCACAGAACTGCCGTTCAAAAGCCGTCCGGATTATGCAAATCAGCGCCCACTGATTCCCACCTTCGCCGCTTTTTTAAAAATAATTTCTCTTCAAAGTAGCTCATTTTCGTCTCGATGCAAGTCCACCCGGAAGCTCGTTTTTCAGTGGATCACCCTCAAAACAATGTCGGCCTTTCTCTCTCTCTCTCTCTCTCTCAAAATCTGTCACTATTTCCGTTTCGGACAGGTTTCACATCGATGATCCAATTCTAATAGACCTCCCTTTCGTTTCCATTTTGACGTAATAATTGGATACTTAGATAAACGACCAAAAAACGCCTATCAATTTGACTTGCCATTGTTTTCAAACTTTCGATCGCCCATTCCTCTTTTCTTCCTGTCTGTGACCCCGTGAAAGATCGGAAACTCAGTCGCTGACCTCTGGAAATCCCCCTCCCGGAAACTGGTTTTATCCCCGTTTCATCTGCCATCCCGTGCCTTTTTTCATTCGAACGAACAATTTCCGGCGAAAGATTGATCAGAAAAGGGCACTCAAAAGAGGATTTTATGTAGTTTTCTGATTGGATTCCTTCGAGAATGTCAATTTTCCGTCCTGTCCTCCAGATGTTCTTCTCCGTATTTGCGTTCCGCGTTTTCCGCCAATCACCGCTTCCGGCTCCTCATCACCGCGCTCTAATTCGTTGTTTATTCTACGGCTTTGTTCGGGTACAAAGTAATAATCCATTTCGAGCGGAGTGCTCTTCCATTGTCTGTCTATCCTTCCAGTCGGTAATCCCTCGGAGGGAACGTCCATTCTGACCATGAAAACATTCATTCTCTTCCGATTTTCAACATAAAATAGGTGAAAACTTTGCTCGAATAGTGGTCGAACATTGGTTTCCCTTCTGTTTTCCTCCGAAGAGTTCCCTTAATATTCATCTGGAAAAGTCCTTGTTTTTCGGATTTTGCGGGACAAATTCAAATGGTAAATTGTAGTTTTCTGTCTCTGCGCGATCAGAGGTGACTAATTGGGCGCGTGCTCCGTCCGCATCCGCCCTCATCTCCGTCCGCCCGATTTCTTCTTTCGCGTCGTAATCCACTCTAATCCACCTGTATTCTTCATCTTCTTCGTCTTCTTCTTCTTCTTCTTCTGGATTACCTTCTCGCTGTTTTCGTTCTTCTCCCGCCCATTTCTCCAATTAATGCCCTATTCAATCCGTGTCTTCTAGCCCATTGATTGTGTCTTTTGTCTGTCTGATTCCTTCTAAACACAATCGGTTTGTGGTTGCGAGACTGCTCTCTTTGCAACAACATTTTATTGTAGGTAGAAAAAAGGGGAGAAAGAGAGAGAGAGAGAGAGAGAGAGAGAGAGAGAGAAGGAGAAGGAGGAGTCAGAGTTCAGTTCCGGTCTCGGGACCGACTTCTCTTCGAACCTTTTCTTTGCTATTTTGAAGCGGACGGAAGTGAGCCGGAGTTTTCCTTCTTTCCCTCTCTTTCTCAACGGAACTTTAGAAGACTTTTGAGGTGGGTGAAACCTCTTAAAATGTCACAGAATTCCTAGAGCACATTCCCTCGAATATGTTGCAGCGCCCCGCAGAAGTCTGGCATAGCGTTGTTACAGCAACAGTATTTGTACCTGATGTTTTGGTTGAAATCAGTCTGGAATTTCAACGATCAGCAAAGAATCGCCCGCCGCGATCATCCATAAATCATCCGGAATCCCTCCGATCGTCCCCCCATTCCATTTTATATCCTTCTTTCTCTTTCTCTCTCTTTTCTTTTCGTATTCTTCACCCTTCAAACAGACAACTCCTTCTATTTCTCGCTCTTTTGTCCCATCTGAAATGTATTTTTTGATTGGAGAACAACATTGTTTTGTTCGAAATTTGACCAATTCCTGACTGATCAACGACTAACATTCTTCGATTGGCACGGGAACCAATCAGACGTATAGTTGTGACGTAGTTGATCAGAATTAATTTCGAATCGCTTCTACTTCTCCCTCTCCTTCTCCTTCTCCTTCTTCGCTTCTTTGTTCTCCGTCCTCGATTCTTGACTGATTGGTAGTGACTTCTATCGATATCGGTTCAAAAACTGAGAGAGCGGATGACCTCGAAACTGGTTGATTTGGCCCCCAGTGGCTGGCCATTCGTATAGCTAGAATCTAGAAGCCCCCGGGGTGTACTTGGCAGGTCAGGAAGTACTGCATTACACACACTTGCCCCCATCTTCCTTTCGGAGGTGTTACAAGCAAAAACGACTTCCGATGCGTGTCTCCCCGTGTGAAGAATCCACCTACTCGCCCTCCTCCTCCTCCTCCTCCACCTTCTTCTTCTTCTTTTTCTCTCCGGCTTCTCTCGCTTTCTCTCTTCTTATCATTCGCTTCTTCACTTCTGAAAATGGCTCTCTTTTTCACAGAAATGGCTCCAGATCCGACCACTTTTGACCGAGCTTTCAAATTTGTGATATGTGGAGCGAAAGAGGTAAGTACTGTAATGACTCTAATTGAAGCTCATGCCGATACCTTTCATTGATTACGACGTAAATCGGTTAATTGTAAAGATATCAAAAAGTAGTCAACAGATAAATATTTGCAGTATCTTCATTAACAATTTATTAGTTGACGACTTTTTTATATCTTTACCGGCAACTGAGATATATTGTCTAGAATGAACGGTATTGGGGTGCCCTTTTATTACAGTTTTGCGTGTATTCTGTGTTTTTGAAAAGGTGACAAATAAAATTAGATGACCTCCCAATCTAGACAATCAAAACTTCCACTTTTCGACTTGTTTTTGCTTGAATTCCTCGCCTCAAAAACATTCGCATCTATTCATTTGCCCCTCTTTTCATTATTTGGTCCCCTCGATTTGGTCTTTGTACAGTCTCTGTTCTGATGATGCTTCGAGAGATCGAAAGGGTCGAAAACTGATGAGATTGAAACTGATAACATGAATAAATTAACCGGAAATGACTAAAATTGAGGTGAAGATGATAGTTTGGTGAGCGATTAGAAGATGTATAAAATATGAATTATCAGGTCGGCAAGAAGACTTTGCTCCGATCGTTTTGTACGGAAGGAGACGATGAGAACATTTGGACGACGTTGAACGTGGACGAGGAGAAGGTGTTGGTGGAAGCGACGGTTTCGGAGAAGTGGGAGGAGGGCAGGGAGAAGGAATTCGACGGAGTCGTCCTCGTCTTCTCGACCACCGACGTCAGGGTGAGTAAGAGACTTGGAATTAAATGGACTGGGATCATTTCTTCAGAGTTTCGAGTACACTTTGGAAATTCTGAACGAGATTCAGAAGACGGCGGAGAAGAAGCATCTGGTATTCATTGAGAACAAAATGGATTTGGTTGAACAGACGCAGATGGACAAGGATTTGGTGGAAGGGGAGCTGAAGAAGAGGCACAAGAGACTCTACAGGTACCGATCGGACAAGAAGAAGAAGGAGAACAAGAAGCTGACTGCTCTTTTCCAGAGTTTCGGCGACGGAAGAGTTCATGGTCATGCATCCGTTCGCGTATTTGATTGAGAAGCTGACACGCCACAAGAAGGATGAGAACCAGAACGAGAGGTTCGTCGGGGAAACGGGCACTAATCGGAAGTGTGCGATACTAACGACGAAAAATCAGAACTTCCCATCAATTCACTCAATTTCAGCGTTTCAGAAAACAGTCTTCGTCTGTGAACTCGTCGACCGTATGCCCTCCTCCGTCCGTCTCCGTCGTCGAAGCGTGGGTGGAGCCGGTCCCTTCGGCCACGACTGCTCAGACACCCAAAAAAGATAAATGCACACTTATGTAGACAACGTTTTTTTTTGCTGATTTTGAAATTTATACGTTTCATCTGCGTGTTTACGCGTTGGCGACGACACGCAGATGAAACGTTTTTTGTAAAGAAAACAATATCACTTTTCAGAAAAATCTGAACATGTGAGCGGTCGTTACGGTTTTGATCTCTGTTCTTTTTCGGCTATTTGAAGAGAATAAAGACATTAGAGTTATGGGCGGTTCAGACAGTTCACATAGACACAAAACTTATTTTCCGGGTTTCTAGAAACTTTTCTGAAATGTTTGGAAGAAAATTGATGCATTTCCATTTCAAGGGATAACCGTGACCTTGACATTGATCTTTTTATAAACACCTATGATTTCGGGAGAAACGTCAGTTTTAAATCAAGAAAAGCAAAAGTTCCCGAAGAAAAACAAAAAGACAAACGAAGAAGACCATAATGGGATTGTTGTGAGTTTGTTCTCTTCTCTTTGCCCTCCCACCCGCATTTTTCCGATTTCAGCACGAGAAAAGGAACGACCCGGAAGCCGTCGCCGTCAAAGAATAAGAAGACGGCGAAGAAGGGCGCGAGCGAGAACAACACGATCGGCGGTCTTTCTCATGAGGAGACCACCCCGAAGGTGTCGAAGAAACCACGCAATCCGCGGGGGAAGGAGACGGAGGAACAGCAGTCGACGGCGGCGTCCGTGAAGGAGACGAAGGGAAAGGCGAAGAAGGGAGAGAAGAAGGCGAAGGGGACCACCGCCGACGCGATGCTCAAGGCACTCGGAGGCCCGAAGCATGCCGCTGCGCCGGAGGTTCCGCAGACGCCGCCGGTCAAGAAACAGTCTCCGGACGCAGACGAGACACCCACGTTGCCCGCACTTCTGCCGAGTCGGGAGCCGCTGCCGAGCAAGGAAAAGCTGGGCAAAGAGGGCGAATCGAAGAAGGGGAACATCCCGCCTACGTCGATCAAGACGGCCGCCACACAGCCGCTGTCGGTGCAGTCGATCACCGACAAATGGCCGGGAGCGGGGACGGCGAAGGTCTGGATGGAGAAGGCTGGTGGGTTGAAAGACGGAGAGACGGACTAGATCGAAGGGGATTTCAGATTTTTACGTGGCAAAGACAGAGTACGAAGGACTCCAACGGATGATAGTAGACGTTGACAGGGAGTGTGCCACGTGGAAGGCGAACGGAAAGTTCAACCAATCGGAAGATTATCCGGTGCTCGACTCGACGCTCGTCAAGTGTCCGGAAATGAAGGAGTACGTGAACATCTCCAACATGAACGTGCCCCTCCATCGCTCTGTTCTCGTCGGACAAATTCCGCTAGCAGGCACTGAGGAGACGTTCTGGAAGGGAATCTTCGATCTGCGTGTCACGAACATCCATCTGCTCGTCGGAGATGAACCGGTCGGCTTCTTTCCGAAACGGGCTCTCGACTTCGTTCACTACGGAACCATGTTCGTCAACAACAGACGCGTCGAGCAGATCTCGGGAGACGACGTCTACAAGTTTGCGATCGAAGTACTGCCGGCCGGGCTCTCCAACTCGATCATCTGCAATGTGACGATGATCAAGAACTGGCACCTGGACAGTGTGCATCCGAAGTATTCCTGCGTGGTCAAGGAGACCATTGAGCTTTCGAATGTGCTCACCACTTCGGTTCGTCCCTCTTCTTCTTAATTCCCCCACAACACTCTTTTCAGCCATCGGACGAAGCCGCTCTGATAATGTCTCCTCACGGAGCAGGACGTGCCGGATTCTTCGTTTCGCTGGCAGTTGCCGTCTATCAGATGGACAAGAAGATCGAGCCGAACATGGCGGAGATTGTCAAGAACATCCGTGCTCAACGCCCAAAGTCTGTCGAGTCGTTCCGTCAGTACGCCTCGCTGTACATCTCCATGTTCTACTACATCAAGAGGAAGTCGTCGAAGCAGGACGGAGACAAGAAGGCCGTCTCCGATCCGAACGATCCACTGATCAGGAAGGCAGTGCAGCTGACGAACGCATTCACGCAGGGTCTGATGGCCGAGGTGGCCGCCAACAAAGGAGTGTCCACGATGACCATGCTTACTTAGAGAAAACTGCAATAAACCTTGTTCTTGAAACTATTGTATTCTCCAGATTATGTCTTTATCGGCTGCAGCAATGTCCATCACAGTTTGAACTGCCGCTATCTTTCACTCGAAACGCGCAAACACAACTTCCGCGCCATCCTCTGTCTCTCTGACACACTCACTATTTTTTCTTCTTTTCCTCGCTTTCCCGACCGCTTTTTCCTCTCTAATTCCACATGTTTTCCGTTCAATTCAACTTCTCTCAATACCGAAAAGTTTTTGCAGAATCAAATACCGGTAATAACGGCCAATAGAGATGATGGCCGCACGTCTTCTGGGCACCTCTTCCCGAATCGTCAAATTCAACAAGCATTTCCACACAGCCAGAGGTTTGAATTATTCCTTTTCTTAATAGAAAGTACGGAACTTGATGTTTTAGTTGCTTTTCTGCCGGTGGTTCAGTTTAAACTGTCGGATATCGGAGAAGGAATCGCGGAAGTGCAGGTCAAAGAATGGTTCGTTTGTGAATGCATCTGAATTCACATTCAATTTCTGATTCTCGTCGTTTTCAGGTACGTGAAGGAGGGAGACACGATCTCACAGTTCGACAAAGTGTGCGAAGTGCAAAGTGACAAAGCGGCAGTCACCATTTCCAGCAGATATGATGGAGTCGTCCGGAAACTGTAGGTTTTCTTGCACCTTTTCCAGAAGTTTTGCTCTTTTTCTGTTCAAAAGTCAGCCATGTGTCAGTCGAAACAACGCACGTGGCGTCTCGGTTTGCACAGAAGTCTGCGTCGCTTATCTCTCTTTTCGCTGACGGGGAAATGGAAATATCACTGATCAGCGAGACAGACGAGAGATAGGAGAGATCACGGAGAGAGCAGAAATGATCGACCAAGAAACCAAATTGAATTTCTGTTGAATGGACAAAACAGTGGAAAAAACTATTGAAAAGTGTTGATGTCTATGAAAATGTTTGGAATTTCTGCAGATACCATGAAGTCGACGGAATGGCTCGTGTTGGACAGGCCCTCATCGATGTCGAAGTGGAAGGAGACGTGCCGGTGGAAGAACGTACGTGGCACATAAAGATACAGTATCGCTCAAGAACTTTTCAGCCTTTTCTTATCATAAAAATCGGATGAGAGGACACCATCCTTTGATTTCCCCTGGGACTCCCGTCCGTCTCTCCACTTAATTAAACTGCGCTTCTTGCTCCTCAAAGGGACTTTTTTGCAGAACCAAAGAAAGAGGCAGCAGCTTCCACTCCAGAAGCCCCGAAGACGTCGTCGTCCGATGCTTCAGAAGCAGCTCACTCCCTCGGAAAGTGCTTGCCACTCCGGCCGTTCGCAGAATCGCAATGGAAAACAAGATTAAGTTGGCTGACGTGCGGGGCAGTGGGAAAGAGGGACGAGTGCTCAAGGAAGATGTGCTCAGATTCCTTGGACAAGTGCCATCTGGTGAACATTTCACAGAGAGCCCGAGAGGAACTTGCCTTGTTTTCAGATCACGTCTCCGGATCCACAAACATTAGAAGTACTCATCCTGCTCCGCTCCCTTCAGCCAAATCAGTAAGAAACTTATGAGTAATTGTAGACGCTTCCGGTTTTCAGTACGAAGCGTTAAAGGAAGACGTGGCGGTTCCGATCCGTGGATATACTCGTGCCATGATCAAGACAATGACGGAAGCGCTCAAAATCCCGCACTTTGGATATAACGACGAAATCAATGTGGACGCCCTCGTCAAACTGAGAGGAGAACTGAAAGAATTCGCTAAAGAGCGCCACGTCAAGCTCAGCTACATGCCGTTCTTCATCAAGGCCGCTTCCCTGGCTCTCCTGGAGTTCCCGTCGTTGAATGCGACAACGGATGACAAGTTGGAGCACGTCGTGCACAAGGCTTCTCACAACGTCTGCCTCGCAATGGACACTCCTGGAGGACTTGTCGTTCCAAACATTAAGAATTGCGAGCAGCGCAGTATCTTTGAGATTGCACAAGAACTGAGTCGCTTGATGGAGGCCGGAAAGAGACAGCAGATCGGAAGAGAGGACTTGGTCGGCGGAACATTCACTCTCAGCAACATCGGAGCGGTAAATCATAGTCCGTTTCCCTTTGCATAGTCCGTTTCCCTTTGCAGATTGGTGGAACGTACGCTTCTCCAGTCATTTTCCCACCACAAGTGGCCATCGGAGCAATTGGAAAGATTGAACGACTCCCGAGATTCGACAGACACGACAACGTAAGTTCCCACTCATCTGCTTCGGATTCAATTATTTTTCTCTTCCAGGTCATAGCCGCCAACGTGATAAAGGTATCTTGGTGTGCGGATCACCGCGTCGTTGACGGTGCGACGATGGCTCGCTTCAGCAACCGCTGGAAGTTCTACCTGGAGCATCCGTCGGCGATGCTTGCCCAGCTCAAGTAGAATATATCATTGATAACATTTCCCCGAGTAATTAGTAATTAGGCGCACAATTTTATCCCAATTGATGTTCACATTCCCATCATTTCCGCCCACTTGGTGCCTGTTTCATAGCATACTGTAGACGACGATTGCATTTTCGAGCTCCACACTTTTAACCCTGTTTCTTCTTGTGCCATTTACTTGTTTGACGTAGAATCCGATGACACATAATCATGTTCTTGTAGAATTAAATGAGATTTCGGTTGTAGTAAAATGTGAAACGAAGTTGGAAATTGGTAGATTCCAATAGTTCGGACAAGTGTACCTTTTGAATTATTAAGAATTTATTACAAAGCTAAATTATAACATGACTAATACACGATTTTCTTAGGACAATGGATCGGCCGCGGATCTATGAATCTGTCGCAAAGGAACTGCCACAGGTCATCTTCCGCTTCTTTGTATCTTTTCCCGTTTATCAGAATCCAAGGCACCTAGAAATGGGAAGATTGGGGAAGAACTGAAAGAATGGCTGACCCAATCCATTTCGGGAGCCAATTTGGCCACGTAGCTCTCGTGGTCACTGAACAGTTTCCGTCCGTGACGACTTTCCGCGCATTCCACCATTCTGAAAGGTAATATTTGATTGAAATTGCAGCCGTTTCGTGATGGACTCACTTGTCTCGGTTCAGTTTGGACGGCTCTTCGAAACACGCGTCCACGGCCATAGTGATGTTCTGTTTCCCTTGAATGCAGACCACTGAAACCCTATGGTTCTCGTACCTTGCCCTCCCAAACACTCACCGAATTCCATGTACTCCTCGAAGTTCGGAAGGGCCTCTATCACGCAGGCTTGCAACTGATTCATGACGCATTCTCGGCTTCCGTGGTGGCAATCACATCTGAATCCATTCATTTGTGATCTTTTTGACATTCTCTGCACTCACACAACATCGTCGTCTTCTTCCGAGTCGACGCAAGTCGTTTTGATTCCGAACGGATGGTACTCGAAGTTTATCCGTCCCGTTGAGCCGAGCATCCTCCACATTGGCATCCAGTGCCACTTCATCCAACTGTAAACTCTAATGACCTTTATATTCTGAGAACTTAACTTACTATGAAGTGTCCGAGCATCTCGCTTCTCCGAACGCCACAATGTTGACGATGTCATCGGATTCATCGGATGAGACATTCAGAATAAATAGAGCGAAATAGACGAGAAACGGCCTCATGATGTGGTTATTCCGAGACGAAATAGTGGTTATTTAAAGAAGGTTTCAGGAGGTCATGTGGTTAGGAGTGAACGATTAGGTTGAAGTGGAAGGGGCGAACCAAGAAAAAGCAGTCACGTCTTCTGTGTCTCTCCGAATACCAAAACAGTTCATTGTGTCTGAATAGGCGAGAATTGGTCGAATTATCAACTGGTTTCGCAGTTCGAACAAACACGAGAGGGGACCGAAAATCGAGAAGAGAATCGAAGGAAAAACAGTTCAAAGTGTGGCTGCAAAGTGGTAATTGAGCGGTAATTGGTGATGTGTCTGATCGGGTTGGGCAGAGATGAAAGTACGGTTGGCAATTCACTTGCCTCGTGTTTTAATCACCGAATGATAGCGGTTTCGCTGTAAAACTCGTTCTTGCCTAAACCGGACCGGGTTCCTGAAAACTTTCAATTCAGCCTGGCCCCGCTAGGTTATTTCTCATTTCTATTCGATTTCTCACAAACAAATGGGCGCTGTTTACGTGTTGCTCATTCTTATTTGTCAGCAACACTCTTATTTTCTCTAATACTCCCGTATCAGTTCTCCTAAACACATTTCCCATTTGACTCCGATTCCCTCCTTGAAGTATGTTTCTTACTCAACCCCGTCCGCTCTCCGGCTCTCCGGCTCCCCACCTGAACTCCCTCTTGCACTCTGGAACTGCTCGTTACTGGTTCGACCCCAAATCGAACGGTGTTCTCATTGCGGAGCTTCCCCCGACCTCCACGGCCGTTCTGGTTCTGGCCAACATTGTTCCGGGCGAAACTGCGCTGAGTTTGGCTGAGATTCGCGATCAGTACATTGCGTAAGTCCGCTCGAGCTCATCAATAGGATCCATAACGACATTACAGGCAAGAACGAGACGCTTTCAATTCGGAATACCGCTCGGATGGAGGAGCTTATAACACAAACGTTAAAAGGAAGGAGAGGGGAGAGTACTACGAGAAGCAAAAGCCGGGGAATGTTCTGGGGAAACTGCACTATCGAGTGGAGACTGGAAGTCCGAGTTCGCCGCCAATTTGTCAGTTGGAAAGAGGGGGAGGAGCACTGAGACAACCGTATTGGATCCCAGTTTTCACTCCGGACAGATTCACGTACTCAGTTAGTCATTTGTATGAATTCAAATTTACAATCGACTGTTTCAGACGGTGATCGCTACGAACTACGCAACTCAAGGTCTCATGCACTCTTTGATCCGACATGGACACGAGTTCTACCAAAACGGACTGAACAGAGATATCCTTCAAGTTCTGCCATCCGGAATGACTAACATCGTGAAATCGTTGCGAAATATGAATTCGAACGACATGAATACGGCCTTCACAAGCAGAATGTTGCAAATGGAAGAGAACGAATTCAAATGTGAGAAGCTGTTTTTGTTTTGAAACCAACCAAGATCACCTTGTTTCAGTGCTTCATCAACTGCAGCTGGAAGCGCACAATTTGATTCAGAAGTACGTGAGCACCGGTAGTTATCTCGGGGAGTGCGTGAACACGAACGGACAGCTTCAAGTGTTCTGGAAAGTGACTTCGAGCACAGCGATGGTACTTGCTCTGTCGGAACAGCTGTATCAGGGACAGGAGAGGTGCGATTCGAGAGGGAAGAAGCGACCAATCAAGAAGATAATCACTGTGTTCTTCAAAGAAATGAAAGACTTCGATGGGAAGAAGGCTGGCAATTGGCCAGTTACCAGGAACCAAATGTGATTTCTGCCTGAAGGTCTCCTCACCCCATCTGATATTTCAATGACCAATGATTTTCAATGCTTCTCGTCAGTTGCCAAAGGCATTTCCCTCAAACCCTTTCCAGGAAGTCGCACAAATGGGTGCAAAGACGCTCTATGGGACAAGCGTGAACTTTGAGCTGCGTGGTATTTTTTAAGACGGAGTTTTTTGTTCTGGTTTTGGTTAAGAAAAGCTTTGGTACGTTTACTGGCGAGAGACACTCTTTTTGGTGTTCTTTCTGTACTTTTCTTCGTTGATTCGTTTCTTTCGTTGCTCCTCAAGCAATAAACCTTTGTTTGATAATCTTTCGCGTTGTTTCTTGTGTTTTCTTGTATTGGACCCACTACCCCTTATCGTAAGCGGGCAACTCGTTAACACAAACAACAACGTTGTGTTAGGTTCTTTAGGCAAGCGGTATAAAGGTTCCAGACTGCACAAGTTCTAGTTTGATTCAATTACTGTACACCACTGCTCTCTCCCAGGGCGTTTCCCCGTTTTCCCATTCAATCGCCGACTCATTCCCATGATTCATTTCTGTGAACAGAAGTGACTATTTGTCTCGCCTTCTCAATAAATATGCGCTTGTTTTGGTTTCTTTTATTTATCTTTTCAGAAAAAAGCTCGCGCTAATTGTTAACCTTCAGACTCCGCCCCTTTTCGGAACAAGTGATAAGGACCTCAGGTAACGGATCTCCGATCGATACGTTATCACTATTCTTTTCGTTTCTCGAACACAACACCCGTCACTGACCTCGTCGGCATATCCGTTTTTGTTTCATTTCTTCTCCTTTCTAAGTTTCGTACCTTTTCTTCTCACCTTTTTCCTTCAGACGCGATGGTGCCGAGGATAGTTCTTCTTGCGGTTACCGTAATCCTTCCCTTAGCACTTTGCCAGAACCTCCTCGAAATATACAAAGCAATGATAGCCGATCAATCTGCGAGAGCAAAGAGCCCTCCGATCGATATTGAGTTCTTCGGAGAGAGTCTCTGTCCGGACACTACCAGGTCGAAAACGGTATGCTCAATGGATTCTGTTACTTGGATTTTGCAGGTACTTCCGAAACCATATCATGCCGGTTTGGACGGCTTTGCAAGCCTCCACACTCGTTAATATCACATATCATCCCTTCGGATTGGCGGATTGCAAACGTGGAGAAACGGGAATTAGGTGAGTAGGAAACTGACTTTTCCACAGTAATCCTTCAGGTGTCAATGCCAGCACGGTCCGGCCGAATGTCAGCTGAACATGCTCCAAACCTGTGTCATCAGCGCCCTTCAGATCCCCCAGCTTTACCTTCCGATTGGTAAGAAATAGAACGGTCGGACGGTATTCAAGGCGTGCTTTTAGTGAGTTGCATGCAGCAGCAACGCAAGTTTTCCTCGGCCATCGATGAATGCATCGTCAACTTCCGACCGAGACCGGATCTCGATGAGAACTTGTGAGTCATCGATGCTTTTCTTTTCAAACAAATCGTCTAATTCCAGCATGGCCAGATGTGCTCAGAGCCAGCTGGGAGCCAAGCTCATGATGCAGCACGGCTTCCGACAAAGGGAAGTAGCTTCCGAACTCGACTGGGTTCCGTGGATTCTCATCAACGGACGGAGATCGCAAGCGGCCGAGAACCAGCTGAAAACGATTGTTTGCTCGTTCCCAGAGCCGTCGCGTTACGAATTTTGCAAAACGCCGGAAGAACTCATTTTCTAGTCGATTCTCTAAGTGTGCTCTCTGTTGCTTCGCCCTCCAGATCGTGTTACAGGTATTGCTCGTTCGAATAATCTTGCGCTCCACAATGTTATTTCACAAATGAACGCTTTTGATAGGTATTTTTTGCTGTTGCTGTTGTTTTTTTTTAAATAAACCTCAATTTCAGAGTGGAGTTGTCACTTAGCTCCAGAAAACTGTATTCTATTGTAAAAACTATAAGAGTTGGAAAAATGCGCGTGATAAAATCACAGCACACTTCCAAGCACGTCTTGCGACAGGAAAATACAAAACACACGAGTTATTACGACGTTTTATTCCGAAAACGTGGATAAACACGCCGCACAATAACAAAACAAGAGACGCGAGGGTGCTCACCACTCGACCCTAGTTAAAACTTAAAAACTGAACCAAAAACATTCGAACCCGACATTTCGCGCGCCGCACGAGGAACGCGCCAGCGCTTGCGCGCCAGCAGCGTCCTTTGGCGCCTCGCTGGATTTTTTGAAGCGGAACGCGTTCCGTCCGACTTTTAAGAGTCTTTGGTGATGTGAAACCGGCAACAACCGGACATCTCCGCTCTTTTCGAGTCCTTCCCACCAGCGAGGGCTCACGGTCACGTCCAAAATGTGCGAACGCCAAATGAAAGAAAAAAACTGTTGGCACAATTAATGAGGAGAAGACAATATATAGAGAAGAGTTGGCACTTGGGCACAACTTTTTAAACTGGCAATTGTGGGGGTGGGGGGGAAGATCGTCGTTGGTCAGGGGCAAAAACGGGGCATGATACTACGTGCGTAAATACACAACAAAAACCACAATTATTTAACAAACAAGAAATGAAGAGGATTAATGTAACAATTGAGCCACCATCCGTCTCACTGGCGGTACTTGCGGCTGCAGGCCGGATGATGCTGCGTCTTGTGGTACGGGCCGTTGACGCTCCGTCCCCCTTGCACACGTCCTCCTCTAGCAGGCCCAGATCCACCCTGTCCCACTGCTGTCGGCTTCGTGTTCGCCACCTTCGACGTGTTCGTGTTGGCGTGTCCTCTCACAGCCTCCTCCACGGCATGTTTGCGCGGCTCTGTCTTCGGCGGGCAATAGGGCCATGGAATGTCCGCCACGTCCGCCAACTCTTTGAGTAGTCCCCAATACTCTGCGGTGGACAGATGATGCGTCGTACTGATCAGACTCTGATACCGCTTTGACGGTACAGGAGTGTCAGGGTGGATGACCCACATCTCTCCGTTTGTGCGGCGCAGAGATCTGAACAGACGACAAAAGGCGTCCGTGTCCGTATGATCGAACTCAAGATTGTGCGCAGGCACAAGAACTTCAATCTGAGCCGGCACCGTTGCAATCGCCCGCGCCCATCCCTCCACCTCGGACTGGTCCAGCGAGAACGGTGTAATGAGCACCAGGAGTTGAGGTCTCCGGTTCTCCACCGCTTCCTTGAGCACCTTCTCCAGCTCTCCGACGTCCTCGATGTGGAGCAGCAGCTTTTCACTCACGGCAACTGCCTCCTTCGTCACCCGCGGAAGCACGAGGTGCAGCACTTCGCGCGGCCGCAGGAGATCTCCACAAAATTCCTCGAGCACTTGAGCGTAGTGGAAGTTTAAACCGTCCTGCCACCGGGCAACTCCTTCACCCATGCAGCCAGTGAGGGACATTGGGCTAAAATCCCCCACGCCGCTCCGTTGGGCACGTCAGCGATGCCCGGCAATGGCTTCTGGCTCAAGACGACGAGCTGGTCCTTCCGATCGCCTCATGCCGCTCCCGAAGGTGCATCATCCTTGCGAAAAGGGACGGAGAGTGCGTGCGGGCTCCGCTCAAGCCGGGCACGATGAAAGTGCAGAGCTGCTGGCATCGGCACCAGTGTTGGAATCTGCAACTCTTTTTTATCAAGGTGGCTTATAAAAGCAATAGTCTGTTCTTCCGCGCGTCCTCCTGCGTCGCCCTCCTTCATGCGCGCTCGCCCTTTTCGCGTGTGGATTGGGGAATTGTCCATTTGATGAGGGATCACCCTCAAATTCTCAAACGGAATTCTGAACTCTTCCTTACGCCCTGATATTGGGACCACGACCGCCGAATTCTGCGAACACGCCACCACCCGATATGGCCCTTTCCACTTATTGACAAGCTTTGGGCACTTTGCTCCAAGCTTCTCGGATGGTATCTCCATCAAGACCCGACTGCCTGGCTGCGGGAACGTTCTGTTCTCCACGGCATGCTTTCTATCAAACAGTTCACGCTTTGCTTCCGGAACAACGGTTCGGCCCCCAAGTTGGAAAAATGCGCGTGATAAAATCACAGCACACTTCCAAGCACGTCTTGCGACGGGAAAATACGAAACACACGAGTTATTACGACGTTTTATTCCGAAAACGTGGATAAACACGCCGCACAATAACAAAACAAGAGACGCGAGGGTGCTCACCACTCGACCCTAGTTAAAACTTAAAAACTGAACCAAAAACATTCGAACCCGACATTTCGCGCGCCGCACGAGGAACGCGCCAGCGCTTGCGCGCCAGCAGCGTCCTTTGGCGCCTCGCTGGATTTTTTGAAGCGGAACGCGTTCCGTCCGACTTTTAAGAGTCTTTGGTGATGTGAAACCGGCAACAACCGGACATAAGTAAGCAATCGCGAGCTGACTTCTTGCATTGCAATAACGTCAGTGAGAGAGATTCCGAAAAAGAGCAATAAGTGAATTTAAGGATTTCCGATTTCGAATGCAAGCATTCAACACAGAGTCGATAGTCCGATCGGTCTGTAACTTGAACCCAATACACAGGGTGCGCCAAAAATATGGTAACACATTCAAGGTGATGTAATGCTTGCGAAAATACTCAAACCAACATGAAAATTCAACTATAAATTATTATTCTATAATTTATTGAAACCACTATAAACGAGAAAATATTAAAGTTGTTCGATGCGGTTGCCTTTGTTCTTGACAACATCCTTGAGTCTCTTCGGGAATGCCTTTACTGTGGCACGGAGGTATTCTGGAGATAGCTTGGCTCATTCTGCCTCCAAACCTCATTTGTCACCTTCCTGAACATGCTTCTCCACGCCTTCAGAACATCTTCGTTCAGATCTACGGCCTCGTCGTCTACCGAGCCAGTTTCGTCGTAAATCTTTCTTCTCTCGCGAGATCTTTCTTCTCTCGTTGTCCGAAAGGATTTAATAGGCCTTGTTGAGCAGCTGGAATTTCGTCGAGTACTTCGCTTTCTCTTCTTCTTCCAGATTGGATTTGTCCGGGTGGCAACGCGTAGATAGGCGGAAGTAGCCCTAAAAAACGAACAGAAATGTGAATTTCTCCCTCTTCTGTTTCAATTTCCACATTGCTTTTTGTGCCGAGAACAAAAAAAAAATCGTACTGTGCCTTTAAATCTACAGTACCCTGAATTGTTTTTGAAAAGCAGCAAAACCTCTCAACTTCTCAGGCAAATTCGTTTTCAAAGTTATTCAAAGTGCAAATGTTACAAGACGTTTTCGCAGCGTTGCCAGAATTGCAAAAGTTACAAGAACTTCGCAGCGTTGCCAGAATAGGGTGAAACACTTTCATTTTTTAATCATAGACTATGCCATATTTCTTTCTGTTTTGTTTTGCTTCCCAACAGAGTTGTGCGGAATTCCGCCTTCCGCCTTCCGCTTTCCGCCGCTTTTTTCATTCCGCCTCCGCTTTCCGCTTTCGGCCTTTTCAAAAAATCTATTCCGCTCAACTCTGCTTTCCCTATTTTGTTCTCTTTCCAGTTGACCTGTTTGCTGCCTCGATCTCAATAAATTTATTTCCAGATCTTTTTTATCGCGTTTTATTGGTTTTTAACCAATTTTGAGTACTGAACCCCCAAAAATCGCTTGAAGCCTGCTAATCTTATCCGAACATTCACAATTGTTACCAGAAGCGTCGCAATCGTTACCTGAAGGTTTGCAAATCTTTCCCGAAAATTCACAAAAATTATGTGGCAACAAAATCTGCTCCGGCGTCGGGTAACTTTAAAACATACAACATTTTTTTAGAACATACAATACTTTTACTAGAGAGGGCCACGACCCCGAACTTGGAAAATCCTGAAAAAATTCTCAAAAATCTGAAACATTCTGAATAGCACGCCCAAATTTTTTCAGAAAATAACCGAAGTTTTTGGATTTCCTAAAAAGTTCTGAAGTTTTAGCATTAGTGCTTTTTCACGTGGGAAATCAAAAAGGCACTAAAGCCTGGAGAAACTTTGGAACGTTCTAGAAAATTCAAAAAATTCGGCCATTTTCTGAAAAAAACCCGCATTACCGTTTTTATTCGTTTTTATTTTTTACATATACAATTTATGAGTTGAATGAGCCATTTCGTTCCCTTCGTTCCTCTTTTGTTCTGGCGTTCCAGCTGTCGAGCACTTGGCCATTCATTCCTTCGGCGGGAAGATCTTCTCCCTCTTCATCTTCTTCTTCTTCCGATCTTCTTATCATTCCGATATCATCCGTTTCTCCACTTTACTGCTCATTTTACTGCGATCTCTCTTCCGTTCCATCCGCCACATTCTCTGCGTTTCGCCGTCTGTCGGTGTCACTTTTTGCGCGGTGTCTTCCGAATGTTTTGCACATTTGCATTCCGTCAGCTGTCCGCTTCTCCTGATGACTCTGCGATAAATTGCTCCTGAGCAGAGCCCCCTCTGCTCGATTCTCCAACTTGTACCTGAACGGTTTATGCAAACGGAGAGCGGAGAGACAAGCTCCGAATTGTTTCTGATTTCTGACAACTTTGTGCAAATATCCGTTTCCCTCCGATATTTTCTGTTAGGTGGTCTTGGCAGGAGGCCAGCACTTTTCAATTAAAACAGTAGCTTTCTGCCCTTTTCCTTTTTCGAAAGTTTGCTTAGGCTCTCGGTTCTGATTGAAAACTGACTCATTCTGTCCTGTCCGCCAGCACATTTTTTGTATTCGTTCACACCGGACTACTCATTTGTGCTACTGACTGACTCACGACAAATCATGAACCTTTTTGTTGGCAGAAGTGGCATCAAAAACCAGTGTTATCTTCAGACACTTTTCCGAATTCCTCAAAAGGTTCTTCTGCTTGTCAGTCATGTTTTGTGAGAGAGAGACTGTCTTTTTCTCCCGGCCATATCAACAATAATATTGTCTTAACATACCCGCGCACTCTCTCGTTTCGCTCGCTTTCTCTCCGCTTGTCACCACCTTCTTATGTAATATATACATTCGCCGCCGCCGTCGCCGCGCGCCCCCGCCAGTGGCTTTTCCTCTTTTGATTACACAAAACTATCAATTCCCAATCTAATCATCACTTGATCGGTTTCCGTTTCTTTTTTGTCTATCCCCAAAACTGTGATGTTCCTCGTCCTTGTGCCACGTGACAATCGGAGTTCCTCGAAAAGAAAAGAGCACTTTCCCATGAGTGTGTACAGTGATACGGAGCCACGTCACAAGAGAGAAAGAAAGGGAAGAGATTGTTGATCATCAGTTGTGTATGTTTGAGCAGGCAACTCGAGGGTACTGTAGATGCCACGTCATCCAGGAACACACTCCTTTTGACCCAATTACTTTTGAACCAAACTTTCAATCTAATCACTTTCCATTGTTTCTCATTTCATTTTCGGTTTCCGCAATCTATCAAAACGACCTCCCGATAGTCACAGTTTGACCTGCATTCGCTGTCTTTTCGCTCAAAAAAATGAACATGATCCTGGCGGCCGGTCCGCTTCTCCTCGTTTCTTTCATCTCCGACTGATATTATTCCGAAAGTGCTTCGACGTCGTTTTCATTCTCCTTTGAAAGCCTCCTTGTGGAAGAAGCCTAGTGCCGACGAAAGACGTCGTCGCAGAAATATTATGAAAAACCGCTACGCATTTCAAGAGGGAGAGAGAGAGAGAATACCTCGTTTCGACTGCGCGCGCCGACCGAAAGAACAAGCATTAACCCGAAATTATTACCTGGTACCGATGCCTACGGTCACTGACATCCACGTTCCCGTCATCATCATCATCCGGATGCCCTTTTCACCGAAACATTTCCAATGTTTCCACTATCCAACCAGTTTTGAACTCAATTGCTGCCATTCGAACTATTGTCGAACTTCAAGTTTTTTCCAGTAACAACCAACTCATCCAACTGATAGTCAATTCCCCAAACAATGCGCCTCTTTTGTTGCCTACCGTATCCAAGTGTAAAGCCCCTTTCCTCGCGTCTCCCGCATGACTCATCGCATTCATTTTTCCGCTTCCCACGAACATCTACATATCCATAACAAATTGTACATATTCCTCGTTTCCCTCCTCAACACAATCATCACAGTCTCTTTCCTATTTCCAATCTCTTCTGCGTTCCGCCAAAAAAGTTTCGCACTCCGATTGCCTATGCTAATCCGAAGTGTGTTTGAACATGCAAAACCGAAAAGTTTCAATTTCAATTTCGTGCGAGCATCTACCGTAATCCTGAATCCTGAATCCCGATGCCGCAACTCATAAATTCACCGTAATGTATCACCACTTCGATCTGACCTCCATCTTCTTCCTGTCCGCATATCAGTCTCCCATTCATCTTCTTCTTCTTATTCCCTTTTTTGCCTGGCTGCCACGTCATCATGATCATGATCCGACTGCTTCTTCTTTGATCGATTTATCACCTTTCTCCCATTTGATCGTTCCCTTTTTCTTTCATCGCCTTCTTCTTTTTCTTCCTCTTCTTTTTCTTCTGTTTCCACCATCAAAAACGGTCATAAACCAATCCGCTCTGCCATGCAAACACCCATTCCATGCTGAAATTCTAGTTTTTCGCGCTCAAAACATTGTCATTCCGGCTCGAAACCTCATTAAACGGCCCGCAAAGCGTGCGGTCCCAGCTCGGCAAAAAAACAGAGAAGAAGAGGGAAAAGTCCATTATTTTGATATATTTGTTTCGTTTTCCTCCCCCCTTTCGGTCCATTGGCTCCATATGTCTCTCTCTCTCTCTCTCTTTCTGCAGAGGGTTTCTCCAACTTTTCGGAGCGTTCATCTCTCTTCCAGTACATCGCTAGCCTGTCTCTTCTTCATCGTTTCGGTAGCTTTTCTTATCTGTCTTCATCTTCGCGACTTTTTCGACGACGCCTCTCGGGGCACAAGGTTACTTCAACTTTAGAAAGACCTCCCATCTCCCTCTTTCATTTTGGAAACGGAATTAAGGAGTGACACACTGATTTATTCCCGTTCCCTTTTCCAACTTGACCTGATTACTTTTTAAGGGAGTAATTGATCAGTGACTCGTTCGTTTCCCGGTCTGCTTCCGCTCCCTCTTCTGCCTGTATTCCCCTTCCAACACCTCTCTCTCTCTCTCTCTCTCTCTCATTTTGCCACTCAATTTGACATGAATGACCTCTCCGAAATCCAAACTTTCGTCCGTCTCCTTTTTCACGCTCCTCTTCTCATTTCACATCACAAATCGTCTGATAACTCATCGTCGTTTTCGATTTCCTTTTTCACTTCCCACCCAATTTTGGCGAGTTTCCTTCCGCTTCCCCAAGCGAAAACTCCGAATTTCCGGCGGTTTCTCTCCAAATAACACTGCGACCCTCCTCGGTTGATTTCCGATTCTTCCGACCCTCCTGCCTTGCCACGTCACAACATTTCGGCCCCGCTTGCGGCTTTTCCCAATTGTTTTTACCCGTGATAAAAAATATAACTATATAAAATGTATTGAGGCGAACCGCCCTCGGAATTGGGAAAATAAGTGGTGGTGGTGGAGGCTGAAAATATGCGAATAACACGGGTCGAATAGGCTGAAAACATAAATAGAGGAGAAGAAGAAGAAGAGGAAGAAAGAGGAGGAGTAAGAGTAAGAGTAGGAACCGCCCGTTTCCCTATAAACTAAACTTTTGTTGTTTTTGGCACTTTCCGGCAAAGTTCCACAGATTACCACCCCCTCTTAATTTCCTTTTTTATGAAAACAATGTGCTCGGCACGTACATCATCTGAAAAGATGAACTGAACGGCTGGAATTGGTTCGGTTCTTTCCAATTTCCGTTTCAGAATAAACGGCCGCAGTCACCACTGCCAGCAGCCAAAACACTTGAGAACGTCGGCCGTCTCTTCCCCCTTTTCGCTCTCATTGTTCCACTTTTCATCCGTGTTCTTCGGCTCCTCAAAGTTCCTCTCATATTCGGTCGGTTTCGTCAGTGCCGCGGGCGCTTCCGACGCCTTCCGAATCCGAGGCCAACAAAAGAAGGCGTGGGGAAGAGAGGAAACCGAGAAGACGTCATGCTCCAGATGAAAGGGAGAGCACGGAAGGAGAAAAGAAGAAGGAGCGGGTCTTCTCTTTCCTTCGAATGAGCCTTTTGTATTTTCCTCCTCTTCTTCTTCTCCTTCTTCTCCAGATCCGACCGTTTGCAAACATCTGCAGTGGGCGTTTTCTCACACTTCTCGAAGCTCTCAGAACTCTGAATTCGACACTTTCCCACCGATTTCCACACATATCTCCTGAATCCACCCACGTCATCTTCTTTTCCTTTCGTTTTGATGAGGAATCTCTATTGTTGTGTATATGTGACTGACTGCTACAAATGGAAAGTCTCTCGAAAAAAGCTAATCGAATAGATTCGCGCACTCCATTCTCTCCGCCAAATGAACCGCCAGAACTGGCTCGTTTCGCGAGCATCCGTCCTGATTTCGTATCCGTTATCTCTTCGGAAGATCAGCGGAAAAAGAGCTCCGAGCAGTCATTTCACATTCAAATGGGACCTCCGAAAAAATAAAACGGAAGGAAGAGAGAGAGAGAGAGAGCATTTCTTAGTTTTTTTAAATTTTATTTCCAATCGTTCCACTTTCTCTTAATCCGTTTATCCGAATCATTTGCAGAGAATCCTCGACAGTCTGGTGCCGGCTCCGACGCGATGTCGTCGACGAGCAGCATCTGCTCCTCTAATGACGCCAACGACTTCATCGTCGACACGAGAATCCCGGCGTCGATCCGAAGGGACATCGACAGATTCTCAGTGTTTATCAACCGACTGCGCTCCACTTTGGATCTGAACTCTTCGGTTGTGGGTGAGTGGTTATTGGAAGATCGACATGCAGTTACCAGAATGTTGCAGACGGCGAGTCGATGTGTGTGAACGTGCACGCTTCGCTCGAGATGGTCTCCGAATCGATGCGCGATTTATTCAAATACTCGCAGTTCAAGACGAATCCCATCATTCTGCTTTCTCTTCAACTCGTGCAAGCCGTCAAAGGTATGAGTGCGTCGCGCGTGCGATTGAGGGCTCTTCTCCACATTTCTCATTAAATTTCTCTCTTTTGGAGAGAGCGAGAAGTTGTTTTATGTGCATCATCACCCGAATACTAAACGCATTTCATTAGGCCAATGTTCATTTCATTTTCGTCATTATCTCCTCGTTGTTTTTCTTTTTTGGAGAGAAAGGAGAGTTGCAACATTTCAAGTTGTCTAACTTTGTCCGTCTGAAAACACTATCTGTTCCAGACCTGAAATTTGATACGTGCTCGGTGGATACGACGCCGGTGCTGAACATTATCGATCAGTTGGAATCAGCTGTTTTAAACATCATTCTGTGAGTTCCCGCCACCTTCTTCTTCCCTCGCTCGCACATTTTTTCCCACCTCGTTCCCCCATTTTTCTCTTCTCTTTCTCTCGATTTCAACGAGAAAAAGGTTGGAAGAGATCAAAAAGTGCTGCGAGATTCGGAGAGAGAGAGAGAGAGAGAGATGGAATTGAGTATGGAACGAGGACGGAATTGGATCAGGTCGGTTCCCGTTTCCATGTTCTTCTAGGGTCGGAGCCAGTGTAGAATGCCCCTCTCAGATGATATGCAAACCATCATAATATCATTTTATCGCCCCATTCCCATCAATTCTTCCTCCGCCAAAAAGCGAAAAAGTTTATTACACGACGGGGCTCAGTCGTGTCGCATTTGCATGGGAATATCGATCCGTTCCCATCGTTCCGATCGAACGAAATGCGGTTCCGAATGTCCCGAATATTCCACGTTTTGAGCAGGAGGAAGCGGTGATCCCAGATTCTGATTCCATTCCCATTTCACGTGCAAAATGCTTCCAGAAACCGTCACATTGTCTCGTCAGTGCATCACACTCCGAGCAGAAGTTCCACGTTGGGACGGTGGAAACAGAATGTGAGTCTGAGTCATCCGAATGTGTAACTGTCAGAAGAAGAAAAAGCGATCCAGGCACATGTTTTTGGTGCTTCTTTCCTCGTTTATACACACACACACATTTTGTTTGTGTATGTGTCAATCCGGGGTGCCCGTTTTACCCCTTTCCCTTCTTCTTCTCCTTCTTGTTCCTCTCCATCTTGTTCCCTTATTATTCATAGTTGCTCTTCTCTTTTGCCCTCTAAACTATTCCCCGGTATTCTCGGAAATGTGGTCTCCGTCTCCAAAGTATCGTTGTTATACGCGGGTGAGTTAGTCATACTGTAGGCGACGACGAAAGAACGCAACGGATTCGTTTCGAGTATGAATCATGAATAGCACAAATTCACAAATGTTTGTATCCCCTTCCGTTTTCCAGAATTCGACGGATTCGTACCTCCGCCACAGCGGCCCGATCACTGCCGTTTCGCAGACTTTGCAAAGGAGGCACTCGACTCATCAGACCCATCAGGAGCCAAATGACCGTGAGTTTCCGGCTTCGAATTTCGAAAACAAGTTCCCCGTGTTCTATTTCCGTCTTCTGCACTTTTCATTTGTTTATACTCTCCGTTGCCACGTCATTTCACATAGAAACATTATAATGAAATGAATGTCTGCCTTGAAAACGAAACGAAAAGTAAAATACTGTTTGCAGAGTCTACTGACAAAGTGATGGAAATCGACAAGCTTCTGATCTCGCGCGCCGACGGAGTTGACGTGGCATTCGAGAGGACGAAGGCGTGGAGCACCTACTGCAAAGACGTGATCTCGTACGTCCGAGCACGCATCCAACTGGAGCAGGACCACGCTCGGAAAGTGCACACACTCGTGGACACTTCCAGAAGGGACATTAACAAGCCGTTCATGCCGCTCAGAGAGATATTCGAGAACTCATTCGACACGGAAGTGGAGATGGTCGCGCACACGAAGGAAACGACGGAGCATCTGAGGGATCGGGTCGTGGAAGCGCTGGATGCTCGACGGAAAGAGCACGATTCGGTGAGGAACGCGGTGAAAGTGGAGTGGACGAAGTCGATGAAAGGATTGGTAGGAGAGGGATTCATAAGATGTTGCGAGAAGGTAAATGTTTCAGCACGACTGCGAAGAAGCCTACGAGAAGGCGAAGATTGCGTTGCGAATGAGGGAAGAAGCACTGAAGAAGGCGAGGGAAAGCTGTCTGCGAACGGAGAGTTCTCCTCCGGAAAGGGAGGCGTCCCGACGACGGCGGGATCTGGACAAGAAGAATCGGGCAGTCGAAGAGGCGATGATCAAGGTGAGACATGGATTTTGAGTCCCAGGTGCCCCGATTCACCTGCTCTTCAACGTGCTCAAACTATGATTTGTGTCTTGTTTCAGAAGGAAGAATCCGAGCGGCAGGTGATGTCCATCACGACGGAGCTGCGGAAAAAGAGGAGGGACATCGATAAGACCAAGGTTAGTCTCTTGCTCGGATCAGAAGCTGTGGGAAGGGGGAAAACGTCGTCCGTTGGAATGGGGAAGTCTTCCGCTCTCTTCCTCCAATAAACTGACTCGGTCCGTTGGCAATTGGCACGAGTTCCCTTCTTCTTCTCTCTCTCTCTCTTTCTTTCTTTCTCTTTCCACCCATGAAACTCAATAGGCAGCAAAAAGTGCTGCAATAATTGATAAGGCGGTCGTCGCGGGGCGGCCGACTGCGTGGGAAACCGCCGTCGTCGCGCGCAGTCTGCTGAATTTTAGAGTGACGTGGCAGCGAGAGAGGGGCTCCGTTGAGCAGTCGCAAGTTCAATTTCCCGGCCAGTTTCCGTTTTGAAAGCCCTCCTTTCACTTCGAATTAATTTCCTGTCATCTTTCTACTCAGAATCCACTCCACGCAATCTCCACTCATTCTGAGCCGTCCACTCTGCTGCAGTTGACAGTCTTTCCAATTTCTCCTCCAATTTCCCCTGTGCTACGTGACATTGTGAATGCCACGTCATAAAATGATGACGTGATGGCTTCTCGGTGTGAAATGCGATATCCATAGTGTGAGAATAATGGGACATTTGGGGCCAGGAAACGACGGGCGTGAGAGCCGACTCCCGGCCACATCCGGTGACGACGAAGAAGAAGGACTGTTCCTCCTTCTCTTCTCGAGTATTCCATTTGATATTTATCCGCTCCTTCTCTTTCTTTCTCTTCATCTTCATCATCATCATCATCATCATCATCATCATCTGCATCCGTGCTCCCGACGACGTCGTCCACGAGTAATCAAGTTTTGGTGTGCAGCAGAAGAGTGCAAACAGTGTGCGAGACGAAGAGACGCACACATTTCCCGTTTTCGGGAGAAAAAGAAGAAGCAGCAGAAGCACGCGACGACGTCGATGAAGAAGAAGAAGAAAAAGAAGGATTTGGAGTAGGAGGAGATGATGATGAAAAGTCATCAAGTCATCCGACGATGATGATGATGATGAGAATGAAAATTTGCCTATCATCTCCAACTTCGCAGGTCCGCACTGTCTCGCTTTGTTGTAATAATCCTAAATTGCGGCGGTCCCTTCGTGCTCTTCTCATCTTCATCCGTTTCTCCACTAATTATTGATTGTGACTCGGTCGGCTTCTCCTCTTTTTATATATATTTTTTTCTTTCGCTCACCTTTACCGCCAATGGAATTTATGGAAATCAGATTCTGAGGCGTTTCCATTGGAAGACTGTGAGCATCCGGCTCCAAATCATGTTTCTTCTCGCCGCCCAACTTTTCGCTCGCCGCTCTAGCGCCCCTCTCCTCGTCGTCCCAAATTGGTGTCACCTCGATGGATGCAGTCCATAAATCGTCCTTTTTTTCGGGCGGCCCGAGCTTTTTCTCCCCCTGTGCTCCCAACTTTTCTTCCGTTTCTCCCTCTCTTTCTCTCCCCCCAAATGAACCTTTTTCGGGGGCAAACGAAGAAGACCTCTCTCGTTTTTCCCTTTTACTCCTCTCAATTCATAAGTTTTTCTCTTATTCATATCCCGTTTTGAGGTCCTTTCCCTCCTTCTTCTTCTTCTTCTTCTGCTTCTCATGTCGATATTCATTCGTCGCTGTTCCATTCACCCTTTTATTTTCAGTCTCTCTCGTCGTTAGCTCGTCTCTTATTGCCCGTTCCTTTCCCAATTTATTGGGACCAAATTGCCCCGACTACGGGATAAAAATGGGAGAGAAAGAGAGAGAGAGAGAGTGACCTAGTTAGCTTCCGTGTGTTTTTTCTGGAATTACTGTAGTCACCTTCTTCTTCCTCTTCTTGAATGTGCTACGTAGAAGAACGTCACTTGGGTAGGTCACATTCTTGGCTTTTGTAGTTCTGAACACATTCTGATCACACGCTCGAATCCACATAGATCACCCAGTCTCTTGCCACGTGCTTCAATGCTTTGCTGCTCGATTTTCTCTGAGAGACCCGCGAGTACGGTATCAATTAAAGATTATCCGATTCTGAAAAAGATTGAAAGTCTCTTCTTCTCATACTTTTTATTGTTGTTACGCAGTAGAAAACGGGACGACGACGGCCCGTCGCACGACAACAAAACGTGTCGCTTCTTCTTCTTCTGCTTCTTCTTCTTCGCCTTCTTCTTCTTCTTCTTCTTCTTTTCCGTCGTCCCCCACGTCTTTGCTTCTTCTGCTCCTCAAAACGCCTCATCCTCACGTTTATTTATAGAATCATCGTCGTCTCGCTTTTCGTCGTCTTTTTCAGAATCCGCCTGAAATCGCGAGCCCGACAACCTCTCATTCAGTCATTTTTTGCCCGAAGTATCCAATTTCGGAGGGGCGCAACTTCCTCCCGTTTTGGCTCCAGAATACACATTCATAGAGTGTGTAGATGGAGGATAAATCCGAGATTTCTCAATGAATTGATATCCGATACTCGCCTGCCTTTTCCCCCGTTTTCTAGGTTTCTTTTTCGTTTCTCGCGCTCAAAAACTGTGATTTTTGATGTAGATATGTACACCTTCGGATACAATCCAGGTATTTCCGATTCCCGCTAATTAGAGTTTCGCAAACAACTCTTTTTGGAGTCTCATTCTCCCATTCCGCCGTAATCCGCTCCAGTTCGAATCTGATTCGCATCAAACGTCTCTGACTTCTAACTCAAATCCAAGATGACATTTTCTAATCATATGCTCACTCCGTTTACCTTCTTATTATCTGACATCAAACAAAGATGGACGCAAAACGAAAACAGCGGGGAATCGTCATTTTTGAGTCGCAACTTTTTCATTTCACTCTAACTGATTGAAAGTGTCCTCGAAAAGTTTACGATCGGAATCATATGAGAACTTCTTCTTCCTTTTTCATCTCCCGTCACTTTTCTTCCCAATTTTGCACCGAAACAACCAATATTCTCCGCTGTCAGGTCATTTTCCCCTTGCTCCTTTATCACATCATCCATCGAATCCACCCTGTCTGTGCCAAACAAAAAGAGCGACAACACCTACTCGATAATATGTTTTCCCTTTGGGAATTCCTTTTTGGACGAACAAAACCGATAGCGCGAGAATAACAGTGAATTTGTGTTTCAGGAGAGCATAATCGAACGGCTCCGTGAGCTCATCTTTCAGTGTGAGCAGACGACCAAAGCCTGCACAGTTCACTACTTTACCGTGAGTTTTCACCTTTCAAACAACAAAGAAACAGATCAGAATTAGTTTTGTCCAGTTGAGACACTCCTCGCTTTCGAAATGACAAAGAAAAACTGAAAAACTCTGGTGATTCATCATCTTTCGGGTCACAAGAATAACCACCAAGTGAGGGGGCGAATTTAATTAAACCGCTCTCATTTCTCTGCTGAATTCGCTCATCGGTAGTGTCCTTAATGAAAAGGCACATGAGCCGAAGCCGGCCACAACTTTTCTCTGTTTACCGGGTCATTTCTCATTTTGGCGAGCAGCGAAAGCGGCAGAAATGGTAAAGGGCAAGCTCATTAATGGTACTGAGTTTCGTGTCGAATCGACGATTTTGCAGTCACTGGCAGCACTTTGGGCGCGATTGCCGGGAGCGTTTCACGAGCTGTCGAATGCGACAAGGGACTACCAGCCGGGCACCGAGTACATGGCATTCCTGCAGACTCTGCCCACTCGTGCTGCCAGCAGTAGCAGTCTCGTCAGGTATCCTTTCCCCCCACTTTCCAACTCTTCTCTCCTTTCTCAGATCGGATCGCTCGATCGACGAAGGTGTCGCTTCCTGTGACGGCTCCTCCTCCCTGACTTCTCTCCGTCGGAACGCCATCAATCCGGATGACGAAGGTGCGCTTCCGGACACGAAAAGGCACAAGAAAACGAGCTACGGTATGTTATCCAGCGGTCCCTCATTACCTGATCTTTCTCTTTCTGCAGCCGGTCGAACATTCGACAATCACGAGATTTCGACGGCCGCTCAGTCTCACCACATCCAACGGACCGTTCAGCCTTCGAAGTGCTCCGCATGCGATACTCTGTCCATCCTGTACACAGTTCAGTGTATTGACTGCGGGGGACAGTGGCACAAGACATGCTTCCCGAGAGTTAGTTTCCCAGCACATCGGCTTTATTCATGAGTTTGTTTCAGATTCAACAGGTCTGCGGCCAGGCATCTAAACTGGTCGACAGACGAACGTCGATATTCGGAGTTCCCTTGAAGGGTCTTCTGGAGCATCAGAACAGACACATTCCGCTGATAATTGAGAAGAGCATCGACCAGTTACAGAGGAGGGGGCTGAGAGCGAAGGTACGGAAAGAGGGAGGTATTGATCTAAATGAGACTGATGTTCCAGGGAATATACCGCACTTGCGGAGTCAAGTCCAAAATCGAAGAGATCTGCAACTCATTCGAACGCAGCTCTTCTGATGATGAAGTCTGTTTGGAGAACGAGAACCCGATGAATCTGGCGTCGGTCGTCAAGTTGTACCTCCGCAAACTGCCCGAACCTCTCCTGACCTATGATCTTTACGATGACTTTGTTAAACTAGGAACCGAAAGTTGTTCGGCGACGGCATCTGGCTCAAGCTGCGAAGACGAGAAAGTGGAACAGTTGAGAGTGCTGATGAGGAAACTGCCGGTGTGCAACTACGAGACACTCAAGTTCGTTATGATTCATTTGAACAGAGTTTCATGGTAAGAAGTTACTACTGGAAGGTATCACCTGAATGCGAATGGTTCAGGTTCCATGAGGTGAATCTTATGGGCGCTGCGAATCTGTCGACAGTCATCGCTCCCTCTCTTATCTGGATGTCTCCGAAACGGGCGGATCACACGTCGGCCATCATGCACGCTCAATACACGAACAAAGCGATCGAAGTGATGATTCGGAATGCGTACACGATATTCGGAATGGACAGACAGGCCGATTGGCAGAGCTTCTTCTCGAGATACAGTGTGGAAGAGCCGCCGAGAGAGGAGGAAGACTGTGGAAACGAATCGGACATCGAGGATGATATCGAGGATTTGGATGATCAGGACAGGTCGGATGACGACGATGATGAAGAGATATTCCTGCCGCCGACGCCGGACATTCTGAAGACGACGAGGAAGCCGGTGGAGCAGACGACATCTCTTCCCAACCCCAAAAGTATGTCACATAAAACATCAAAAAGATTGGTAACTCCTAACAAGCGGAGCCCTTATCGGCGGTGCTCTTCTCAATTTTGAATTTAGTCAGTAACCTACTACTAGGGGTGGGAGGCCATGGGAACCGTCGGACGTGAGTCGACCGGAGCCTCGGAGGGAGCTCTTGGACCGTTGCATCTTTACGAGCCTAACGGGAGCTTCCAATCCATGTTGAAACTTAATTCAATCTAAAGTTCGTCAACTACCGGATAGGAGATCAATCTAGACCGAAATGTACGAGCACCACCTGTCGTGCGAGAATCTGGTAGCGTTTATAAGAGAGCGGGTATGCGGACTACCGACATCTCACGGGTTCCGCCGACCGCTATACAATGCGTTGGAAATAGGCGGGACTTGGACTGGTCGAGGCGTACACATGTACGGAAACCTGCCATGGCAGTCAGAATGTCTCTACCCAATGAATATTGCAAACGCATTGATACTTGCAGCTCCGGTGGAAAGAGTCCCAAGCGGACGACGGGCTAATAACAATGATTCGGTGCCGACGGCGACGATACAGAGAAGGACGACTGACGTGGCACGACGGGCAGACATTGGGGACAAGAGAAAGAGTTACACCACTTCAATTGTGATCGCTCCCAGAGGTCAGTCTTTCTCATTTGCACGTTTCGAATGATTCCAACTCGACGAATTCAGATGCGTCTCCAGATCACGTCGATCAAATCCAGATAATCGAACGGGATGTTTACGAGAAACGGCCTTCTTTGGAACGGGAAAAGGTACGGGGGAATGAGAGTTTGTTTTGTCCTTTCGGTTGAGTTGGTTGTTGACACATTCTGATACTAACCACCTATTCCTGTGTGCAAAAATCTCTTATCAGAATAAGTTTCGGAAAGAAATCAGAATTAACAAGAAGCAGGAGAAGGTAAAGGAGAAGAACTATTTTGAGAATTGCGACAAGAAGAAGCGGGGGAGCTCTGGCAGCAGTCCATTGCTCCAGGAAATGTTCGCCGAGGGATCGGTGGGACGGACAAGTAAGACGGAGAAAACGGGCAAGAGAATGAGAGAATGAAGCACAATTGACTCCCTTTCGCTCACGGAATGAACGGGGAAAGAGAGCTGCTTTTCGGAGGCATTTCATTCCCTTTTTGGATTCCCTGCTTTCGGCTTTTCCTTTCCAAAAACGGGCTCTCTTCTCCGCACTTTGCCCACTCAAACACCCCCACAATTCACAGTAATAAACAACTCCAGCCGCATGTCGTGTTTCCTCCTTCGTTGGTCTCTGCCATTGACCAGTTTGTTCAGGTTGAATCGACGCGTCTCTGATCCGCCCGTTCCGCTTCCCTTCCGCATGTCGAGCCGAGCATGATCCCACTTACACTAGGTCTCCAACAACAGCAGGTTTGCCGCCCTTTTTTCGCTTACCATTCCTCATTTTCCTTTTCATTTCTGTCTCGGTCAAGTAGTCTCTTTCCATTTAGTTCTCTCCCTCGGTTCAGCTTCTCCCTTATTTTACCACTAACTTTTCCCATTTCTTTGTCCTTGGCTACTTTCTACTCATCAATTCAGACGGCAATTTAATATTGTCCATTTCAGTGCTACTCTTTGGCGAGCGAATGTGCACGTTCTACGGCGGCAGCACCTCTTCGGAATCCGCCGCGAACTCACCGCTTTCTTCAGCGCCAATCGACCGCCGAAGACGAATTCGACGACGAAACAACGCGGAAGACGCGCGGAACGGCGGCGGTTCCGCAGATGACAATCGTGGCGCCGATGAGCCTTCCGCCTCCCCAGAATAGCATGATCGTGTTCGCCGACGAGTTCGAACTGTTCCGAGACCAGCCCGTTTCCTACGTGTAAATATATTCTGAAACTATTCATTTCCTCTGTTCCGTCTCTCCATTGTTATCTCTCATCCAGGCGCTAAGAAGTAGAACTCGCACGGAACGGAACTGTTACGATTTGGAACTCGCAGTTATATTTTAATGTTGCGAGTTCCAAATTGTAACAGTTTCATTCCGTGCGAGTTCTACTTTGTTGTAGCGCCCTCATCCAACGTCAAATTCAGTCTGATCCTCAACATATCCTTTCAAATTTTCCAAATCCATCCACATGTTTCTCTCTTCTCCTTCTCTCTATCTCTCTCTCTCTCTCTCTCTCTCTCTCTCTCTCTCTCTCTCTCTCTGACAGCTTTACCATGTTTTCCCGTTCCACAATTTCCCAATATTTGAGCTTGTCCTAGGCGCCAATCCCAGAAAGTTCTGGAAAATCTTGCCGTTCTCTCTGGAAAACGTCTTCGCTCCTCCTCCGATTCTTGCGTCCAACCTGCGGGATTTCCATTTGTTTCTCTTCTCTTTTCTGTACATAACACTCCTTTTTCTCTCCCACAGATTTCTAATATTTGATGTCATCAAGATTGTTCCGATTTCGAGAACACCGACAATAAATATGTGTTTATTATTATTGCACAAACATTCAAACGCAAACAAGAAACTAAACTTTGGTGACGGTCACATCTCCTGTGAATTGGGCTTTGTAGTTCATGGTCATCTTCTGGAGGAACGTGTTCTCGACAATGTTCCAGTAGAAGCGAGTGGCTCCGATGTTGCTGACGGTCACTCGGAGGGTGACGTGGTAGGCGGTGTAGGTGAGTGTGGAACCTGCAAATTGGATATATTGAATGATACCTTCTGATGCTATGACTAACCAGTAGAGACTCCAGGAGCAGTGGCCACAAGGGCTCCTCCCTCGACCTTTCCGTAAAGACTTCCGGTCGGCGTCGTCGTCTGCGGATTCTCCACTTGAATCGGCTGGAAGTCGTTGGAGACTGTCACTCCGTTCGTATTCAGATCGGCAGCAATCAAAGCTTCCAGCATCTGAAACCACCCATTTCACTCTTCAAATTCGAATTCCATTCATTTCTTACCGCAGCAGTCAATTCAGTATCAGCTCGATTCTTGGCCGTCGTAGTGTCATTGGATTGGCCGACAAAGTACCAGATGGCCTGACTTGTGACTGAAGGAGTCGAAGGGAAATAGGTCCATCCAACCGGAGGACTTATTTGCATTTGAAATACCGGACTCTGGATGTACTCGGAATCCGTCGAAGAGCCGCACGCAGTGGAGAGATCCACGTGGCAGAGCGTAAGAAGAAGGACCGGAAGGAGGAATATGAGCATTTCAGGAGCAGCGAAAGTGATGGTTCGCAGACGGAGCACGTCTTTTTATACTCGTCCGAATCGTGTTTGATGAGGTTGTAACCGTACATTCCAGGAGTGTTCTGTTAGTTTTCGGACGTCTTCGGAAAAATATTATTGTTTAGAATGTTGAATTTGTTTGGAAATAGCCTTTGATGCAACGATTGTAAACGGAAACTATACTTGGAAATGCATCTGATCGTTGTTGTTTCATGAATCACATCTTCGAGGAAAGATTCCCTCATTGCGAATGATAATGAAAACACTCGATTTCGTATTCATGACTGCCTCCGTTTTCTCTTCTCAGCAGTCTATCTTCACCTCGCAATCAAAATTAAGCTTCATTTGAATGGCCCTTTTCAAAACAAACGACAACTTTCTCTCGCAAAAATGATGGACTCGGTGCGAGAGAGAGAGAGAGGAGGACTTCTCGAAAATAAAATTATAGTGCTCACGGATGTAGACTTGATTTGATTCTTGCATGGAACGTTTTTACTCTTAATTTTGACGAACTCGCTACGATTTCAGAATCACCGGATAATCGTTAAACTACTTCTCCGTAGACCTTGAGAAGGGAGTCGCGAACTGAAAACGTGGTGTCTGGGTATATAAATAGAGACTTCTTCTCTCTCTCTCTCTCTCTCCTCCCTTTTCTCTTTTCCTCCTGATAGTCTTGTTGGTGGTAGTGGCGGCGAGTTCGGGTCCGTTGTAACAGGTGAGTGACGCAACCGAAGAGTCTCTTTCCCTCGCCTTCCCGTAGTCCCACAATGTCGCAGATTCTCGAGTGCCCCTGATTTCTCGCTTTCTCTGCTTCTCCCCATTATCTCCCTCTCACTCCATCTTCCTGTGCTCTACGGTCCTTGTTCTGCTCCACTCGACCGTCAAATCGTTTCCTCTCCGGAACGTACCCCGAGATGTGTAGTGTTCTGTTCCATTGGCGAGAATCGGATGGGAGGAGGAGGAGGAGAACTCTTTTTGTTTTGCAAACTTGTGTCATTCGATAGATACACACGGACCTCTAGGACTCAGTGGAGCAAGGAACTCGGAGCCAGTAGTAGGTTGGGAAGCCTTTCAAGAAAAGGTGACAAAGTTCAAGTGTCGGATTTCCAGAAGTATCATCTTCTCGTGGAATCACTTGATTAGTCATTTCCCTCGAGAATGTTATCAATCTGTTTTGAGCGGTGGAGGGCATTGGCCGTGAATGAATAATGCAGCATTTCTCTATTGTGTTCGAATTAGCCAGTCCATTATGACACCGGGAGCAAACTTTCATTTCCTCTTATTTGCTTCTTGGCTTCTTCTGGAAATGCGTTTCTCTTTGACACAAACTGATGGATGAGCACATTCGGAGCCTCATTAATTTCCAGCAAAGCTCCCCCTTTCGCTCTTTTTTTGGTTCTCTGAAAGTCATAATTGTTTTTGTGTTACTCCCGGGCACTTTCCATTTCAATGTCATTGAATGTCACTTTCAGCTTCCCCTCGATTAGATCTTTGATGATTAAATTAATAGTTTCATCTCCCTCTTCTTCTTCTCTTTCTTTCTCTTTTATCCGCTCCATTTGCAATTGACGGCCATTCTCTGAAAGTTTCCGGAGCACTTATCTGCTCCGTGAAGTCGTTGTCCTTTTTTAGTATTTTTCTCCTTCACTCCAATTGTACTCAATAATCCACGTTTCGATTGGAGTCCTCCGTTGTGCTCCGCCACGTGTCATGATCCTGTCGACGTGACTTGTGCACTGACCTTTCGTCCCTTCGTAGGCAACACAATTCGGTGCTCTTTCTCTTTCTCTCTGCGGGCAACAACTGACGCTCACTAATATATCAAAATGTTTCGGTGAATGGAATCGCAATCAAATCTCCCTACAGATATTTCTCTCTTTGTGGAAGCCGAAGATATATTCTCTCAAAAAATAACTTCTTCCTCTTCTTCTTGTTCGTTTCTGCACTTTGCCTCTGGATTTCAGTGAATGACCATCTCTTACTCGGACACGTTCCTCAAACTTTTATTCCGATGGAAAGGCTCACTCTGGAAAGCGATATGGAAACACTTGCTCATCTTCCTCACCATGTACTACATAATCAACGCTTACTACAGGCAAGTGTCTCCAAAAAAAACAGCCCCTGAATGAGGCAGTTAACCCTCCGAACATCTCGCTCATTCGTTTTGCTTCCAAACGACTCTTTTTGATTTATTGCAGCTGTCCAACAGGAAGGATACTCGGGTACCACATTACTTTTACGGCTTTGTGTTTCAGGTTCGGGATGACGAAAGAACAACAGAACGACTTTATGAAATATGTGATGTTAGTTGACGGATGGACCAAGGAGATCCCCCTCACATTCCTATTAGGCTTTTATGTGGCAATGATTGTTAGAAGGTGGTGGGATTGTTGTCAGTTGATCAGTTGGCCCGACCATCTTCTTTATAATGTGTCCGCATTGATAAGAGGCACAGATGTAGGCGAATACGGTGTAAAACTGTTAGAAAGGTTAACAGTTTTCAGCCAGAGACTAGGATAATTCGAAAGACAATAGCCCGGTACGCGATCCTGACATCGGTGCTCGCTTGGCGGAGTATTTCCCTTCGAGTACTGGCCAGATATCCGACGGACGACCATCTCGTGGACTCTGGACTCATGACCAAGGAGGAAATGGTCATGTTCAAGTCCATTCTGGTCAACGTCGATCCACATCAGGTTAGACTTCCAGAAAAGTTGCCTCGAAACGCTCAATTTCAGAAATGGTGGGTTCCGTTGAATTGGATCCAGACAATGATGGTCCGATGCTTCGAAAAGGGCACTCTGACGCATACGAATGAGCTCCGCGTGCTCCTGGACGCTCTGGAAAAGTACCGAAACGGTTTTTTTCAGTTGTTCATTTACGATTGGATTGCCATTCCGCTTGTGTATACACAGGTGATGTTTTCCGGTTTAAAACCCTTGAAAACGAAATGAGCAACCTGAAAAGAGTCTTCTCTTCTTCTTCTTCTTCCTCTTAGTTCTAAGAAAACTGTATCTAATTTCATGACGTCACTGCAAATGCTGACGCGAAAACTGGAAGAGTACCGACAGCGCATCGCCAGCGTGTTCCTTTACGACTGGATTTGCATTCCGCTCGTCTATTGCCAGGTGCGCGGGACAGACATCCGAAGTAGTCGTGCTGTGCTCGAAACTTCTCTTCTTTCCTTTCTTTCCACGCGGTTCCTTTAATTCTCTTCCCCGCTTTTCACTTTCTAAGCACACTCGTCTGTCTTCCCTTTTGTACCTGGCATGTGATGATTCTGCGGTGATGACGTGGCACTAGGGGAACACTAGGTTACTGTAGTTGGGTTGATGCCTCATTAGACTAATGCATATTCATTTGCAACTCGTTTCGTTTACAGGTCTCCACCATTTCTGTCTACGGATATTTCCTCTTTGCGCTCATTGGAAGGCAGTATCCGAGCAAGAATGAGAACGAGGAGATCGTCGACGTGTAATGCTTCTGGAGCCATCCGTACTTTCTGATGCTTTCCACTTTCAGATATGTGCCCATCTTCACCATTCTGCAGTTTCTGTTCTATGTCGGATGGCTGAAAGTCGGAGAAGATCTGATGTTTCCGTTCGGCGCCGACGACGAAGATTTCGAGTTCAACTACATTCTGGAGCGGAACCTCGAAGTATCGATGCTCATTGTGGACGACCTGCACAATCAGGTGCCGCCCGTTTACGTGGAGAGTTTGGACGATGAAATCCACGTGAGAACACCTACCGTAATCTTTGAAATGAGAAAACTATCGTTTTACAGTTGCTGCACACGCACGCATCCTCTAAACTATCGAATCACCCACAGAGACAGCATCTGCGGAAGCTCAAGTTCAACGTGGATTCGATGCAAGTGCAGGCCGTTCCGGCAAGTGGGTTTCCCCTCGCAAACCGTCTATTTCCTGCGTTCTCAGATCATCTGAACGATCGCGACGTTTCCGTTTCGACCACTTCCAAACTTTCGTTCGCCGACCTCGAAAACATGGCGAACGGACCGAAAAGTGTGACGGGGATGGGAGTTCGGTGACTTCTTCTTGCTGAGTTCTCTTTCGAACTGATCTCGACGTCTTCTTACCGGTTACTTATTCACGTCTTCATTCGCTTCATTCCTTCCCGACGAATTATTAAGAAAGTAACTGAACATGTTTCGGAGAGAACTAAATTAGATTTATTCAATTGAAGTGAGCATTTTACAACGAAATTAGTCAAGAAATTATGGCACAAGTATCAGTTAGTCCGACCGGTCGACTCGGGAACATACAATTCCAAGGGTTCAAATACAGGGTCCTCTTGTAATTCTTTATCCATTCTACCGTCTCTCTCGCATTTAGACACTCGTTTTCCAGACGTTTCAATCGGAAACTCCAGCAAATTCTTCGATTCGTCATTCAGAGTCTGTGACATTATGTGGAAAGCTGAGAACCAATCCGTGTGACTTTTGCTCGAATCCATCGAAATCTCTTCAAACTTTCGGAACAACTTCTCATACATTAACAGTTTCCCAGCTTTGAGCAAGGATGCGAATAGAGATTGCAGGGCTTGGACTGCTGATTTCGTCGGCTCTGAACTCGAAGAACCGATTATCATTTTAAAGAATACCCGGAGACCTCACCTTTTCTCATAGAACTCTCCATATTCTGCTCCAAACTCTGAGCCTGTTCATCATCATTTTCTTCCATCGATAACCTTCTTATAGATCGCCGCAATTGGACCTCGGTCAATTTCAGAATTCCCGGAACGAAAACGCCTTTAGCACCTCTGACGTCTCTTGGGTGCGGTATAACTCGGATTTTGGGATCCTGGCGTGATTGCGCGGCGATGATCGGCTCGCTGGCCTTCCGTCGCATGTCCTTGTCTTCATTCAGATCGTCTTCATCTTCTGGGGAACGGAGTCGTGCTTTTTCTGAATTCCAAGAAAGTTCTCGTTTCCCTCAACCCTCCCACTCACTTTTCTGTCCGTCACCCTTCTCCGCTTCCTTCTCCTCTTTTTTCACCAATCCGAACATCTGCTGCACAGCCGTCACCATATCCTTTCTCATTTTACTCTTCAGTTTCCCACATATAACTCCAACACCGCGCAAATCTTCGACTTTTGGAGATATTTTTGTGTAAAGTTTCATGGACTCCGCGGTGAGAACGTCTCCTCGCATGGTCGCAACAGACAGATTTGCAGTCTTTGTGAACGTGTCACAGATGCCGTGTCCCATGAATTTGGCAGTTTGGAGAGGAGCGTCGGCAGAGCGAACCTGGGGAACTTTCGGATGTTGAGAGAGGAAAGTGTTTTGAAAATACCATGAGTTTGAGAGTAATCGAACCGGCACTCATTTTCGAATCAGCCAGTTTTCGTTCCAATTCCGATCCGATCGCTTTCATCAGTTGCACTAACTCTTCTCTCTGCAAAGATATCATTTCTTGAAGTGTATGATAATTTTCACTTACTTTTGTGAATCTGATTCCGTAATTAATATCGCAAGAGACTGATTTCCGTAGCTGGGTCTTCCAGAAATCCTCCGAATCCTCTTCCGTTCCCCGGCACTGCTTGAATATTTTCGTGGCGTGTTTCGGACCGAACGCCTGCACGAGTTCCCGTTCCGATCTCTGCTGCAGTTGTCCGCACGTGCTGATTTCCCCGAAGCACGCAATCAGTCTGTCCATCATCTGATATCCGAGTCCTGGCAGATCTCTGACCCTTTCTTCCAGCATAAACGCATTCTTCTTCTCCTCATTAACCCAGTACACTCCATCCGGTTTCGCGTGTCTCGTTGCCAGCCGCGCCAGAAGACTGCTGCTTCCGATTCCCACACTCGCCGGGCATCTCGTCTGCTCTCTAATCACTTTCCGAATGTGCTCCGCAAGTAAAACAGGGTCGTCGATACCGTGCTCTTCACAAAGAGCGCTCGCATTGATGTACATTTCATCGCAAGAGACGGCGCGAAGCTGGAGAGTGTAACTGGCGAGTATCTGGTAAATTTGCTGGCTAACACTGACATAATCTTCGAATTGATAGGGTAGGAGAGTGAGTTGTGGGCACTTCTGAAGGGCGTCTCGCACCAGCATTCCGTTCTTGACTCCACATTTACGGGCGGCGTAACTGCACGAGGCAACCTCGCTCATGCTGTTTGAAATGGTTCCCTGAAAAGAAAAGGGTTAGATGGCTCGGAAAGTGTTGACAACCCTACCTTGCTGTGCGTGATTGCAACCTCTTTCTCTTTCAAGTCTTCCCGGTCTCTGACTGCCACCGACACAAAGAAACAATCCAAATCCACGTGGAATACAGTATTCCTTCCCTGCTCGTTTCCGTCGCCTTTCAATTCATCGAGTTCCTCTTGCGGGAAGCACTTCTCTGTCAGCTTCCCTTCTATTTTCAAGTTGGCTACGAAGTCCTTCATGTCTTGGGCAAGAGTCGAAATGAGATGCAATCTGCTTCTCGCGTAGTAGTCTCGAATGAAATTCGGATTGCGAGCGTCGAGGAATCCGTTCGTCTCATCCGAAGGTCTTGCTGTGGAGGAGAGGAACTGTCGCATGTGTCCTTTCTCTTGAGCGCCCTTTTCGTAAATCAGAAATAGACTATAGTCAAGAGGCTTTCCGGCGGCTATTCTGCAAATGTCCACGTGTTTCTATAGACCCAATACGGTTCTTACGATTCAGTGATCCAGTCTGCTCGGATAAATATCTCTCTCTCTCGTATTCTATCAATTTTCGCTTGGGCAATCGAGGAAGCGATGACGTAGGAAGTGATTCCGTGCATGTAGTAACAGTGGTATTCTCCTCCGTGCGAGATCATTAAATCGCGGATCACAAGGGCCGGAGGATCTATTTACCAAACTAGAACTTCTCACATAAATGGCAAATGTTCTCAGGAAAATCGTGTGTAATCTGGTTAGGAGGTTTCGTAATCTGAACCGAGTTCCGAATATAGTTAGACGTATTTTAAATCTAATATCAATGTTTTTGCAATCTAATTAGGAAAATGTTGGTTTGTCCATCTAATTAGACCATTAATCAGTCTAGTTAGAAGAATTTGCAATCTAATCGCAATAAATTAGCAATCTAACTAGGTCCGGTTAGAAACGCGAATTAACTAGCTAGATTAGAAACGATTTGCCTGAGTTACCTGTGTACCCATTAACAAACACCGAATATCCTTTGAAAATTTCTGTCAGATTTTCAGAAGGCTTCGACTTTTCCGAATTTACTTGGTGATTCAGCTTGGAAACTTTCATTTTCATGTAGTCCGACTGAAAGAAAATTATTGATGCGTGGGAGGAGTAAAATGACTGACAAAGCTGTTTATTTCATAGTTCTTTCCGTGGATTTCGACCGTTTTTTGCTGATTCCAATACTCGCCACTATTCGAAGAAACCATCCCAACGGGACCATCGGCAGCAGAAATAGCAGAGGACGGAGCAGGAGCAAAGGGATTGGACGAAGTTGAGGGGGCACATTCCGGGGGTTCGGTTCTCGGCTGTAAAAAAAAATCATTTGCGAAGCGTACACTGAGAAAGCTCACTTTTTTAGCAGGAGGTCCGAAGCGAGATTGGCCTGGAATAGGAATGGAAACGGGAAGCATTGTCACATCGGTCTCTTCCGGTCCCTCAATCCGTTCTGCTCGTTCTTCGCGCCCTGGCGATTCTTCTGCTTCTTCCGGTTCTCGGTGCGACTCATCGAATCCTTCGAACACATCTCTACTTACATCTCCTTCTTTTTCTTGTTCTTCGTTTTCTCTGACTTCCAACTTCCGTTCCGATAATTCTTGAAACGATCTCAGGAGGTTCGTGAGTGCGTCGTTCGGAGTCGTGTACTCTCCGCTCACGTCCTCTTCGTCTCCGCTCGATTCTAGCATCCTGTCCAGCGTGTTATCATCCTCTTCACAATCATAATCGGCGTGTTCCTCCTCCTCCAGGACTGTTGAACAGCCCGGATTCTCAATGACTGTCATCTGCTCACTTACGCTGACTCCGTCGAACGAATCCTCTTCTTGCGCCACGATCGCATCGCTTCTGATTCTGGAAGTGGACGGCGTGACCACGAAAGTGTCGAAAGAGTCATTCGAGTCATCGTCGTCGGCGAACGGATCCGGAGAACGCATCGTTCATCGTCTTTCTGTAACCAAAGTCTGTTTTTCTTTTCGCTTCGCTGATATACTGTGTCTAATGTGTATATTACGATACTTCGCAGAAACTACTCCAGTTTTATTCGTTGAGAAAGACCGATTCATGTTAGAAAAATTCATTCATCCGAAAAACCTTGCGACAAAAAGTTTGTTGGCGGGGCGAGGGAACAATATATTCGAGAGGGAAAAAATGGCTGTGCTAATAAAATATTTAATTCCAAGGCTCGCTTCGCTGAGATCATTCACAGAGGGGACAAAAGAAACGGCAGAAGAAAAGACCAAGTGGGTGCAGGAGAGAGGGATTCAAAAAGACGGGGGCGGTGTGACCGATCGATACAACGCGGAGCATACGCCCACCGTCTTTTCTCACTCGGATTCTAGTATTATGCACATGTCTCTCCAGAAGAAAAGTATGGCATTGGGACCGAAAAGAAGAAAGGGATGGGACAAAACAATCATCGATATGGATGCAAAAAGAAGAAGGGAAAAGAGGAATACCATAACAGAGTAAAGCTTTGTGTTTCATTTCAGAACCGTGCAAATCTAGTGTTTTTTATTCTTTGGAGAAGGGTTAATTTGGGTGCTAGAAGAGTGGGGACAATTTCATAGTGATTATGTTAATTAACTGAGAATAGAATCGAGTAATAATTAACATAATTGTCGATTTATTGCTCATATCCGCTCGGAATTTGCGTATTCTAGAAAACTCCGATAGAAAATAGCAATAAATTGAGTTTAGAACTACGAAAATGTTATCATGGAGGGGAAAATGTCACCAGAAAATGATCAATCGACCGTTAGAGAAGAAGAGAAAAAGAGGAACAAATAATTTAGGAGAAAATATGACAAAGAACAAGAGAGCAAAGAAGATAAGTTCGTAATGTGCTGCATTCATCAGCAAGAAAATGACCCATTTTTACATTTGTGAAAGTGTTTTGTGCTCTAAACTTCGGAGCAACTATCTACTGCTACACGACCGGCTGTCTGTGTGAAGTGTTGTTTGTCGCACTGCGCCTCGATCCGTTTCCGTGCGAAACACCCCCCGAAGACGTCCGCGTTGGGGCCGACTGCCTCGAGTACATCACGAGACCACTCGGCTCGTCGTCCTCGTCCGAATCATCGCCACCCGAACGGGAGCTGTTCCCGGTCTTCGGAAGAGGTGGCGGCAGTTGGAGAGTCGTCTTTCCGTCTGTTGGCGAGATCTGCAAATAAAGTTATAGGGAAGGTGATAGTTATTGATTCTCACCTCTCTCCTCGGTCCGAACCACGAGAGCAGAACCGGCAGAAGGATGAGTCCGTTGATGATTCCTGTTCCGATTAGAGCAGTCATCACAATGAAGAAGTACTTCACGACGAACCTGAAAATTTTTATTAATTTCAAACATTTCAATTCGATCACTTACTCAAATTCCGAGAATCCGAGCATCAGAATACCGAGAAGTGTCGAAAACGATCCATGAATGACAGGCACGAATACCCGGTCGACGGCAGACGACGTCCGCTGCGCCCTTGTTCCGAGAGCCGTCAAGAACGAAACGACAACGTGGACGGTGAATTCAACTCCGATTCCGACGGCGGTGATGAGAGTGACAGCGGACACTGGGTTCAGTTTAATGCCAACGAGACCCATGAACCCGGCGAGTTCGCAAGTCATGATTGCCAGAATGCAGACGACCATAAGGGCGGCCCATGGATTGAAGAGAAGTATGGAAATGACGAAGAAGACGGAAACGGTGATGATTCCGATTGCCTGCATGAGGTTTCCGGTCAGGAAGAGGTACTGCTCCCAGAATGTGAATGCGATTCCTTGCGGGAAATTAGGCAATCCTCCTGCAGTGAATCGGTCACAGACACTGCGAATATCTTTGATTGCATCCACGATTACTGCCGTATCAGTCAGACCAGTCAAGTAAAACGGAATTTGCGAGTAGGCAAGTGGAGCAGCGGCCGGAATGTAATTGGCAGACTGGTTCTTGCTCAGATCCCATTTCGGAGGCGTCGGGAAGAACGATGCTTGCGACACATAGTACATCATGTGATCAACGTTGAACCATGCCGTCAGGTAGTTGTAGAATCCGTCGTAGTTAATCATTCCGCTGGCATCGACGAGACGGATGTGACCGACTCTTCCCGCACACTCAAACGATGCTCCATGCGAGCACATAAGGGCGTGGGCGATGCGGGCATCCTCGGACACGTTGTCTCGGACTATCATTCCAGTTTCGATATCGAATGATCCCTTGGTCAGCTCTTCATCAAATCCACGTTGCACACTGATCAGCCAATCTCTCATCAGGCCCAGCCAATACTTCTCCGACGGGAAGCCGTTCTTATCCTTGATTACATACTTCGAAGATCCAATAGACTGACGATAGTTGTCAATTTGACGTTGCTGGGTAGCATAGTCTATGTTGGGTCCTTTGATGACAGCGAACATCGGATAGAAACTGAAAAAAAAACTCGAATTTACTGGAACCTGTTCTTTTTGTCATGCTCACCTGAAGTACTTGTCTCTGGCCCTCAAGAATTGAGCCGGTGCGGTGTGCTCTGGGAGCACGTCTCCGAGCTCGAGACCGAGAGTCGATTGTTGCATTCCAACGAACGAAGCGCCGAGAAGACCACAGCACAATACAATGATTGCCACTTTGCTCGAAGGTCTCGAGATGAACGGAATGTAGTAATACCGAATGAACGCATGAAGGGACCACGGAGACGGATCGTCGCTCGAAGCCATCTGAGCCTGGGTGATTCCGTCGAACTGCTGCATAATGGAAGCCTCCGATGGAGCACCGATGATTCGTTTGTTCTGGATCTTCGGCTTCGAGATCATCGAGTACGACTCTTCCCGAGTGTCTCCATAGAGACAACAGAGAAGATCGCGTCGCTGAGCCTTTCTCCTTCGCAGATCGATCGAGATGATGGCCGGATAGATGGTAAGGATGGCGATGAAGTTGAATGTGAGCAGAATACTCGACTGAGCACAGAACGATCGGAGCGCCGGGATTGGGAGGAGGGTTCCGGTGAGAAACGAGAGGATATTGTTGATCGATGTGCACAGAATGGACATTCCAGTTTCGCGCATCAAAATAGCCATCTCAGCATGTCCTCCAGCCAATTTGACCACGTCACGGTAGTTGTGTAAGAGCATGAACATGTTGTCGACACCAATTCCCAGCGTCAGGAATGGGACGATTTGTGTCGTGGCGGCGTTGAATTCAATTCCGAACCACGTGGCGAGACCGAGACCAGCGACCGAAGCGAAAGTGACGACGAGCACTCCGGCGAGAGCAAGGCCCATCGAAGACTCGGAGGACGGCAGACAACTGTCAAAGCGAGCCTGCGTGACGATGGCGTACGCAAGCATCAAGGCGTATCCGGCAAAGATGATGGCGTAGTTGAACTGACAGAACTCTTCGAGCATGTCAGCGATGGAGGTGGAGGCCAGTGGGTGGAGGGTTCTGCGTTCGTTTCCACTCTCATCAACGTTGGCCTTGTGGTTGTAGAGTGACTTTGTGAAGTTTCTCTGCCACGCCTGAAGCACTTGTTCGGCAGCAGTCACATTCCATTTCTCCATATCCAATCCATCCTTCATCGGTTTTCTTCCCTGTTTCTGCTGGAATCGAAGGTGCACGTCGGCTGGACTGGCCACTAGGAACACAGACTGCAGAGCATCAGCGCCGGTCAGTTTTCCTCCCTTCTTCACCCGTCTTGGCTTTCCGAGAATCATGTCTTCGGGCCAGTTGAGCACTTTCGATGCGAATCCAGAGCATCCGCCAGTCATCTCGGCAGCAAAGTCCACATTTTTCGGGAAAAGGTTCTCTGGCATCACTTCCGCCCATTTGTCAGGATTCTCGCGAAGCCAATGGAACGATGAGTTGCGGAAGGATTGACAGTCTGAAAATTGATTAGTTTCAACCAGAAAGTGCCGACGCAGTCAAACTCACAATCCCTGGCTTCTCGCTCCTTTTGTTTGCTCTCCTTCTCCGCTGCTTCTTTCATTTCTTCTGGAGACAGCGTAGTTGTGGTCGGAGCTGGTGGAGCCGTCACTGGAGCCGCCTGGTTGATCGAATCGGCTGGCTGAGCTGGATGGATCATTTGCGGCTCGGTCTCTCTCTTCTTTCTCCCGAAAAGCGAGAACAAGTCAAAGCTCTCGTCCTTTATCAGCTCCTGCTTCAGTTCTGTTCCGTACTTCCTCGCCACCTCGCGAATGCGATCCACGTGGGGGCACACGTCGAAGTGGTTCTTGGCCATCTTCGGGCATTCCGGATCGAGTGGATCGATGCACGGACGGTCCATGTAGCCGTGTCCAACACCAGCACGCTCGAAGAATGTGTAGTGGGAACCGAGGTTGAATGTACGGTGGACTTCGTCGATGACGGCAATTGGATCGAAATCCGACCAACGGATCATTTCGTGTACCGAAAGGGAACTGAGAAGCATGCTCAACACTCCCAGAGAGGACTTTGGAAGCGACGGATGAGGTCCAAGAGCTTTCGATCCCTCCCAGAAGCAGTCTATGGGGGTGATCCAGATGCACGGAACGATTCGGTCGATTACGTCGCCAAGCTGAGCAGCTGGAGAATCGGCAGCAACGGACGGAGGAGCCGGCTTAAAGCAGATGTCGGAAAGGGACCAGTCACTGAAAAAGAGATCACAATGAGAACGGTGAATAAGATACTCACACTCCGTGAACGGAAACATTGAAACTGGCGATGTGCTTCATAATCTCGACGTGTTTCAGAAGAGGTCCTTGTGCCAGCGCGTCCTGTCCTTCGTACTCGGGCGTCTGAATCAGCACCTGATATCCTCCTCCCAGTCCGTTCTCCCTCGGTATTTCCGGTCCTGAGTCCCCTGACAAGTTCTTCATCGCTTGCTTGATGTTTGGCAGGAAGTTCAGTTCTTCATCAAGCCGTCCTCCTTCTGAAACATATCCCTTTTCTCTTGGACACTTCCTCGGTCAGTAAACTCACGTGCTACCCACAACTTGACAATATCCGTCTCAATGTGCACGTATTGAAGTCCGTAGCAGCAGAGAGCGAAGAACATTGAAATGGTGAGAATGATGGACCACGCATTGCGGTGAACGGCATTTCCCAGAGAGAACAGAAGCTTCTGGATCAGACTTCGCGAGTAGAGAGCATATCGGTTACCCGTTGCCTTGCCCTGTAAATGACGTAATCTTCATGATGAAATGTGCAATAGAGCACAATTGCTAACCCCTCATCAAGACATTTGTCGAGTTTTTTCACTCTTTTTTGTTCTTATTTCCTGGGGTAATCCATCAAAAATGCATAACCTCACTTTCTTTCGATACATCACGTTTTGCGCCCTCGTTTCTCAGCTGCCAACCTCTGTTCTTTCGCCCCATTACACCCCTCGTTTCCCTGTCATCCAATACCTTCAAGACCCTCATTTCTCATCAAAACTCGGCAACTTTTTTGTGCTCGTTTCGTTTCACGTTTGATGAAAAAAAAAGAAAAATGGGAGAAAGGGTAGAGAACTACAAAGTTCGATGAGCAAACACGAGGCAGCGAGAGTTCTTCTCATTACTCGTGTTGCACAAAAAGCGTGTCTATGTGATGATCGGATGTGCGCAATTTGATACTGCGAGAAAACTCGCCCATGATGCTCATCTTTCACATAGGCGCAATCGCACTCTGAATTTCTTTTTCGTGTTGCACCGATGCGAAGGAGACGAGGGATGAGATGCGACAATTGCAAGGTCGTCAGTGACTCATTTCATCCCACTCATTTGAAGAGTCATAAACGACGCCTCGGCCTTGGATACACCTTTTTTCGTGCCAAATGATATGGCGTGAGGGCATTCGCACGGAACAGAACAAAAGGAAAATGGCGCCAGCTGTAGATGGAATTTCCTCGGAGGCACGTTTTATGCGTGTCCAGCCTTGACACACAAGACAAAATAACTAAAAAAGTTTGGCCAAGTGCATATTCAACTATATTCCGATTTGTGGAAAAGGCCGGTCCATTACCGTAATCCCTGCTTTCAAATTTTGAACAATCCACCCAGCGTACAATTAACGTGCGAGCGCTCTCGTCCCCTCACATCAATCATCCTCAATTTCGAAACCAATTTCAAACCCTTGCCCCTTTTCTTCTCCCTTCTCCTCCCAATTCCGTGTCGAGTGTGCCTTTCCCGTGATGAGAAGATGGGCGGTCCGGAGGGGAAAGCGACGCCTAATTCAACTGCTAGCAGTCAGTGCCCTTCGGATGAGAAATTCCCTCTCCGGAAGAAATCAGTCTATAAAACTAATCTGACGAGTTTCTTGTCGAGTTCCAAAGTATCACAAGTGTGAGAATTGAGTGGGTAGATGAGAAATTGACTTTGCGGAAATGCAAAACTGTGCAAATATGCAAAGTGGCGAGAATTGAGTAGAGTGAACACTTCAGCCCGCTTCCGTTTTCATTCATTTGCCGCCAACAAGGTGAGTAATTCAACGCCAAAATGTCAAATTTCTCTTTCTCTCACTATAAGTTGATTGAATGGCAATGAAAAAATGAAAAGCCAACGCTTTGAGACAGATCTCAACATTCAGAGATCAACGAGGTTTTAAAATTTCCTTGTGGGCCAAAAACCTGCGAATGCGGAACTGAAGCATAAGGTGGACCACTTTGAAGTGACCCTATAACAAACCTATAAATCTAACGGGAAAGAATTCTAACATGCTAATGGGTGTATGCGGTACGACGGGCCCGTTCCCATCCATAACTCTAACGACTAAAGCCCTCTGTTTCACCAATAACTGCCATTCTGTGAGAAAGAGGGACAAATGGAATGAAGAGGGCGAGCGACAGAACCAATCGAGCAGAGCGGCTCATTGATAAATGAGCCTTGGCTACTACATCCATGACGTTCTGTGTACCCTCCATTCCAGTCTTACCCGGTTGATCTGCTGCAGGCACAAGTCGGCATCGCACCACGAGGGTCTCGCGCGGAATTCTCGTTTCCAACGGTCATTGTAGTCAGCAGATGACGATTTTCCGACGAGGTATCGGTCAAGAAACTGAAAGTGCTGCTCTTGGGTTCCAGTAATGTGCTCTCGACACAAAAGTAGCTCACCCTCGTCATGAAATTGCCGGTGCGTTCGTTCTCCGCGTAGTCCTCGGTCTCCTCGAACGTCTCGTACAGATCTTCATCTTCGGGCGCTGAAATTAGAGAATGATTTTAACTTTGGATTTAAAAAAGAGAACTTACCTAAATTTAACAAGTGCTGTGCCGATCTGTTGTTGTAGTTGCCGACGTTCGGGGACCGCTTCGCCCCGGGCGGCTCCAGAAGTGTGAGCATTGCTGCCGACTTTTCAGGTCTTACGGGCAGCTCTGACTGCAAATGAAACAACCATTACAACGATTTTTAGCAAAAAATGTCGAGGACAACGCCACAGAAAACGTGGAGGCGGCGGCTAATTCAAAAAATGTGTGAGAATGAGTGGCGAATAGAGAAAGAAGAGAGGATCAGAATGACAGAGAGAGCGGCGAGGGAAGTTTGTGAGTGTTCGCGCGCGGCGACGGAAAGAGGGGCGTAGAGCAAATATTGTGTAGGTCAAACACAAATCTTCAGTCAATTTTTTACGAAAAAAACTGCCTATTAGTTGCTTATTTACAGCGTTTTTATCTATTTTCACGTTGAAAACAATGCGAAAGCCGGATTTGATACGAATTTAGAAGTGAATGCGCTAAAAACAACAATCTCGCGCGCGCAAACTTTCAAATTTTCAGCGGAGCCTACAAACACAAACAACGAAAAAGTTCGGCCATGCTGAAAACGTTCTTCCAGATGCAGAACACCGTAATCTCTTTGGCCGAGAAAAAATTAGAGAAAATCGGTGTTTTCTGCGCGAAAAGCGGAACCGAATCGAAGATAGATGCGGTGGCCTTTACGCAGGGCGCAAAGGATCGGGTTTAGAGACGTGAAATTGAGAATCGAACTCGTAAAACGGAGGCAACGAAGAAAGAGAGAGGAATGGAATCGAGTGGGGGGAATATTAATATTCGCATGGTGCTTAAACGAATCAGCTGATAGGAGCACGTCATTGATAAACGAGGTCGGAGGGTATCAAATTTCATAGATAACTCGAGGAAAAGTGTGTTTATTTAGCCAATAAATCATGCGACGAATCAGTAAATTCATCGAGCAAACAGGAGAAAAACGATGGGCAAACTAGGGCGAAGCTCATCGGGTCAGAGAATTTGAATTTTTGAGAAGGCGAATGCGGAAGACCAAAAATAGCGAGAAAGGAACGAACGAAAAACAGAAAAAGCAACAAGCGAAAAGAGGGATAGAGAGACAACGTCTTTTGCCTCTTTTTTGCCGACTGGGAAGGGGGACGGAGGATGGAATGAAGGAGGAAAAGGACGGAGAGATCACAGCGCCCGGCGAGACGCAGACACAATGAACATGTGGCGGATCGGAGAGGACACGGGTGACTAATCGAGGCGGAGAAGGATGTGATATTGGGGTTTCTAAGGACATATTCCGAGTTCAATGGCACTGTAAGTGGCCCAACTTTCGGGAAAACAGTCCTCGTGACATCGAAATGGAAAGTAACCAGTGTGTTTGAGAATGGCACAGAGATAAATACACAAACACACCTTCGTTTTGCCCATTTCTCTACTTTTGGGCGAATGTGTCACTTGGCAAATACGGTGGTACCATTCAATTAGCTCAAAACATGAATGGATGGGAGAAGTGAGAAGGAGAAACAAAAACCGTTATCACTATTGTTTTTTCGAAACCAATTTTTGAAAAGAAACTTGGGGGATCGTATGAATCATTTCTCCCGTCATGACCGGAATATATACAATTTTCGATGCATCGGAGTGCTGAGTCATCCCAATTCTGTTACGAAATCTTCACAGAAATGTATAATAAAGAGGCGAAAGGCTCGCTGAGAGAATGTTTTGAGCTGCCCTTCCAGAAATACACAAGGGAAACATGCATACTGTAGTGGGAAGTTCCCCACTGGGAACGTGCACGATTTTCGGTCAGAGTCCTAATGGTTTTCGGGGAAAACAAACTTGAAAATGTTGGAAATCTAATCAGCGCCATGGAAACCGACTTCGCAGAAAACATTCACTTTCTCTTTTTTCGGTCGAGAGAAAAATACGAGAAAAAGAAGAAGAAGAAGCAAGAGGGAGAATGTTATTCTTGACGAAAGCCGCTCAATTTCCGGTCAATCTGCGAGTGGAAAATGCTGGATTTTCAGTTGCGCGTTCAGGCACTTTTCACAAGAAGTCTAATTTTAGACCAAGTTGGAATGAAAATAGAAATAGGAATGGAAGTGAAATGAAATGAGATATTCTTCTGTGTAATCTCAACTTTGAGAAAATGAGCATGTCCTGCTCCTTCTTACTTTTTGACTCCGCCCATTCTTTAAACTACCGTAACTCCTGGTGCGGCTTCACACGAGAATGGCGCCATTGACGCGCCAAAACGGTTCTAAACCGTCGCGCAAACACCCTCACAAATCGCAGATTACGGTCCGTTCGTCGCTGAAAAACTGCACAGTTTAGCACCGATATTTGCTCATGACCTCCACGGATCGAACACTTTGAGCCGTCGCCGACAAAAAGAAGAAGAAGAAGAAGAAACATTCCATTAGACTACAACTTGTTGTGTTTGTCCACGTAAGCAGCACCATTTGCACTTTCTCCGTTTATCAGTAGGTCAAACGGAGGAAAACACAATAGTACTACATATTACAAAAATTGGAAAGGATACTGTAGGGAAGGGAACGAACACATCAGGCAGTCTCTTTTTTCGCGCACTTTCCTAATCAAATCAAACGAATACGATCCAATTAAACTGTCGATCGTGAGGCTTTCAGTTGGGTGCTTATCGCCGACTGATAACGGATGAGAAGGGGCGAGTTGGTGGGCAAAAAGTCAGATGACTGGGAAAGAAGTGGCCGAAATGCGGAAATGATGTGCCATGACGGCTGAGCAAATAGGGCAACGGATCCGACGGTTTTGTACAGTAATCAGAGCGGCATAGTACGGATTTCGATGGGATTTCACCGGAAAAAAAGGGAAGAAAGTGATGCGGAAGGACATACAAAACAGGATCGTACGTTTGTACAAACACAAACACGAAAAGAAACGAGTTATTACTCGGTCACCACACTAGCGTTTTTGCTCTTTCACGAGTCACGTGGTCCCCTTTCGCTCGCTTATTTACTCGGTTTGCAGACAGAGTATCGAATGACGTGGCAGTTCGATGGGATCAACGGAAAGGTGTGTCGAAAATAAGACAACTATGAGTTTAAAGTTTAAGATCGATTCTCGCCAGAATCGAAAATCCAGAATTCGTCGATTCGACGGAAAAGAGAAGGAGATTTGTGTCTTGTTCGCATGTTGTCAAAACGGTGTGAAAGTGAGTGATGGAAGGCGGCAAAGCGAGAGAGTGTGCGTGGGCGAGAGACGGCGACAGATTATGGTCGGATGAACACGCGAGATGAGAAGCGACCCGGCAGGAGAAGGACACACGGATCATACTCATACTATGCAAATTTGAATGGAAATGCCAGACTCGAAAGTGTTAAATGGATGGAGAAGGAGAGGAAGAATAGCAGATTATGGTGGTCTCTCTCTCTCTCTATTAAGCGGTCAATTTGGAAAACAGATTTGGATGGAAAATGGTGTATGGACCCGAAAACGAATGGGACAGTTGTCCGAGTAGTCAGTGTGGGAGTCCGAATATAACAAAGTTTTGACATGACATGACCGACTCCAACTTTTTTTTGTTTCCGAAGAAATTGTGGTAGCAAAAGGGTTAGAGAATTGCGAAATGCTTTCGTAAACAAGCGAGAAAGAGAGAGAGAGAGGGACACAAATAAGGATGAAGCTGAAGAGAGGGAGAGGAAGAGAGAAAGAAAGGAAGGAAAACGGAAGGGACAGGTGGTCGTTCACAGTTGTCTTGGTTACCGCAATGAGCGGGAGAGAATGGCGATTTCCGAAAAAACAGCGTCCAAAAACAAATCCTGCCCGGCGGCACGTACGCGTGAAAAATCAAGTATTCAAGGGTTCTTGAGCGAGCCGACCGACTGCCGAAACACTGGAATTATCTTTTGGAAACCGGAATCGCGACTGTTTTTTTGTTGTGAATATACCCGAGGCAGGAGGACACACACAAACATAATCGACACAGAAATCGTTTTTCGAAAGTGGAAGTTTCAATTGGAAGTTGCGGACGTGGTCGCTGGCCCAGAATTTCGTGAAAATGAACAGCCGAGCGTGATTTCTCCCATTTCTCACGGCACAACACCTAATTTGTGTGCGCGTGTATGGAGTGAGAAACTAATTAATGGTTGCGAAAGGGAAGGAGAGCGAGAGAAAGAGCCGGAAGTTCCAGATGAAGCCCGGGGGCTCAGAGCCCACGAAAACATGTCGACATGAGAAATAACTGAAAATAGATGAGGATAAGGGGTCGAATGTTCGGCCACTTTTCCCGAGATTGTCCTCTTTCGTACTAGTAGTTCGAATGTGTGCCACTTGACTCTTCAAGAACGCAATCCTCGCGGAGAAAAATGAATGAAACCGAATACTACTTGAAGAGAAAGAGAGAGAAAGAGAGAGAGAGAAATAGAGGAATATGCTTCACAGCTGGACATTTCTTGACCTACTTAACGAATTGGCGAACGAACGGATGAAGAAACAGGTGGAGAGATTGAGCCAATCCATGAATATTCCAATGCCAATTGGAATGAAAGAGAGTGTTTGTAAGTGAGAAGACGTAGAGATGCAAAGAAAACAATTAATGGAAGCGGAAATTAAAAGACGGAGGCGCCGCGCACGTCGATTCTGATGGAGCGCACTTCCAATCGGTCACTTCTAAAAGTTCAGAAAACAAGGAGTGACTCACTCGAAAACGACAGAAAACTATGCAAAAAAAGGAAAGAGATCATCTCTTCGTCCGAGTGTTTATCCCCCAATTCACTTGAGGCACCGGAGGGGGAGGAACCGAAATTGCAGGCAAAAACAGAAGAAAAAGTATTGCGAAGCGAAGAAGTTTTCGAGAATTCTCTCTGCTCAGAAGACGCACAGAGAAACGCGACGAGAATCGATGCGGAGACGGCTCCGAACTGCCCCCGCGACGGCTACTTATCGATTCGAGCTGAGAGCCGGCTCACTGACGCCCTTCTTTTCCGCCGTTTTGCTCTTGTTTCGCCCTCTAGGCAGTGCAGCACAAGCTACGAACATTATGAAAAGCTCCGAACACTTGTTATGATAAGAATTGTCTGCGTACCTCAACCGAAGACACTCTATGATCGCAACGTGATAAGGAGAGTAAGGCTCAAGTGGAACGGGAAGGAAATGAAAATAAACAGGAATCATGGGGAGCGAGGCGGAATTCATTCAATATATTTTCCGGGCGATATCTAGATTGTTATAATTCGAACGTACACAAGTTTACAATATGAAAAGGGGAGGATTAGAAACAATGGGAATAAATGAGTGGATCAGTGAGTGATTGTCATCTGATCGGTCGAAGTGTCGAACATCGAGTTCTGCCACGAGAACACCCGCACGTCCTTTTTGCGCATCAGACGGTAGTGCATCATGCTATTGGTCACGCATTCGTTGAAGTCAAAGCCGGGTTTGTAGCCGAGCATCAGAAGGCTTTTGGTCGAGTTGAAGAACGTCCAGTGATGGAAGTAGAAGTAGAGGAACGAAGGATTGGGCAGCTAAAAGAAAATCAAACGTTTTGGGGGAGACGAGTGAAGATCTCGAACCATGGCGGCAAACTGGAGCGGTCCGAACAATTTTATAGCGAATTGGACGAGCATCGAGAAGAGAAGGTAGATGTAGTACAGCGGAATGAACGAAAGCTGATTCGCCGAACGGAGACGCTTGTTATTCTGAAATTATGAAAACTTGGAATCAATACAAACGAGGAGACAAACATAGAGGAGCTGAGAATAAGTATTGTAGACTGTATTCTTCGGAGTCTCATCGTTGATCAAGAAAATCTGAAAAACGTAATTACTAGGCTCATCAGTCCGTTTTCACCTCAAAAATGCGTTGTTTCTCGTGCGCAAGGACGGCATCTTCGATCAACGACAAGTTCATCGAGCCCTTCTTCGCCTCAACTACTGGACCTCTCTCGAAAGTTGCGTCTTGCTCGAACACCTCTTCTCCTTCCTCGACCGGAATTTCCTCTTCTACATCCTTTTTAGGTTCGTTCTCCTCGTCGCAACTTGTGCGAACAGTGTTGTGGCGAGCACGATAGCCCTCCTGATTCTCGTCCTCCTCTTTGATTACGTAAAGTGCGCTCTTTCTTTTCGGCGCAGTTTGCTCCAACTCTTGCTGAATCCGAAATGAGTTTTCAGCAGAGGCGAGCAAATCGCTCAGCTCGTCATCGAAGGATTCGTTCAGATCGAGACTCGTCGACTGAGAGAGAAGCCGACAGACGGCTGACCAAATGGCGACGGAGACGTTTCCGGCGTAAGCCATCTGAAGAGGAGACTAGGAATTGAGACAGTCAGTCTGGATGAACCTGCATGTGACCATCGTTATCTCCCAAAGACGTAATCATCTTATCATTCGAAAAGTATATCAAATCGGTGAGAATCGAGCAGTTATCGCCCTCCCCGTACGTAGGCACACATCTCCTGAAAACCCCCTCCGATTGAAATAGGTAGAATTTCAAATAACTAACACTACGTAACAGTCATTTGAGCTTGCCTTCACAAGCTTTTCAGCTTCAAACTTGCTGGCACAGTACTCGGGAAACGGCCATTGGGAACTGAAAACCATTGGATCTCGTTCCGGTTCGTAGACATTCGGCCAACGATTCGAGCACTGAAGGAATGGAGTCGACAGATGAATAAGCGGAGAATTGCTGTGGAAGAGCACGGAGCGAACAACTGGAATCAAGAATTCTAGAAAACAGTGGCTTTAACAACACACCTTCTACATTATGTTTTTGGAGGAGCACGACGTCAGGGAGCAATGAGAAGTCGGTGCACTCATGAAGATTGACCACCTGAAAACAATCAAGTTTATCTCAATTTCAGAAAGTAATTCCAGACCACGTCGGCGGCGAGAAGCGCATTCGGAAGATTTTTCATTCCACTGTAGCGAAGACAGCTGGGAACATTTTCAAACTCCCGGCAATCAACATTATCATAGGTCCACAAAGAAATTTGGACAGTTTGGTGACCATCGGTCAGATATTTAACAAAATGTCTTGCGGCAAGATTATTTCCAAGAATTGTGACCCTCATTTAAGAAGACTCTGAAAAACAACAGTGGAAATATTCCGGCAGATTGGAAGAAGGAATGAGGAACCAACGGGAAATAGCACTCGCAATCGTGAAGTAACTCGAGAGAACTCAGTCTTAAAGACGTTTCTGAAGCTGAAAGTGAAAGCAATTTTCGCGCTCGTAAAATTTGAACAAAAACTGTTTTTAAAGGCGCACAGATTGCTTTCGCGGCTAAGGTCTTACCCCGCTTGGCAAGATTATACTTTACTTTATACAATTCAAACGCCTTTTCTTTAGTTTTTTCTCAAACAACTGCAACTCAACACAAATAAATTATAATTTCTATAGAAATGATCAGTTTATTTTTAGAACGTTCAGCTAATAATGCACATTCCATGTTTCTTTTTCGCCTTTTCAATCTGTTCCTTTTCCTGTATGCTCCCATCTTTCCACGGATTCTCGTGGCAAATCGGTTTAAGAACGCTTTTGCGGTAATTTCCACGCCCGTCTTCCATGGTTCCGACCATTTCTTCTTCAGCATCACCATCTTTTTCACTGAAATGTTTCAATCAACGAAGTGCAAACCTAGTGATTCTCACTCTTTTTCTCAGCTTGTTCAATGTTTCGGAAGTATAAGTTTTCAATTTTCCTCTCGCTCATCGGGTTAAACTCGAAGTCTTTCATTATTTCATCTTCATCCAGAACAGTTTCACACAACTGATTTGGCTCCACTTCTTCATGCGAATCAGACTCCTTATTGTCATCTGTTCTCTTATTCTCGTTCAGAGCATCTAAAGTATTGAAATAATTTGAAATAAAAGAACCGACTCGCAACCCGCTGTCGATTCTTTACGTTTCGAAACTCCGTAATCAAATCCACTGAAGCTGAGGATATCATTCTTCCACTCCATCGAAAAGCTGGAAATAACTGCGAAAAAGTAGAGCATGTGAATCGTTTCTATCGAAAACGTGGCATTGCGATGGATTTACACGGCAAAAAGCACATCGTTCTCAATTTTTACCCACTACATGAAGCATGAGGTTGCTCTCCCCTAGCGCCTCAATCCGCCCGCGCTTTTCTGGTCTCCTCTCGGTTTCTCTGCGGCCGCGGCCGAATCGACCGTGGCCTGGTTTCCCGCCCGCTCGACCGAAAACCACTCGTTCATCGATAATTCCTGCCAAAAGTCCCATTTCCGACTGCTACGCTTGAAATCATCCCGGTTTTTGTGTTTCCTAGTGGTTTTTGCTGTCAATCTCATATAGAATTTGGAATGTTCGCGATCTTCTCCTAAAGTCTCCTTTATCGGTTTTTCCGACATCTTGAAAAATCGATTTTGCAGGTAATGGCGGCTGGAGCAATTTTAAAGACGACAGCTACCTTGACGGTACTAACAACTCTGATCCTCGTCGGAACAGGTCAGTTTGGCTAGATAATAATTTTCCGATAAAGATAATAGTTTTCCGATAATTGATGACTCATCATCAATGTTCCCAAAAATGCATGTTTTCAGCGTTGTTCTACATGTTGACCGGACAGGGACACAGATTCGATATAGCATGGTTCCTGACGTCTACTTCTCCGCACATGTGGGCCGGTCTCGGTATCGGATTCTCTCTTTCTCTGTCTGTCCTCGGAGCCGGATGGTAAGTTATTCAGAATCTTCGTTCATTCTCTAGAACTTTTCTTTCCAGGGGTATCTTCACGACAGGATCTTCGATTCTGGGAGGAGGAGTTAAGGCTCCAAGAATCAGAACCAAAAACCTCGTCTCCATCATTTTCTGCGAAGCCGTCGCCATTTTCGGTATCATCATGGCCTTCGTTTTCGTCGGAAAGCTCGCTGTGAGTTTGCTTTGAAATCGAAAAAGTTCTCGTTATGAACGAATGTTTAGGAGTTCCGTCGTGAGGATCTTCCACTGACTAACGACGGACTCGCCATCCTCGCCCGTAACCTCGCCGCCGGATACATGATCTTCGGAGGAGGTCTCACCGTCGGATTCTCTAACCTCGTCTGCGGCCTTGCTGTCGGAATCGTCGGATCTGGAGCTGCCATCGCTGACGCCGCCAACCCGGCTCTTTTCGTCAAGATTCTCATCATTGAAATCTTCGCTTCGGCTATCGGACTCTTCGGAATGATCATCGGAATTGTGCAGACCAACAAGGCTTCGTTCGGAAACAAATAAATCATTCATTTTCTGTTTTTTTCCTAAATTAGTGATGTATTTCTAGTTAGAATCAATCCAGTCAATCCATCGCCGGCTCTTTTCTCTTTCTTCCAAACGAATGTATATTTTGCACCCTCCTCTCTTTTTTACATACTACTCTTTCGGTGATTCATCATACATTCCCTCTTCCATTCTTGTAATATTGATCGAAATCCCTCACTTTTTGCTTAGTCGTTTTCTCCTGTTTTTTCATTTTAAAACAGTTTGTCTCTCATGACAAATTCGTCCCTTTCTCTCCAGTTTTTCTGCTCCCCATTTCTATTGATTTTGCATCAAACTCCTCTGTTAATAAATAAAAAAAATCTGCTAAACCTGAAAGAGCGTGGTTTTCTTCGTAGTTTCGACGTGGAAATATTATCGGGCAGCGTTCAGAAGGGCAAATCAGTCGGTCTCCAGATGCCCATCGAGTACATCTGGACGGTGTCGGCTGGAGGCGTCCCGTGCAGAATCCCCGCTCTCCAGGACCCGAGTAAACTCGATATCCTCTTCTGAATCCCTCGTTTTTCCGTTCAGGATGCGTGAGCGAGACCGATTGGCAGGAGATTCCGTGCTCCGACGGAGCCTCCGTCCGCACGATCGTCGCTTCTCCGACAGCCGCATTCGCAATTGATCGGGCCGGAAGAGTGCTGATTCTGGTGCTGCCGACGCACATCGCAATCAGGGAACGCGTGGAAATCTACGCGAATCAGGTGGGAAATAATCCAAATGCTCAGAAATCGATAGTTTCTATTGCAGAGGTGGTGTCTCAAGTGGTTCAGCACTCTCCTGATCGACCGACCGCGGTTCTCGGACGAAAGCGGACGGATATCCACGGATCCGTCGTTCAATGAAATTTCGCCTGGCTGGAGTTGGGAGGAACCGTGGGGGACTCATCTTGACCCGCGCCACTTTGACGCCGAGGTATTCGCATTCGAACAGCCTTTGAAGAGTCCGGAAATGACTTCAGGGATGGCAGTATGCGTACTTCTTTCTGAATGCCAAATGGGAAAAACGGTGCGGAAAGTTTCATCAAGTACGGAGGAAGTTGTTGAAAAGACACATGAGGTACACAGCGCACGATCAGTGGGTCGAGATGTCGAATGAGAACTCGCGGATGTTCACCGAACTGGCGATCGGAGGAGTGGACGTGCTGCCGGAAGGCGAAAGCCTGCTCTTCGCACTCGGAACCGACGGAAACATATATCGGAGGGAAGGCATTCGAACCAATCGGCCCAGTGGATCGGGATGGGAACAAGTGCCCCGGATCCAACTGAAGGACTCGGAAGTCGACGACGTCACTCTGATCTCCGTCTCTCCCTCCCTGGCCACTCTCCTCTGTATCACTTGGGACGGCAAAATGTACTATCGGAGGGGAATTTCTATTCGGACGCCGTGCGGAGTGACGTGGCAGAACTTGCCGACTCCACGGAACAAAGCAGTCATTTTCGCGGCAATCGGAACACGGACCATGTGGTGCATCACGGCCGACGGATGCGTTCGTTTCGTCATTTCTGATCAATTTCTGCAAATAATTGATTTAGGTTTGGTTCATTCGGATTGAAATCGATGAGAAACGAAGGGAACATTGATGGAGGGAATCAGTGCGGAAGGGTACCAAATGGTCACTCAGGGAGGCATCTGCAAAGTATCGATCACGAAAAACGATCAAGTTTTCTGTATTTCAACGCGAGAGAAAATCGAAATTAGAACGGGAATTTCGAAAGGAGAACAATCGGGAAAACGGTTCGAGAAGGTGGTGGACAGAGGAGAACCGAAGGATCAGAGATGGATCTCATTGCATGCGGGGGCGGTGTCCTTCCCGGAAGTGCCCGAATTCTTCCTCTCCTCGACAAGCCTGCAGTCGAGAATTGAAGTGCTTCAGTTCAAAAGAGCCGATTGGCGTCTGAAAATACTCGAAAGACTGCAAGAGGCTTCCGATCAATCCTGGGCGAAAATGAAAAATGTGAAGGGAGCGGAACTCGGAGTGGAAGTGGATAACGAAAAAGAGAAAGAGAAGGATGCGGCCAAACGGATGAGGTGCCAGATCATGAGAGGAGACGGATTCCAGAGTGTCACTGTCACATTCACTGCCACTCAAATGGAGATCTCGGGGGAAAAGTTCCAGAAGACAATCGAGACGGCTTCGATCCGATCGGTGCTTCCGACCTTCCAGCGTCTTCCTCAGAAATACCTTCTTCAAGTGTTTATTGGAGATGCTTCAGAATCCGAATTCTTTGCTTTCACAGACAATAAATCACAGAAAACAATGCAAACAATCGTTGAGAATGTAATGGCATCTAGCCGCATACAAATGCAATTCTACTTGTTCCAGGTGATTTGTGATTACATTTGCTCGTCCACTCGCAGTTCGCACGGAGAAAGTATGTGGTCAGTGAGCTCCGAAGGCGTCGTCCGATGGCATTGTCTCGCGGAAATGAGCGAAGAGAGCAAGTACGAGGTGAGATGAATCTCCGAAGGCGTTCGTTTCTGAACAGTTCTTCCAGAAAAGAGTGAATCCGGGAGCCAGCCGGGGACTTCTTGTGGACGGACACTTCGAAAGCATTGATTGCGGAGTGAAACGGAGTGTCTGGGCGGTCAACCAGGTCGGAGCACTGTACTCTCTGAGCACCCACTATGATCCACTGAGTGCTCGCGAGACGGAGCACGAGTTTAAGGCGACGGACCAAGTGACTCTGAAGATGTTCGAATATCAGAAACACGCAATTTTCCGCGGCTTCATCACGTTCCAAGGATCTCAGAAGAGAATTTCGGCGTGGATGTGCGACGGGAAACCCTGTCCTCCCTCCTTTTCCTCGCTTCCGTCTTCCCAATGGAGCTGGATCGATTCCACGTGGCAGTTGGAGGAAGAAGCGTGGAAGTACGCGAACGACATAGACGGAGTGTACCTGAGCAGCGAGAAAGAGCAAGGAAAGGCTCGGCGACGCATCTGGACCCGTCGCGCTCATTTCGAATCGAATAAGTCTCCGTGGTGCCACGTTGAAGCGCCGCCCATTCAATGCGTTCGAGTCGGAAAAAGAGAGTCCACGGATGTGAGAATCTTTCTCAAAAAGTTTCAACAACTGTTTAATTCAGGGAAACATAATTGTTATAGCTCTGACAACAGACGGGCACATTCTGAAAAGGAATGGCGTGGATAAAGAGCACTTCAGAGGCGACAGCTGGACTCAGGTGACTCCTTCCGATCCTTGTGGATTCCTCATCTGCTTCATCTTCAGGTGATCACAGACTTTCCGATCTCGAGCATCCATTTGCAATGGGAAGATATGAAGTTGTGGTGCGTGACTACGGATGCTCTGATCATGTACCGAAGCATGGTTTCCATTAATACATCCTTGCCCAGTTCCGATTGGGCCAATCTCACGGTGGACCTGGCTCCGATCATCCAGTATTTCAAACAACCAATTGGCAAACACATCGAACTGACAGGCTATTGCGACATTCTCTACGCTCGAATCAAAAATATCCTATTCCGAATCGACACAAAACATGGTAAAACGAGGCCTCGTCTTCAAGCTAAAAAACATCTTCAGAAACGATTTCCGACGCTTATCCGATGGACAATCTGCAGCAAGCGGTGGTCAACAGCCAAGGTATGACCTTCGCATTCTTAAGATCCAACCAAAAAAGGATTATAATAACTCGAGATATCTGCAGGTTCGATCTGCGTCCGTGGCGCGAATATAACGGTAATACGAGAGTGGCGAGTCATTCCGTACTCCGACCGGAAGGCCACAATTATCGCGATGCAGAATGTGGAACGGGCCACCAACATGGGCTGCAATCTGAAATGTATTGCATTTTTCTGATTATTTATGTATTGCTTTCTGTGCTTGATTTATATTTTGCTAGTTTACGTCTCGCGTGTGTTATGTATGATCTTTTCCATGTGTATTTAATTCATCTTTCATTGAATAAAGTCTTGATTTTCAAAGATTATTTTTAAAAGCGAAACTAAATTTTTTTAAACCACACATTTCCCAAACGGAGAAACCTCGGCCACGGTGCTGTGTACTCCTCGTGGATAAGTGTAGTAATTGTTCGGCGTTCTCGAATTTGCACGGTTCTGATGTTTTCATGTATCGAACTTCATTTTTTCTTAAAGAAAAACGTTTTTCATCAACATTTCAATTGTTTTCTTTTGTCATAAATATATATTTTTACGCTAAGTTAGATTTGAAAGCTGATGAAATACGTAGCGAATGAGCATTAATCATGTGATTCGCATTGTCATTTCTAGTTTCGCAATCCGTTTCCGCATTGCCATTTACAATCGATTGATTTGCAGATCAATGCCATGGCAGGAGGACGTCCTGCAGCCGGTTGTTGCTGCTTCCTCAACAATGTCCGCTTCCCGGTGCTTCTGCTCGTCACTTTCTCTGTAGCCGCCTTGTATTCGACAATCCTCGTGTTTCATCTCACTTCGATTCTTGACCCAGAAGTCGAATGGCGGCCTGTTCCCGGCTTGGACACTCTTCACGGAAGTTCTTACAAAGGTGGGAACATTTTGCAGAGAATAAAGAATGAGTTATGTTCTATTTCAGGTTTCGATCGATTCAAACGCGAACTGACCGAGCCAAAGATTCCGTCAAAAGTAGTGAGGTTCGATGAATCGGTGGAAGAAGACGATGGCCATCCGATCCTTCCGCCCACTGTCAAACCAGTCCCAGTCACTACGACACAAGCTCCGACGACGAGAAAAACCGAAAAACCCGTGCCCATTTTCATCACGAATCGTCCGGAAACGACGACAGAGCGTGCAGAAAAGGCAACGACAGAAAATGATGTTGTGGCAAGAGGTTTGGACTGCGTGCTCCAATATTATCAATTAAACCGTGTTCAGAAGTCGAGAGGACCCTGAAAAAGTTGAAAGACGCAGAAGACGGAAAACTAGAGCCTGTTCCCCAAAAGGTTGCTGATGAAACATTCAAAAAACCGTAAGTATTTCACTGATTTCCCAGTGATTCTCTAAATTTTTCAGAAGTGAGCCTCTTACCCTAAGAATCCGCCGTGGATTGTTGTACGCAGCGCCCGGAATCGGAGCGATCATCGGCAGTTTCCTCATGATCAATCTTTCCAAAAAGTTCGGAATTCAAAAACTATTCTCGGGGTCTCTGGCTGCTTCCTCTCTTCTCACAATTGTGTTTTTGTACGTACAAAAACGAAGCTACGCTCTTCTTCTCGTGGTCCGTCTCCTGCAAGGACTCCTCTTTTCGTCCGTATTTCCAGTGATAGGAAGTGTTCTCGTTCAATGGGGACCTCTCAAGGAGCAGTTACTTTTCCTCACCGCCATGCTCATGTTCGTCTCCGTTGGACCTGTGGTTGCCTGGCCAGTTGCCAGTTATTTTCACGCGTTGGAACTCGAATTCGATTACGGTTTCTACGTGCAATCGCTCATTCTTGCTCTTTTCGCTCTCACGTAAGCAACCTTACTGATTTAATGTTCATCCTATACTTCAGATGGGGCATCTTCTATCGAGATAGACCACAAATTCATCCATGGGTCAGCGGAGTCGAATTGAACCGAATTGTGGCAGGAAAAGTTCAGGTAAGTCGTTTTCCAATCCTTTCTTATCGATAAAATCGTTCTCGTCAGGAATTGCAATCGAACCGAGCTCCCTCTGATTCGTTCACCTCTCTGTTCCGTTCTCTCGCCGCCTGGAGCATCTTGATTTCGGTCTTCGGATTCTTCTCGGTCATCGCCTTCTTTGGCATCTACCTTCCGTCGTTCCTCGCTTCTCCGGATGTGTTTATCGTGGAAGGACTCGGAATTCATGCGAGTATTCCGTTCCAGTTACTTGTAAGTGTTGTGTTATCTCTTCATTCAAATGGCCTTTTGTTTTCAGCCCATCTCGTGTGCCATCTTTGCGTCTCTGAACCTGCTTTTCAAACCCTCCACCAAAATCATTCGAATCCTGAATGCCCTTGCTTTCGTGCTCGCTGCCGTGTTCATCGTCGCCATTCCGTTCATCGCTTTCCTCGAAAAGAAGGCTGCGTTAGTACCCGGTTCTCTTTCTCAAAAAATCAACTTGACATGTGTTCAGACTGCTCTCGCTCCTTCTTCTCTCAACAATCCCACTTGGATTGGCAATCGTGGCCGGATTCGCGCGAAGTCTCACCGTCGTCGGAAGAGTATTTGCTGAGCAGATCGTGACGATGTGCGCTCTTCCGTTCGGAATCGCGTTCACAGTCATTCCGATCGTGGTTACTTGTTGGGTGGGAGAGAAGTAAGAATCAGAAGAAATTCAAGCGCATCTTCTAATCAATCAATTTCAGTAAACTTGCCGAATGGACCAAAGTCGTACTGGTCCTGTGCTTCATTCTTTTTGCTGTTGCTATCGAATTCGCCGCTTTCGGAAGAGGTTTTCAGTTTAGTATCATTCCTCCCGAACTTCTTCTCATTTCCAGGTCGTTCTCCTTCATGGGCCGAATCCTCGTGGGATCCTCTTGTTGCTTCGACAAAAATGCAATCATTGGCACTCATCGATTTCAATCAGGATGAGTGCGGACTGTACGAGCTCCGAAGGATAGAGCCCAAAAAATAATCAACTTCTCGCCTAGTTCATAATTTTCGCTGCTTTCAAAGCTTTTTTGCTCAGAGTATATCAATTTTCAGACCAAAATTACGTTTTTTTCAGGTCAACAATTAATGCATTGTAATAATAATATGATAATCTTGTAGATTTTCATATCTCTCCGCTTTTATCAAATTTTCATCAAATCTTGATTTTATCGTCCAGTGTAACGGCTTTGGATTGTACCATATTTCGCCTGCTCTTCGTTGTGATTTTTCTTCTTACAACCTTTCTTCGCTGAATAAACATCGCAAACAGAAGGGTGTTTGGAAGTACTACGGTGGGGGGCAAAAGTGTGCATTGCGTACCGACGCGGCGCCGCATCTCACGACAATTCGCGTTTTTTGCCTCGAATCCGCCAACTGTTGCAGGGCTCGGCGAGCCACCGACTCTTCGTGTGCCATTCGAGCCGAATGATTACTTTTGTGCTCTTTTTCAGTTTAATTCAGCAAGCGATTAAACGACAAAATAAGAGAGAAATTGGCGATTTTAGGAACTTGTAAATGTGGAACTGAAATGTGCAAAGTACATTTTTCCGGTGATGAGTTGAATTGAACAATGTTTTCAGAGTGAGAAGCAAGTATAAATAGAAGCATAGAGAAAGAGAGTTATCGAAGAGAAAACCAAAGATCATCTAATTTCTCTCAGTTTCATTGTCCCATTTCGAACGTTTTCGAGCCTTCTTCTATTTGTTATCTTGTTTGCCAGTGTTTGGAACTTTTTCGAATAAGTACTATATCGAAAGTGTTTTTGTTTTCTGAAAAATGCATTCCCACCACTTACATTTTCTCTCCAATGCAGCTCTTATCACAAAAGTGTTTCCATTTCCATTTTGTTTCCAATTCCCTTCTGTTCTCTGCTCTCCCCCGTCAGTTTCCAGTTTATAACGTTTCCACTCACAAACAATAGTTTTTTGAATCAAACTCCGCACCTCTTCAGGTAATTTACTATGCTGCGCTACCAGGCGACCATGTACGGCGATTCTTACGGGAATGATTATCATTCACCCGTTCAGGTTAGTGCAGGCTGATCTCCGAGTATCGGAATGTTTTCTGTAGGGACCATCTACAATCGCATCGTCCATGGGGATCCGGTCGCAGCAGGGTAGAGTTATTAAAAGAACTCCGACAGCGTTCAAGGTTCCATTCACCCAAGATTTTCCGCTTCGAACTCTCATTTTCAGAGTATTCCCGCGTGCCGGTTAGCACCCCGTCGTCGATTGTTTGTCGCCGACAGTAGTCAGAAGACGATGACAAGTAGCGCGGGGATAACGTTTCCGCCGCCGGATTACATCAAGAAAATGAAGGAGAACTACGAGAGTGGCAAGATCGTAAGAGGCGCAGAGAAAGAGAGATTAACCGGTCGAGAAGAGTTTCAGATATACATTCGTAAGAACGCTTCGGGAATGAAAGGGAGTCAGATAGGCGGCGGCAGACTCGCCACCATCAACAATTCCATAAGAGCACCATCGTGAGCCAGAATCAGAATGCCTGGATTTAGTAGATGCGTTTCCAGATACCACGCGACCTCAATGTCCTCTGGAAGTGTGACACTAGACACGAGCGGCAGTGCGCCCAAATACGTGTACCGTCTCCCGAAGACTGATTTCGGACCCAAAGTCGATGAGTTAGTCAGTTTTCTGATGACTGTTTCTGAGAGAGTTATTCTAGAAATCGTCCGAATTCGAATATGTACGTGCCCGCATTCGAGCCCCCTAAACAGCATTACACAACGGTTCCGGCGTGCATGTCCATGGGCGGAGAAGTCGTTTTCGAGGAAGAAGTGGACGAAGAAGTCGCCGATCTGGGCACAGATGAGCTCACGAACGACGGATTCAATTCGGAGAAGACACCGAAATCTGAATCCCCAGATCCATACCTCAAGTCGTCCGGGCCGTTGATCCAGACGAGCACACCGATGAGCGGCCAACCACCCAAAACACCCGGGTATAATCTGCTCCAGAGAAATCGGTTACAAGCCTCCAGATTTTCGTTGGTTTACTCTCGTGAGACGCGTAGAATAATCTAAATTTAAGATGCCCTCAACAAGATTGTTATTGGCGTGGTGCGAATGAAATGTCAATGAGAAAGCACATGCAAGTGCACGGTCCCAAACAGCCAGTCATGTACGACAAAGCGGCCGGAGAGACGATGAAAGTGCAGCTGGTTCAGCCGAAGCCGAAAGGGGTTAGAAGGGAAAGAAAGTATTGAGATTGAATAGAATTTCAGGTGAAATGCAGTGAATGCGACACATTCGCCTACTCGCGTCCTCTTCTCCTCCGTCATATGTACGATTCGCACGGAATCGAGGCGCCGCTAGTGAAACGAACATTCGCCAACCGAGAGATGCTTCAATCGTGGCTTGATTCCCTGCGCGAGACCCACGCGGTCGAATTCGTTGTCTCTTCCGGCTCCAAAAAATGGGGACGAGGGCTCCAAGTGCACTACTTGACGTGCTCCAGAAGTGGAGATCAGAAGGAACGGCCGAACAAGAAGTACGTCCGTCCGCCGCGTCCGTCGATCAAATGCGGTAGAAACTGCATGGCCTACCTGAAGATCAAGCAGAATCCGACGGTGTCCGAACTGCAAATCGAAGGGTGTCTGCATCACAGTGGACACGAAATCGACCACACTCGGATGGTGCTCGAGCCGAACGAGCTGGCGGCAGTGGGTGCGATTGTGGATGCGGTGAACGAGGGAATGGAGGTTCTGAGCAACATGGAAACTGTGCGCAACTATCTCGGATCCTCCGGCCGGTTCCGCCTCGTCAGCGACAACGGACTCATCGAACAAATGCCTATTTGGTTCGAGCAGTATCACAGAGACATGGCCGGCTACACCGGGAACGGATACCGTGGATCTGGTGCTTTGACACTCACCAACTCCTACTGTAATCCATTCCGATGTCCCTTTCTCTTCTCAACTACCTTTCTTTTCAGTGCCATCGACGAAGCCGGCGATGAATGCAAACAGAAGAGTGATGTACTCCGGTATGAACATTAAGGTAATCACGGGAATTCGGGAATGTTCTGACGATCGAAAAGGTTTCAGAAAGAGCTAGACTCGATTACCATGAAGACGGCTGTGCCGATTCGATTTAACGGTGGACAGCTTCAGGACATTTCTTTGCATCCGAACGAGCAAGATTTCGACGAAGCTGTTCGTTGATTTCTCGTAAAATACTGACAATAAATAGTTTTCCAGAAGGTCAAGATAGAGTTGGACGACGAGGACACTCTGGCGACTCAGAGCCTTCTGAAGGACGAGTTCGACGATCTCAAGCCGGGAGACTTCTTCGGTCTCAGCGGAGAGGACGACGAGATCCTGTGCAGTGGGGAGGAGGCTTCTGGAGTCACCTCCACGATCGACGGGATCCTCGCCGCCAATCTGCCGGACAACTTTAACGATCCTCTCTGCGGAATGGATCTTTCCACTGACTTTGGCTGCGGATTCGACGACGACGCATTCGATGAGGTGAGTGGGACGACGTGGAACCCCGAATAATCTTTCCGAACTTTAGTTGCTCGGCCTCTCCAGTTTCAACGATCGCAGCAACTTGAACTGCTCCTGAATGCACCCCAGATTCTTCTAGATGTTCTTAGCTAGAATCCCCCCGCTTCTAGTCTAGCCCCGCCCCCTTTTCAGATGCAGAATTCTCATGTTATTTTTTGATCATTTTATGAACTATTCACACTTTTGTTCAGTAGTTTTCTCCAGTTTAGTATTAGTTTTCAGTTGTCTTTTCTTCATTTATTTAGGTTGTGTTTTCATGTTTATTTTTGGACTGGATCCGAGTGAAAATAGGATAGGTTCGGTTAACAGAAATTCAGAAGAAAAGTAGGTCAGATGATGATGATTTTATCGATTTACATTCGAAATCTCTCTGTTTTTGTGCACTCTGTCATAGGATAGGAGTCGGTTTTCTCTTCTGTTTCATCTTTCATTTATTCGATTTTCTCTCTTCTCTTGCTCATTTTCGATGTAAATATCCAGATTCATCCTATTGCCTTCCCCGATTCTGAATAAGTGTGTAGTCGTCTTCCCCGTTCGAAATATTATCCATTCAGTGGTTTCATATGTAGAAAAAATAAAGGAAACTTTTAAGCCGCCTGCTGAACTCAGACTACAACAACTTTATTATATCACAAAACAAATAAATATATACTTATTGGGAAATACAACCAGTCAGGGAAAAACATCCAATTAAAGATTAAAGAGTTTTTGGAAAGGGAGATGAGGATGGGCAAATCACCTAGAAGCGGGATAACACAAATAAATTAAAAGAAATCTTTGGAATCGATTGAATATCAACGAATGCACGCTTGGATGAACAACGGAACTCTTAGGAGGAAGGTTCATTCAGTTCTTCTTCTTTTCCGAATCCAGCACCTTGGCTCCCTTGACTGGAGTGTCTTTATGGTAGAGATAAACGACGGAGAAGAGAACGAGGCCGACCATCATCGAGAACGAGGAAGCGTAGTACGGATAGGCGGAGCGGATGAACCTCTCGTACTGAGTGTGCCACAGAGGACGCACCGACACCTGAAAAGGAAGAATTAAAACGGCGGGGGCTGGGGTTCGGGACAAACCTGCTGAACATCATAGAGATGAGTGTATCCGATTCTTCTGTAATCGACGAGGAATTTAAAGACTCCCAGAACGTCGGGCAACTTGAAGGCGGTCGATAGGCGTCCGTTCTTGTTATTGAGAGTAACTCTGACGAAGGGATCGATGCGAACGAATTCGAGCTGCACATCCTTTCCTTGGAATGGCACCCACTTTCCGTCCTTCAGCTCTTCGACGTCGATAGTGTAAACAACGTCTTCAGTTATGAAATAGTCTTCCGCTGGCGGAACAGCTTCTCCCTTTTTGTGATGGTTCACTGATTTAACACGGAGCACTCCGCTCTCCTTCATCACCCATTTCGAGATAGAGGCAGCGAGATCGGCATTTCCAGAAGCCTTCACTTCTGATTTGTACACTGGATTCGAAGGCTTGAGTTTAGCAGCGAAGAACTCATTGGAGAAAAAGTCGACACTTCCGGAGAAAACGATTCTGGCGTTGTTACGAGTCTGGAGACCAGCAATCAAAACAGTGCGGGATCCAGCAATTGCGGGGTTCTGAAAAATACATTTCCTTAGAAAGAAGGTTGTTTTTGTACTTACGACAACACGCGTAGCCTTCGGATCATAAGAATATGCTGTTCCGTCCGCTTTCGCAATGTTCAAGGCGAGATTGTTCGACTTTCCAACAACCAATCCGACTCCTCTGAACACAGATGGATTGGTCGGCTTTCCGACAATCAGTTCGGAGCCAATGAGCTGATTTTTGTTGATGACAATAGTCGTGTGATCTCCCGAATCCAGAGTTTGGTCAAAGTTATGATGATCCACAACGGCAGTTCCGGCCAAATCAAACTCGAAACCGTGCTCAACGGCAAGCTCGCGGAGGGCATCACCGATGTTGGAGCCGGCGGCAACAAGCACATTACCTCCAGCATCAACGAACTTCGCAATTTCAGCAGGAGAAAGAGATCCTCCGAAGACTTGGACTCCTGGAGCAAGAATGTAGAGATGGTCGAAGATCAATTGTCCGTGTTTGAAGAGAGCGAGTTGCGAGTCATCGGCAGCACGAACCGTCAAATCATGGCCTCGTTCTGAAGAAGAAAGTCGATACTTATTGCGGTGATAATGTCCAAATTACAAACCTTTGACAGAATTGAGGAAAACTGAGTGCGTGTCTTTCACGGCTACAGTTTCCCCTAAAACGAGGACCCGATCGGCGCAAATTCGCTGGAACGCGACGGCGACAATCAGAAGAAGCGTCGGCAACCATCTCATTCTGAAAAATTGTAGAATTTAAAAGCGAAACGACGCTGATTAGGTGCAAAATGAGCGAAGAGCCTTGTTCGCCACGTCGGATTCGAAGCGCAATGAGTGCAGACACGGTCACGCAAATATACACACATTTACGCACCGTACCTCTTTTGAGAGGAGCCACGCTCCGAAGATCAACACCGAAAAATAAGAAAAAGATCGGGAAATACCTAGAAATCTGTCACAAAAATGCATTCAAATATTTTTCATTTACATGATAATTGTTATTTATGAAAGCTTAGCGCAACAGGAGGGCTCATCAAGTCAACGCGGAAACTCAAATTTTCTACTAGCTTTAAAGCTTTTACTGGCCTTTTTAGGCTGTGATATTCCTATATTTAACATTTTATTTTTACAATCGTCTCGTAGTTATGCAGGAAATGAATTATGAGGTTGGCTGTCTGCACATAGTGGCGTCGATTTGGGTGACTTGAGTAAGTGTGAGCATCACTTTACGACGGTATTGATTGGTATCGTGGAAGTAGAACGGATTTCTCTCGAAATAGACCGTCTGAAGGTCCTTCAGTTTGGCGAGCAGCTCAATCTCCGAGAAGCTCTCCACTTTGTTGTCGTTCGCCTGAATTCTCACATTGAACAAATGGCTATCGCGAAGTTATTTACCCAAAAATCATTGATGTTCTCCAGTTTCTCAACGCCGCTGAACGTTTTGATTTCATTGTTGGAGACGTCCAGTAGGGTGAGATTAGTCTGAAAACGAATGGGATCCACCAGGCATCACGAGGGGTCAACTGACCAGAAACTCGACCCCGTGGATGTCCTGCAGTCCCTGATCACTCAGATACAGCTCCTTCAGGTTTTTCAACTCTTCCACGTTCTCGATTTGGACGAGCCGATTGCCGGGAACACTGAGCACGTGCAACTTCTGCAGATTTCCGACGCCTTCTAGCTGGCGGATCTTGTTCTTTCCCAGAAAGAGCTGTTCCAGGTTTACGAGATGACTCAAGTTTTCGATCTTCTTGATTCTGAAATCTTCATTTCAATTTTTGGATTTTCTTTGAATTCATACCGATTATCGCCGAGCTCGAGCAGTTTCAACTGGGTTAAAGACTCCAAATTTTCAATTTTCTCGATTTTATTGTTGACGAGGTACAGAATTTCAAGTCTTGTCAATTTGTCAAGTCCGCTGATTTGCCGAATTCTAGAAGTTATTCGTTTGATTGTCTGCTGATTTCTACCGCAACTACCGATTATAGCTCAGGTCGAGATTGGTCAGATTGACGAGAGTTTCAAGGTTCGAAATCTCGGTCAGCTGGTTTTCGTAAAGGTCGAGAGAAGTAAGGTTGACCAGAGCAGTGATGGACGGACTGATCGCTGTCAGAAGGTTGTTACGCATCCGGAGTTCCTGAAAGACGATATTCTTTCTGGAAATCGAACATTCGATTACCTCGATCTTTTCGAATCTTGTCAAATCTGGAATGTGATCGGCACGAGTGTGAGTCAGATCTACTTCAACCGAATCGAGTTCGATTGTGTTCAAATCGAACTGATTCTTCTGCACAGGCTCGTTCGATTCCTCTGGATCTTCTCGTGGAAGAACCACAACTTCTTGTGATTTGTTCTCTGCCATTTTCACTGAAATTCTCTGTTTAGCATGTAGTAAAATGTTATAAAATGAGAGTATTGGAAGAGAATTCAACTCTACTTGTACGACAAAGTTACAACAACAAATAAGTAAGGATGTTTATGAAAATATCAGGAGTAAAATCTAGGTGGGACATACACGTATTACAGCAATTCAGACAGAGAAATTACAAATCTGAAGTTTCAAAAATAGTCAATGTTTTTTGTCGAACACATCTGCCCAGACGTTTTGCGGTCCGGCCTGCTGTTCCCTCGACGATCGGAGCAGTGCTCTCTCCTCCTTCTGCGCATTTTTGTAGTAATCGTGATAGTATTTGGGATAAAGAGTGACTGCAGCCACTGCACAACAAGTAATCAAAGCTGTAGTCACGACTGCGATCGATCCGAGTGTCGGCCGAGCGGTTTTTGCCCATTTCGGAAGGCGATTCTTGACTGAGAACCAGAATGGCACTGGGGCTCCGGCTGGGACGCGCATTCTGAGAACTGTAAGAGAAGATTTGGATTACTTCTTTTTAATGATATTTAGTGACAATTTACTGTTTTTCGAGATGAAGAAACAATCAGAAAAAGAGAGTTCCACACAAAGATTTCTGAGCGACGTTGTGTATTTTTCAACGACACTCCGCCAGTGCTCCTTGTTTAGCGGAAATCCGAGGCAATTGAGCTCAAATTTTAGAAAATTTCAATTAGATTTCAACGTTCTCTCGACAGATTAAAAATGAGTAACGGTAAACAAAAAAAAAGTGTTTTTTTTTCAAAATAAATGTTTTCATTATTACAGATGCTGCCGTAGCTTCTTCTCCGGACAGTGAAAGCGACGAAGGACCTATTCCACCGCCCAAAGAAGGAAAAACCGAAGAAATTTTTGAAGTCGAAAAAATTCTAAACCACCGACTCGTCGATAATGTGAAGCTGCAACTCTTGGTACGTCCCGACTTTCTGCAAAAATGAAAACAATCAATATGCAAATGAACGATCGCAGGTCCGTTGGCTGGGATATTCGAGTGATGAAGACACGTGGGAACCGGAGGTGGATCTACTTGAAACTGCAGGACAAGCAGTCAACGATTATTTGGGCAAATTGAAAGTAAACGATGTGACGGAACTAACGGAGAGAATACAACGACAAATGCACAAAAATAAAAGCAAAAAGCGTCCTCGTGAGAAAAGTGACAAAGAGTCGGACGACAGTGACACCAGCTTCAAAAGTTCTGCAAAGAGATCAGTGAAGAAAAGCCGAAAGTGAGTTCTCGCAATATTCAAGAACCACACTCGCTTTTCTGATGGCTCTCACCATGATGCAAACTCATCTAAAAGGCAAAAATGTAACTTGTTCGCAGGTCGACAAAGAATAATTCGAAAAGCTCGAGAAAGTCTCCGAAAGTGCCGACGAAAGCAGCCGTGAAATCGTACGAAGCCACCCCTACCGCTGCTCCTCCCGCTGCTGCGAACAACGCGAAAATAGCCGCTTTGGTGGTGAGCCGGCGTCGGTTCTTCGAGGAGTCTTCGGATGAAGAGCCGGATGCCCCGGATGTGCCCCTTCAGGAGAGTGATATCGACAAGATAGCGAACAAAGTGAAGGTGAAGTCGAAGGCGATCAAAGAAGCGGAAGCGGCAGAGAATGCAGTAAAGACGATACAGGAAGAAGTGAAGAGCCCCTCTCCACAGCCGTGCTGCTCTTCTTCGTTCACTTCAGCATCCACTTCCAAGGTAACGTTTAGAAGTGAAAATCTCTAAAGGGTTTCCGATTATAGAACCAAAGTAAAACCCGTGAAGTACCCTTCGCGGCTGAACCTACTTCTTCTGCTTCTTCCGAACCTGCTCCCACAGCAAAAGGTTAGTATTCATTGAAGATGAATCACTGAAAAACAGAAACTTTCATTTCAGAAACCCGATGGTTCGTCAATGGAATCGTTCGCCACGTAGACGAACGGAACTGCCGCAAAAAGCTCGTCCTCATGACCAACAAAGAGACCGGAGTCAGAAAAGTTCTAGAAGCTAACGGTGAGCATTCGCTAAAAATGTGAAAATCCTCATTGTTGTACTTCAGAAGCGTACGAGCTCGACGGATGGGCCCTGACTAAGTACCTTCTCGATCGGTGCGAATTCTGATTCGGAGACTGCTTTACCACGGCGATAAATCAGAATCAATTAGCAATGAAAATAGTTCTGATTATGTACAATTCTGATCTGGAAACGTTCTGATTTAGAATAACATTCCCATATCCTCTCATTGATTATAGTATGTTATCTTACTGTCTATCTATGTTCTATTCGCGTATTTTAATCATTCAATATATTGTCAAACGTTCCACGTTCCTTTTTGAAAAATATTTGCCATTGTTTTTTATATCTGTAAAATTCTAATAATTTTGCGTTTTCTCTTGTGCTCTATCGGTTTCGAGACCGCAAATCGATTTCTTCTCATTTTCGTCTGCTTTTCTATTCGGAGCTCTTTTTCAGTAATGCACAGAAGATGAGCGATCGGCACATGTCCAGTATTTTCCCGGAATGCGATCAATTAAAGCAGGTATGCCTCCAGATGCTCGTATCAATCACTGAAAAAGAATACAAGGTTTCAGATCTACGACAAGTGCTTCACAGAGTTCTTCCAGAAGTTTATCACGCCAAACTACAGACATCAGTACGCAGTAAATCCGTGTGAAAGGCTACATGACGTCTACAAACGATGCGTTGAAGAGGTGGGCGGTTTCTGAATTCAAATCAGAGAACATCGGATATTTTCAGAGATTGGCCACGCAGAGACCGTTCGAAATCGACTTAAACGAAATCAGAAAAGAGTATCTGAATACGGACGACGACAAGCTGAAAGACAGGCAGAATCAACAGACGTCGGAGTTCGAACACAAGTGATCTTCCACAAGAATCTCGTGATTTCATTCATTGATCTTTTCTTTCTTGTTTTTCTTGTAAATTATTCGTCTCGTTCCTGTTAGGTTGTTTCTTATTTGTTGTTTTCCGGCTAGCATGACTCTGAAAAAGCAATACAATCTGAAAATTTAGAGAACAATTCGTGTTCAAGTTGGTTTCTAACCAACATTATTATTTTTCCAGTATTATTATTTTTCTAATCGAATCATTCCCAATTTCAGATGGATCCGAACAGTCCAATGTTCCAACAGATGCTCCAACAGCAAAATCAGCAGAGAATGGCCGAATTGAGCGAAAGAAACGAAAGGGAGAGGGCAGCGAAAAAGAAGGAGAAAGAGCGGGAAGAGGAGAAGAAGCGGCAAGAAGAAGACAAGCTACTGCAGCTCGAGAAGAAGCTGGAAGAGTTCCAGGAGAACGCGCGGTTCATCGGAGAGCTCGCCTCGAATTTCCAGCCGAGCTACCAGGACACTCTGAACGGACGGATTTACACGCTGGTGCACGGACTGCAGGACTTGGATCGAATGAAGGGCACTTTCAGCGACAAGAAGGTTCCGTTGGAGCTCCTTCAGTATCTCGACGACGGAAAGAATCCGTTGTTATACTCGAAGCACTGCATGGAGAAGACATTGGAGAAGAACAAGACAGTGAGTTGAGCCAGAAAGCTTCAGAAAATAAATATGATTTCAGGTAAACGGAAAGATTGAAATATACAAAAAATTCCGTGCGCATCTCATCAAAGAGTTCAGCGAGGAGATGCCCGAGCTTGTCATTCAGTACAGAAACTACAGAGATGATCTCGATTTGGCCTAACTTTCCCACTTTCCTCATTCCGTTCGGATCCTATTTTGCACTTATTTTGATCCATAACTTATAAACCATGTGTTTACTTTTCCTATTTTCATTAGTTTCTGCAGTTGGCTCGTCACCAGTGTACTATCTGATCTTACTTTTTGCTTAGTTTTTCTAACGTTAGTTTCCAGATGTCCATCGGGGCGAATGCGGTGATGAATGTGCAAAATGGCTTCACAGCCAAACTCATCCGATTCGTGCCGCACTTTGTGTCGCTCCGACTCAGTTGGACGCACAACGATCTGAAGGCCGAGGGACTCGAGCAGTTCGTCGAAGAGTACCTTCCTGCCATTCGGGAGAACAATCCGCAAGTCAAGTACTTCCTCCAGCGCTCCTACACCACCTGCGATCCGTTCGTTGTCGGAGAGTGAGCAAGATTATCTCAGTTCTAATGGACACATTTCCTTTGTTCCAGATACAACTGGCTCCGTCATCGCAAGAAGCGCGTCAACTGGAAGTCTAAGGCGCAAGTGCTTGCGATGGTAGAAGAGATGTCGATCGGAGGAGACTTCCGGGAAGGTAATCTTATCTGCCCCTATGTTTCCGTCTTCAATCCGCACTTTCAGGCTACAAGCGAGGCGTAAACCGTCGTCTGCCACGTGGACAGGAGCTGTGGGACACCGAAACGATGGGACATGACGTGTTCAACGTGTCGAGCAAGTGGAAGGCCGACGTTCCGGAGGAAGACGAGCTTCCGATCACTGCCAAGACTCATCCGCACTTCAGCTACAGAAAATATTAGCGCTTTCCTCCTTTTAGCTATTGTAGATCCGTTCTGTTTTTTGTTGTTTTATAAATTACACTTTTCGCTTCTCCCCAGTCTTTGCGAATGTTCTTCTTACTATTCAAAAGCGCGTCTTCGAAAGTGTGTGCTTATTTCTGCACAAGGGCCAACTCATAATTCAAACGGAACGACCGTAGGCGTCCATTCTTTTCTTTGCCCCTCTCTTGGCACAGAAAACGAATAAATTTTATCTTTTATCGAATGCGCGCGGTCCGCCGAATAATGGACGGCCCGGGCGGCGTCCCTTTGAACCATTTGAATTATGTCCGCACGGAAAAGATGGAGAGAAAGGAAGAGAGCTGCGGAAAAAATGAATGGTTGTCTCCGTTGTGCTCTTCTGTTTTGAGCTCATTTGGAGCCGTTTTGAAAGCGCGTCAACGGAGCTTCGCGGAAGCGCGAACTCCCTCAAATTATTTTCTTGATCGGCAAAGTTCCCCTAAGAGATTCAAATCTTTGTTTCTCTCGGTCTCTCTTCCGAAGCGATGGCTCATAAATCGGTTGTGCAGAAGGTCGTCCTGAATGGTGTCTGCGTCTCCCCGGTCCGCACACTCTCGCCGTCTATACGGATCCCAGAGAGAACAAAAAAGTTTTCACGAGTGGAAATAAAAAGGGACACTTTCCAAATCGGTCCGATTCCGTGCCTGCAGATGAACAGTATATCGGGCCAGATTAGAGGATTATTCAGTCCGTTTGAAAGTGACACATTGTGGCGAATTCGATTCGGACGAGAGACTTTCTAGTTTCTGTCCTGCCTGGAATCTGATAAGAAACACTTCTCCCTCTCCCTCTTCCTATCACCTCTCTGGAGCCATTCAACTCGTGTTTTATGTGTGTCGAGTGTGCACACAAAGACACCTTTTCGCCCGTCTCTTCTCGCCTCGCCGGTTCAAAGTTTTATGTGCATCGCCTGGCACCGACACCTTTTCCCTTCGATTTCAGGTCAGTAAGGGGCGTGGCTTGTGGGGGAAGCGTCAAACTCCGCCCACATTTCAATCGAAATGGGTCTGGTAAGGTCGGTTCGATTCGAGTGGAAGCCGCCCGTTCCCAAGCCCGTCTCTCTTTCCCTTGTCCCCCGTCTCGGTGCCTAATCCGCCGACACCTTGCCACTCGTTTTCCATCCGTCATTCAGCCCTCAGTGTCCTTCGTTTTACGAGTTTTCCAATGGAAATCCGCTCGTCCCGCCCGTCCAGAAGGTCGTTAAATTTACGACCGTCCCGCCCGTCCGCCCCTCCCCGACACTCCCCTACTTCTGAACTTCTCCTTCTTCTTCCTCCTCTTCCCCATTCTAAACTATTCGGTGCTGTTCGGACGGTGAGTGTCTACGGGTCCGCCTCGTTTACCCTGTAGATCGAGCTGTGTGTCTGCAGAATCGAGACACAAGCTAGAGTACAAGGTGCACGAGAAGCCCGCCATTTTCATGTTATTCGGGAGGGCATATGCTCACATTTACAGATTTTTCAAAAACTTTCAGATACTTTCATAGAGAAAAAGGAGTCGATTAATATGGGAACATTTACTACTAGACAACACGGAAAAACATAACTTTAACAGTTACTTAAATCTTGATTATTCTGAATAAACGATGAATGCATTTGCGCCCTTTGCCCCCCGTCCGGGAGGAGTGAACAAGCATTGTTTGCTCATTTGGCTCAGCGAGCCCACTTGACAGTTCGGTTCGACATCTTGTCTCCTCTAATCACTCTCTTCGCATTCTTCTTCTTCTTCTTCTTCTATGGCATCTCTGAAATGCATTCCGATCATTTTCCTCTTGCTGATTCTGGATGGTTCTCTGATTGAAGGCAGTAAAAAAGAAGCCAAGCTGTATAGGTAATCAGGTTGGAAGATCGAAAGATCAGCGGGAGTTCAGGGACCTTTTGGCCAACTACAGTCACCTGGTCCGACCAGTTAGGAATCCGAAAAAGGCATTGACGGTGACAATGAAAGTGTTCATCCAGCAAGTGTTGACTGTGGATGCCAAACATCAGATGATCGAAGTGAACGCCTGGCTCAAATATGTTCGAGAGTCCAGCGAAAACTGAGAGAACGTTTACAGGGATTTACAGGTTTGGACGGACTTCCGTCTCCGATGGAACCCTTTGGAGTACGATAATATCACTTCAGTCCGATTTTACGGAGAAGATCAAATATGGCAGCCGGACATTCTTCTTTATAACCGATACATTGAGGAGTCGGTTCGGAATGGGGAACTGAACTGATTCGATGATTTCAGCGAGCAAGAGAGTTTCGACATCACTTACAAAACGAATGCGTTGGTCTACAACGACGGAGTCATAAATTGGATTCCTCCCGGCATATTCAAAGTGAGCGAATGCACGAGAGAGTTCTGAAAATGAACAGTTTTGAGATGAGCTGCAAGATGGATATCACCCTTTTTCCATTCGACGAACAGATCTGTTTTATGAAGTTCGGAAGCTGGACGTATCACGGATTCGCATTAGATTTGAGATTGGATACTGTCGAGGGGAAGGGTTCGGAATAGAGGTTTTCACGTTTTAATGGAATCATTTCAGAATCATCAGCCGATCTTTCCACGTTTATCACAAACGGAGAATGGCATCTAATTCAGGCGCCGGCGAAGAGGGAAGAGAAGTTCTACAAGTGCTGCCGAGAGCCGTATCCGACTGTCAAGTGAGCTCTTCCTTCTCCTTTTTCTGTTCTCCATTATCTCAGTTGCTAGTTCCAGATTCTACCTCCATCTCCGTCGGCGCACTTTCTACTACGTCTTCAATGTCATTCTCCCCACCCTTCTCGTTTCGTTCATGTCGCTTCTAGCCTTTTGTCTGCCAGCAACTGACTTGAGTGAAAAGATCGGACTTCGTGAGTTCCATAATATTGTGTTAACCCAAAAGAAGACATTCAGAGACCACCGTCTTGTTGTCGGTCTGCTTCTTTCTCACAATCCTCTCTGAAATGACGCCGACGACTTCTGAAGCCGTGCCGCTTCTCGGCGTTTTCTTCTCCGCACTCACGTTCATCGTCGCCATTTCCACGGCATTCACAATACTTGTGCTGAATATCAGATACCGCCAGATCGTCAACCATCATCTGACACAACGGGTGACTCACGTCTTCTTTTAATTTCCCTTTCACGTTCGTTTCAGTTCCGCACAATATTCTTGGAATGGCTTCCGTGGTTGATGATGATGAAACGGCCCGATCACAAGTTCCGGAACGGATCCTCCTACCGGGATCACAGTGCCGATCAGTGTGTTCAGTGTGCGAAAAATGCGGAACTCAAGAGTATTCTGAGAGGGACCGACAATCAATTGCAGTCGGACAACGACACTTTGTACCCGTTCCCGGCGGAAAACTTGCACTTGAAGCGAAAAGTCGGAGACGTGAGTTTGACTTCATTCGATTCTGATCACAGAAGAATGCATACCCGGGAATACTCGTAAAGTGATTGGACATTGAAAGAAATTAGGGTCTGAGATACAGAAAAGGAGAATAATTGATGGAAGAATGAAGGAAAAAGTTGATGGCAGTCCTACTGTAGATTGCCACGTGGCTCAGATTTCGAAGATTTTCATTGTCATTGAACGCTTCGATTCGTAACGGACGGAGCACTTCTTCGCTGATTTTAGGAATCATTTGGGAGCACTGAAAGGATCAGAGTGAGGTGAACCAGAGGGAAGTGGAAACCTTGTCAATGCTTCGTAATCTGGAGGTCATGTGGAACAGGAACCGACGGAAGACCTTCTGTTCGGATGGATTCAACGAAGAAAGCAGCGGGTCGTGCTTAGTCATCTGAAAAGGAGGATTCTGATTGTACGAGAAGAAGGACTCACTCACCGGAGCACTCCATTCGTCCGTTCGGTACGAGGCCAACAGTTGTTTGTGCCGTTCGCTGCATTCCACTCTCTGAATGCTCCAAACTCAAATTTACATTCAGTTCATTTGGCACTAACCCTCTGAAAAACAAGAAGAAGGACGGCAACCTGCTCGACTTCTTTGATTATATTATCCAACAAGGGACTGCGCTTCTCTTCCTTCATCGTCATCATCCAAATCTTGTCCGTGTACACCATGTATTCATTCCATCGCTCCTCTATCAAAAGGGAATCCATTATTCCGTAAAGCACGATCAGCCTTTCTAAAAAGTCGGGGAGATCGTCCGACGGCACGGCCACAAGCTGCTGTTCTCCTGGAAATGCTTAGTTGGCAGTGGAGTCTGTTGGCGAGCTCACCTCTAACGAACACATCTCTCGCTTCCATGTACTTGTCGATGCTCATCAGGGCGACGCCTCCCTCTCTGGCCACCGTGTGCACGATCGTCGCATCCATGTGTCGGACTGCCACGTCAAGGGCCTTGTGGTACAGCCGAGAGACGTCTCCTCCCACGAACTGCTCGACTGCAAACGGGCTCCTCTGGCTTCTTCTTCTCCTATGATATTCAGAACTTACACGGAAGGTCGGAATCCCTTTTCCAGAGCTTCACGAGTGCCTGGGCGGCCCCTTGACAGTAGAACATCTGCTTTCCGTATTCTCCTTTCTTCGTTTTGTCTCCTGCCATTGCCCGTTCTTCTATCAATATTGCCAGTTTCTCGTAAGTCGTCCATATATGCAGATAATCTTTATCTTCACTGAAAGCAACGCCGTTCCCCAGCAGATTAGTTCTTAGGACTCACTTAAATGCCTTCAGCTTCTGAAGCAGTTCTTCTTCGGTCTCCGGAGCCCGGGGTCCTTCGTTTTCATGATTCTTTCTGGGTGTTAACGACAACTTCTGCAGCATGTTTTTGGCCTTGGATTCCGACATGGTTTAATACTAAAATGCACCTAGACTTCAGGGACTGTTTATTCAAAGACGATGCGAAATACACGAACAAGCGAAGACGGAGAAGTTTGAAAGAGGAATGAGGATATGTGAAAGAGCGATCAAAGAGGACGGTGAGTCCGGAGGAGCAGGAACGGGACGGTAAAATAAAGGCTTTCAGCATCCGAAGTGGCGAATATTCTGGTGGCAACTATCAAAATGTACGAAGCGATGGTATCTCAAGTGGCAAGAATTCGACAGAGAATCGCGTTGAAACGGAAAAGGAAGGATATTCAGGTTAGTGGAAATAGTCGATGAAAAGGGAGAGAGAGAGAGTGAGAAAGATTGGCCGTGGCCGGGAATGCGCGGCCGAATGTCTGCGAGTACTCGAGACACACAGTCCCTAGGAAGAGTCCTCTCGAAAGGGAGACTAGAGCAATTAGACGGAGCTCCGATCACACGAAAGAGCAGAGAGAAACTTGCAGGACGAATGGAAGTTTGCTGCTCAGGCCGTCGATCGTTTTTGTCTTCTTCTCTTCACAATCGTTTTCGTCGTCTGTTGTGCCATATTCATCACAGTTCCACCCATCAAAATATTGGATTGAATACGAATAAATACAAGCTTTATTATGTCGTTTTCAGAAGCTCACGCAGACAAACACAATAGAATTGCAGGAGATAACCGTATTGGAAACGTTCTTGGTTTGGTCAAAATTCGAATAATGATGAATGACTAGAATGGAAAGAAAATCGGGTATTCGGGGAGATACAATGAGAGTAAATGTTCAGTTATTATTTATTTGCGAGGAGAAGCCGGGATCTCTCTTCGTTGACCGCTGCTGATCCCGGTCATACTCCGACGAGTCGGCTCTCTTTTTATCGTTCCGCTCTTTGTGAAAACCTGGAATCAAGAGGATCGCTTATTGAAATTCAAAAGATTCGCCGACCTGTCCGATCTTTTCGGCAAAGTTCACACTGCTGATGGACTCGTTCAGACTTTGGCATCTGGAGAAAGGTGCACAATCACGAGGGTCTTACTGTCTCCATCTGAAGTGAAATTGGTTGGATTGGGGGTGGAATGCACTGAGCGCTTACTCAAACTGTCCTCTAGAATTCTGGTAAGTTGGCAGTTTCTGAACGGAATGTGCTTCTGATTCTGACGAAGAGCCAGCACCACATTTCCCAGTTCGGACAGCGATTTGTTGATGGCTTGTGCTTCTTTCAGCAGTTGTCCCGTCGCGTTCGTCTGCGAAACTCTCTCCGAACCGGCCAAATCCACTAGGTTCAATCGGCCTAGAAACACAGACGATTGATAGACAGGGAAACTTCAAACTGACCGACTGTAGTTGCTTTTGTGATCAGATTGGTGGCTGACACGAGAACTCGGACGATCACGTGGGAACGACTCGATTCGATGTTCGCTTCTGTGGCAGCAACTGCCTGGAAACATTGATGCATATTCCAGGCAACTTTTGAATTGAGCTCACCTTATTCTTGCGTCCGCGTGCGAGAGTCTCGGTCACTTCTTGTGCAGAGGATACGGTAATCTCTTCGAGACCCGGAATCGCCCCTTTTCCGTCTTCCGTCTGACGGATTGCCAGGTTGGTGTTGTTGGTGTTCAACAGATCACTGAAATTGGACGATTACCTATCAGACAGAGCTTCTCCTTTTCCGTACCGTATTTTTTCATTGTAAATCTCCATCATTGACACCTTTATACGGTACTTCACATCTCCATTTCTTTCCTTTGCAGTTTCGAACAGTTGCATTATGGCTCTTTGGTTGATTCCAGGAAGTTCCACTGGTCCCTGAAATGTTGAAGTTCTCGTTGAGTCTTGGTCAAAGAACTCACTTCCATCGTGTACGTTTTACCACTTCCAGTGTGTCCGTACGCGAAAATGCAGACATTGTAGCCGTCGATGCACGAGGTGATGATCGGGGAAACCTCATCGAATATCTGCTCTTGAGAGAATCCCGTCGGGATCACTTTGTCCGCCCCCGCACTCGTCTTCTTGGTCCCTGATGTGTTGGACACGTGGACGACTCCATTATCCAGCTCATCGATGACAATCACCGGCTTCTGGCCGTCGGATTCCGATGACAGTTGGGGACGGATACGGTAGAAGACACGGATGTTTCCGTTCAATTCGACCAGCTGATTGTGCAGCTGCTTCCTCTTTTCCATTTCCGCTTTGTAGCGCTCGATGAGCACGCGGAAGAAATCGGTGGTCTTCGAGGTGAGCATCATCTTCATCTCGGCCATGCACACGTTGAACGCGTCCTTCGTGTCGACCGCCAGTCTCCGCAGCTCGTCCTTCTCCGTCTTTAGCTCTTCCGCGCACCTCTGCAGCTTCTTCCACTGCCCTTCTTCTCTCATTGACTGCACCATTTGAGGGTACGGTTTGATGACGTCACCAGTCGGTTGGGGACTCGCGGACCTGCGAACCGAACATGACGAGTCACGGCTGGAAACGACAGACACGTCATGAGCATGCAGTCACGACTCGGGAAACATCCACGAAACAAGATCGGGCACTCACCTCAACGCGAATCGGTCCTCGTTGCTCGTCATGTCACTCTCGTAATCCTCATCCGTCTCCAGCAACTCGTTCACTCTCGCCGTCTTCTGCATCTGGCTCAATGCGCTTTTCAGCCGCAGATTCTCCTCGGAAAGCGTGCCAAAGTCAAGAGAGAGCACTGAAATTCCCTTGAGCATTTCGGATCTTCGTGTGTATGACGTGGCACGACCTGCAACTCAATATCACTTTCCATTGCCGGGTTAGAAAGTTATTAGAGAAGCTATCAGTGAGTGCGTTCCAAAAATTAAAAAATGGTTTTCATCGGCCGGATTGGAATGTAATGATATTGAATTACAATAACGAAATATTCAAACCAAGAACAAAAGTTCACCATCAAAGATCATGCCAATCCGACCACCACAACGAACGAAAAAACGGGGAAATCATGCACAAAACCCACCTTGAATAAAATCCTCCATATTGGCGATGCGCGATTCCTGCTCATCGATAATATCTTCTAAGTTTCTCAGAAGTCTGTCCTTCGTCTCAATGTGCGTCTCCAATATTCGCATTTGCAATTTCATATTCACCAGTTCCACCTAAATATTATCCGTCTTGCACTGGTTCATCCTTAAAAAAACGTACTTCGTGAATGTACTTGCATTGCTGGAATATGTCCACTTCGCCAATTTGCGAATCCATTTCGAGAGACTCCAATTCCGTCGTGTTTCTGTGTGTGCGTGTGCGTGGGTCGATCGTTTATTTTCTAGAAAAATATTTTGTTTTTCGTTGACAAGAGAATGGCTGAGATGAGCGAAATTTGAATGCGAAACGCCATTCTACGGAATTAACGAGTCCCACGGCCCACCTACCCAAAAAAGGAAGAGAAATCATGTGTTAAATCGTTGCAGAAGACCTAACTAATCCGAAAAACCTAATCTTGTCGAATGAATAGTGTCTGATGAAACATTTTTCGAAGTGAGGAAGCAGAAAAACATGTTCTCTCGAAGCGCAGAGAAGAGTGAACAGTAATTTTGAAGAGTGTTTTGGACAGAAATAGGAAAAAGAAGAACAAAAACACACACACACACACGTTATTTGAGAGAACTGTTTTTGACTTTGTTGAGTTTAGAAGTTGATAGCACAAAAAAGGGAGTCTACAATAGTGAACGAACAATGCAAAAAAGAGAACGATTAAGTTGTGATTTGAACAAAATCGGATAATCTCGCACTAAACCAGCACAAAAACAATGCGATCAGTTGCGGGTATTGCGAAGAAAAAGAGAAAGAAAAAGAAGAAGTATCCATTCCTCAAGTGGTCTCTTTTCATTTCTGTACAAGAACTGTCGGTCAGGTATTATTAGGCGGCAAGGCGACGAAAAGAAGAGGAAAAAGGAACTGGTCGAGTGGCGAAGAAGTCTTTGCAAACACGAAGAAGACGATGCCACGTCATAAAAGTGAGAGAAGGTAAACTAATAAAAATGGGCGAAGAGTTGAAAGGGCGCGGGAGACGAGATCAGTGTGCTGCGCCGCAAATCAAACATGAAATTGAATACATTTTTGAGAGTTGGAAGAGTTGGGACAAGAAATTATTTGTGTCGTCGGGGCACTGTTATTTGCCGTCAAGCAGCGGCTTTTTATGTTTTTGAGGTGGCACGGAACGGCGTCTTTTGAGTTGAAACACACCGCTTCGAAATCTACGAGTTTTCTCGTTTTGAATTGGGAGAAAAGAACGGGAGAAACAAGGAAAAGCATGGCATTTCGCATTGTTTGGAATGGAATTGAAGCGGGCACAAAGAGGGCGACACTTCCATTTCTTTGGGCTCTTTTTCCGAGCACACTGATTTATGAGCTGGGAGATGGACGGATGCATGAAGTTTCACGCGCGTTTCAACTTGATTTCTGATGAACGAACAGCTCTGAAGTGGCAAAAGATTCGACGAATTTCGATGACCAATCAGACATCTCAAGAGTCGGCGGCCAGAGTGTTTGTGGAAGTGATCAGAATGATGCGGACGGGCAGCGGCAGCCGGGGCGGGGCGAATGGCGCGCGCGCGGAAGGACACGGAACGGGCCACGTAACAAGCAGTAAGCCAATTGTTTGGGGGCTCCGTTTTTTAGAGTTTTATTTCTTGTTTCAGGGCGAGAAACGACGAAACAAACAAATGATTTTCCGTGTAATTGTGGACAAAAGAGGAGACCGTTCATTACGGAGTGGAATGGGCAATGGAGAATCACGCGAGGAACGATGTTCAGGGGATAGAGAGACAAAGAAACGGAAGAAGAAGAAGAAGAAGAAGCAGTAGAAGACGTTGGGATTCTGGATCAGATTAGAAGCCAGAAGAGAGTAAACAGAGTAAACAATTCGATCGGTCTGAAACTTGATCTCAAGATACTTGAATCCAAGAGCAAGAAGCCTGCAAAGTTTGGCTCCGATAGGATTATTGCAACTAGGCCAAAATGTTAGGCTGGCCTTCTGCACAGCCCTGGTTAGCTGTCCAAATCCCTTCAGAAGTACAAAGTGAAAGTGAGAATGAAACTGTATCTATATACAAATCAGCATGTTCACGCAACTAGTAGTACACATAATAACGGATAGAGAGAGAGAAGGAGCGTCGACCCTGAATGATCAGAGGATATTATTATAGGAGGAGTATACCGCCTGGACGGGCAGGGAAAAGGATTGGGAGAGGATCAGAGAAGCGGAGAAAGGCGCATAATATAAATAAACAGGAGGAGGCCTACTAGTTGCCCCGATCGTCAAATAATTGGTCAGCCTCGCTCCTCCGGACGACTGTTTTGAGAGTGAAATGACTGGAAAACGAATGAGAGAGGGGAGCAGAGAAGGAAGTATCTTCTCGCTTTTCACCCTTCCGATTCGGTTATCAACTGCTGCAGCGACAGGAATCTCTCAAGAAGACGTCGACGCCCAACTCATTCATCTTTCGAGTAGAACGGACTGGTAAGCAAGCTATGCATATCAATCGGACAGCTTTGATTGAAGTCATTTAGATTAATCGAACAATACTTACTTTTGAGGGTTTTCAATCTAAACTGGTTGCGAAAGTTGCAATTGAGCACGTTAGCCACATCTTTAAGCTGACAATAGGTTCGAAAATTATGAGCGGACTGTTTCAGATCTCATTTTTGACTTCCAAGAGACGCTTATCAACATAAAACGGGAGAGAAATTGATGAAGTGATAAATGAATGAAAAGTGACACATTGTGCCCCACTAAAAGCGAAATTTCGGTTGGGAGAAAAGAAAAAGCGACAAAAAGAGAAGGGAAGTGGGTGTGTTTCAAACTGACTCACTCCCTCTCCCTCTCTCCCTCTCCCACAATTCGCACCCTCGATTTCTGTTCCATGTTTGGCGTGCGGGGGCTGCGTGAGCCATGAGGGATCTCGGAATTGGATAGACTTAGAGAGGGGAGAGAAAGAGAGAGAGAGAGGGTGTAAACAACAACAAAGAGAGGAAGAAGAAGAGGGAGAAGGGAGGGAGGGTAAGTAAGATGAGACTGAACCGCCCGCGGTTTTACGTTTTTCGAAACAAAAAACCGATGAATTTCGAATGAGATGGGCACGAAACGGACGCAAATTTGAATTTATGAGTGAGCAAAAATAATGGCATTCAGATGGAGCCAGGGACTATACGAAAGGATCCGAGAAGATCATCGACAGAAATGGACACATCTCTCGAAAAAAGAAGCAATTATGAGCGTTCCGGCGGGTGTGAAGACGACAAAGTGACCGGCAATTTCTTCCATTTTTGATGTTTATGAATGCGTAAAGTGGAATGGAATGGGAGCATGAGGGAGTGACCCTTCCGCTTCAGAGAAGACGCCCTTCCACGGGCGGACCGCCCGGCTTTCTGGTTCAGTTGTCATGGAGATCCGAACGGGGTCCTCTGAAAAACGGGCGAACAGCGAACGAGAAACGTTCGTGTGAGCTCATGCTAATGCGCCCTATCGGCAAGTGTTCGCCAGTTTGGTTTGACATCTGAATAGTCAGGAACTTCGGAGGCTCATAGGAGCAGACTTGCTTCAAAGTGTAACTTTCGGGCCTACCAGCAAAAGCCCGATATATTGCAAGGAGCTGTCACTACTCTTCCCTCGTAACCTGAACAGAAAATACATTTTCTCTTTGACTTCTCGGCCCCGAATAGACGTGTCAATCATCCGCTGGATACCTCTGTCTGACAACAAAAAGGGCTCAGAACGGACATTTCCCTCTTGTTTTCGTATTGACGTGGAGCATCGGAGCAAAGGGTAAAGAATAGAGGAATTGCAGATGGAATCGGCACGTCACGGAGGGGAAAAAGGTATGAAGCGGCTTTTGGGAGGGAAAAAGGAAAACACATGACTGCAGAAAATGTTGAGACTGCGATTTCTTCTGAAACATCGGCTCGACACTTTTCACCGTACTTGTACATTCACAAAAGAGCTGGGCTCAAACTTGTTCACAGTGCTCTTTAATACCAGATACATGCACGATCCGAGTTTAGGACAAGCGGACTATTCGGCCGGACCCCCAGCTCTAGAATATTCTTCTGATCTTTCTTTTATGCTTCCAATATGCTCATCCGTCTTGATCTCGATTTCATTTCTCATTCCACAGCTGACTCCGTAATGTCAGCTCGGATGCCCAGATGTGTGTGGAATGTGCCTGTTCACCTCCTCGTTTATCAACTTTAATTGCACTTCAAAATAACACGGATCCGTCGTCTCGAGACATTGCGAATGAGAGAGAAAGGGGCAGTTGGCAGGGTCATCCCATCCCGACTTGTCTCTTTTTCCCTCGTCTCAAATTGCGTGCCCTCAAGAGATAAGGCCAATCAGAGAGGGCCGGAGGGCGGGAAACAATTTAAAACCGACTCACGCTCCAGGGCACGACTCATTTTTTGAGCAAAGAGCACTGCCGACGGCTGGGCGAGCTCATGCATTCTTTGAAAATCATGAGAGGATGACTGATAAGTGAGACATGTGAGGTTTGTGTTCCGATCATTCCCGTGACTTTATGTTTCACTGATCCTTTGGGATTCCCCACTTTGTTGTTTGGCATACGACTTCAGTTTCCTGTTGAAAAGAACTGAAACGATTCTGACTCATTTCAAGGAAGTTCACTGAAAAAGGTACACTCCATCTTCCTCAAAAGTTTCAAAAATCTCTTCTACATTCCACAGTCCTAAGGATATTGTGAGACTTTCAAAAGTAACCTGATATGCTCTTCCTTACCAACTGTTCCTGAAAAATGACGATTTTCGAAGTCACAAGTGTCCTCGAGGTGAATCAACATTTTTGTAACTTGGCTTCTTGAGAAGATCTTCCGTCTAAAAGAAGCTCACTTCTTCGGTATTTCGTAACCTTCTTCTCCCATATTTCGAGTCGTTTTCCCGGGTAATCCGATCCCGATTACTTTGCCAGCAGTTTGACCACCTTGTAGATCTGTGATGCTCTCCTCCGTTTTCACAAATATTAATGGAATGTGTCACATTTCCCACCGTTTCTCAGTTTCTCGGTGGAACGTTCGAAATGCCCCCATTGCCACTTCACTCTCTCTCTCTCTCTCTCTCTCTCTCTGACGCACCTTTTCGTTTTTCCTTTTCTCTTATTTATTTGTTCTTTCTGTATGTCACGTAGTCCGTTTGGCACCGCCCTTTCCGAACTGTCCTATTGTTATTCGAAACGCCTCGGCTTCTGAGATTGGCTCTTTGAAATGACAGAAATGCATCCGAAGACATCCAGTCCGACAACTACTACTGCGACTGTCAATTCGAAAGAGTTCTTGGAGAGCAAGTGGAGACACGCATTCACCACGTTCTTCGGTGAGTTCCCAGTTGGATGGTGATGAAAATGAACTGAAAACTTGTAGATTTGGATCGGAATGGAATCATCGAGTGGAAAGACTTTAAAGATTTGATTGAGGTTTGTGAACATGCGATATTGTTTATCCAGCTTTTTGCAAACAATTTCGATCATCAGAAATCTCAGAAAGATCATAGACATCTCAATAAACGAAGAACTACAATATAGGCAACTTTCAGGTGATCGGAGAAGTGCGCGGCCGTCGTTCGGACGTCTTCATGACCGCCCGTCTCTGTCTTCCGGACATCTGGCAGAAGATGACTGAAGCGATCGGCAAAGAAGACGATGATATCGTAAGTTCCGAAAGGCTCGCAAATGTCACGTAGTCCCCAGTCTATCTTCTTATCATTTCTTTCTCATAGATCACCCTCTCCGACTGGATCCAGCTGTGCGAAGCATCGCGGAAATCGTCCCGTGAGCCGGCTTGGCAGAAGCGTACGTGGAGTACATGTTCAAGTTGTTGGATGAATCCGGTAGGAGTGCGGGAAGATATTCTCGAGAGACAGAAGTGTCACTTTCAGGAGATCATCTTGTGGACCAGGCCGAGTATGTGCAAGTGCTCGGATACTTCGGAGTCAACCGCAAGGACTCAAGCTACTCGTTCGATCAGTTTGCATTTGTGAGTTCATTCCTCGTTTTATGCCCTCTTTTCCTGCGAAAACGACGCGCCGTTTCGGTTGACACCCGGTGCCAGTTTCATTGGGTATTTCGGTTCGGAAAAGCCGTGCCTCATCTTCTGCAAATCTTTTAATATCTGAGAAAAGCTGCGAAACGGAGTGGACTCAGCTGTACACTTCCAACCAGAGAATGCTCAAATCCAGTGAATAAAACTATGTATAATCTGTGGGATCAACCTGTGACGCAGTGTCAAAATGGTCCGCAGTTTCAACGGAAACGAACTCTAGTTTCGACAACTATGCTAGCTAGTGACGTGGCAATTTCAGAATCATCAAGGCCAACTCATCCACGCCATCGACAAGAAGAAGTTCCACGTGCTCTGGAAGCAATTCTTCAACTCGGAAGACCCGACGGCTCCCGGAAGTTGGCTCCTAGGCAAAATCTAAATCCTTCTTTCTCCTGCTTACCCTTATAATAATAATGTACTTTTCTACCCATTCGTACCGGTGTGCCCTCCCGAACTTCCATAAGTTGACCAACAGTAACCAGGACTATGTAATGAGCTTTTCAATGATTTATTGTCATCGAAATAAACTTTAACAAAAAGAGAAATCGACAGAATTAAAGAGAATTACACAGTACTCTGTTTGTGTGCTACAATACGGAACCCGTCGGCGAGGAAGTCGTGGTGAGACCCGGAAATTGACTTTGAGGAACTAGTGGGCGAGTAGGAAATGTCGGGTGATCGGCTTATCAGCCCATTACGATGTTTCCACCGATGCGTCGGCTCTGAAAAGGGCACAAAATCAGAAACATTAAAAGAAATGAAAACAATCTTACCTTCTGGACTTGATGATGATTCCGGTGGGTGGCTCCGGCGAGTCGGTGCTCGAGAATGTTCTCAAGACTGACAATATTCCGAACGGCGGACTGTCGAATCGCTTCGAAATCTTGGATATCATAGGCGAAAAGGAAGCAGATGACGTGGCAAAGGACAAGGAATTGGAGGAGGAGACGCATTCGGAAGGAGGAGAAGAAGAAAGGGAAGAATGGACGTGAGGCGGTGTCACCCACAGAGCACGGCTTTATATGTCTCGGGTGCCAGATTAAGCAGACGAAGAGAAGCTCCGCCCACTTTCAGTACTTGCTCGCAGACTCCGCCCACCGAGGGTGACAAGACTTTCCCAAATCGGCTGGAATTAATCGGATTTTGTCACTGCTCGCTTGCAAAACATTTTATCAGACAGACGGGAACGTAAGTGGCTTTTGGCATGACAGGTCTTCAAAGACTGCGGATGACACACGCGGAAGAAGAGACTCTCGTCTGGCGTGCGTGGGATTCAGAAGGCCGAATGATATCATTGCACACTCGGAAAGCGGAAGAATCGGAAACTGTTTCGCAGAGATCCGGCTGCGAGTTCCTGGTCCGAGTGTGAATTGGAAATGAGAAAGAAGAAGTAGAAGGATGTGAAAATTATGTAAAAGGAGGCGGCGGACGGAAAAACAGGATGTGGTGGGACTTCCGAGGATTCGCCCCGTTCCGAATCGTCATTTCTGACGCGCACACGCCTATTTAGGTCCTAATCTTTCATTTTTTCATCAGAAGTTTCCCGAAGCAAATCACATTTCCGCCGGAAATCACTCGTTTTCTTTCCATCTTTCCTCGAAAAACCCTGTTTATCAGAGGTGCGTTCTGCTCGAAAACTCGGATGCAACAGAAATAGGATGATCAGATTTGGAAGGTTATTGTGAGGGTGGATGGATGGGCGAGAATATGAACGAATACATTGAGAAGATTTTGGATTTTGAAGCCGGCCAAATCAAACATCAATCCGACTGTTCACTCGAATTTCAGGTTTACCTCCCCGAAATCCGACCAAAAACAAGGATTTCCGATGTGGAAAATCGGTGATACAGACATCGGATAGCGCTGACTTTCCGGTCGATTTCTTGAAAAAGTCATGAGATTATGTGACGTGGCAAACGAAAACATCCGGAAATCCGAACAATTTTATTCTATCTGCGAGCAGAAACCGGATAATTCCGTTGTTTCCCTCTGAAATTCGCACTTTCAAAGTTTCAGAAATCGGCTGATCCCGCTTTCAAGGGGACCATAAAAACAAGGAAACGTGTTGGGAAAGAGCGTTACGTTTCTTTTTTTTTGAGGGAACTCATAAAACAACTGATTTCGATGCATATCCGAGAAGGTCCGATCACGACTGATAGGGACGTCATGTTTATAAATAGACATGACGTCCCGAAGACAGGGAAAACCCAGTTAGAAACAGAAATGTGTACATTCTGAGAGACTTTTTGTTAATTAAAATCATTGACCGTTTAAGAAACTCGGTGAGATTCTGAAAATGAGCCCGTAGCACGGTGAGCTCAAGATCGGCGAGTTCATGAACCTTCCGAGCACTCACTTTCCGTCCACAAAATATGATTCATTCGTGCTCACAAACTCCAAGTCGCTTTTCCTGAAACTCCTGAATTAGCTCAACTTCGGGTCGGCGGAATCCTCTTAGAAACAAGACTGTCGCGAATTTCCCGCCGTTTCTGCTTTTCTCAGTCTTTGGACCGCCGTGGGTACTTTTTTGTAGAAAAGTGCAATATTCACGGGTTTCGCTTGAAATGCGGAAAAATGGAAGAGCGGCTGCGAATTCGCACATTTCTTAAACGAAAATAATTAATTGGAATCAAACTCTGAAAGCGATTCTGAAAAGAGGATAATCGAATGTGAAACTGAGTAAATCAACGTATTTTATAGTTGTTTCTATCTATGAGGTCAAAAGAGCAGATAGACAACAAAACGAGAACAAAATGAGGGGGGAGGAGGGACAATTCTAGGTGTAACTAGACGGGTAGAACGGTGGCATGATGTGGCAATTCTAATGGTCTGAAACTGTTTCAGAAGGCGATATAGACTGGGGAATCTGCTTTGATTACAGGGAGTTCAGGAGGGGGAAAACAGGGGCAAAAGAACAAAGGGAAAGGGCAATCAAATTCACAGAGATAATTGGGGGGAACAAGGGCCAAAACATTCGCTGGCGGCTGATAAAATAATAATAAAAAAGAACAAAAACAAAACCACAATCAATTTGTATCACTTTATGAGAATAGGGAGCGAGAGGTAGACGGCGGCAAAGTTCCATTTGAAATGCAATTATGACGCCGAACGAATGGAGATTTATCGATTGGAGTCGGAGAAGCTGCCGTTTCCTGCAAGAAAAAGACATTTTGATCTCAAATATGATTTTTGTTAATCTGATGACGACGTTGCTACGTTTAATTCCTAGACAGGAGGTGCACAACTCAATTATGACACATTTTGTGCAGAGAGTTGTGTCAAATGTGTTCTATGGTAACTGAAAGCCGCAAGGGGCTTTTCATGGGACAAGCTTCAACTAATCAATCCAGATGCTTTTACTCAAGTTTGCAAATGGACCCTGATCCTCCCTACGGATCATCATTTTCTCGTTCGATCGTCTCTTCCGTATTCGACCTTGCCCAGCGCTTCTTGCGCAACCAGCCTGTCTCTCACCCATCATTCGTTATCATTGACTGCATGTTATCGAGCAAAACGATCCAAAACTGTTAGTGGATTGCGCAACAAGCTCAAATCGCATTCGAATCGACATGGTCTCGGAGAGAAAAGAGGCGCAAAAGAGTGAGAGAAGAAAACAATCGGTATTTAGATGAAGCTCGGAGAGAATATTCCGGGAATCCAGATGACAAGAGCAAGGCTGACGAGCACTTGGAAACAGGTAGACATCTCGAAACAAATCAACAAAAACAGAGATTACTCGCGTTAATCTTTTTCGAACAATTGAACAATTCAGGAAGAGACGTTTTTTGAAGCGGTGACGGAAAAGAAGACGTCACTCTCTTTGCGTGCAAATAATCTATTTGAACTGAGGATTAACCGAGAGCAATATGGAGGTGTCATCAGGAAGGCGAAGCTGCGAACAATACAACCAGAGAATGCGGAAAAGGGACTGAAAGGTTGAATTGCTGAAATCTCATTTCCCCCCCCCCCCATCTTTTGAAATTTCAAACAGAGAACATTCGCTCATTCGTCTCAATAGTGTCCTTTCGGCACCCATAAAATGTTACGATCTATCCTTTCGTCCATATAATTTGTACTTTTCTCAGTTCGCATAAGCCGACAACATGCCATTTGGCCGTCCGTTCACAGCAAAAAACCGCTTGTTCTCCATTTGGCACCTGTCATCTTTCGGCGTTTTGACTACAATCTTCATTTCACATCATCCTTGCCGAAAGGATTGAAATAAGACGACTTCGAAATTCAAGGCTGTTATTGCAGGAGTTGGTAGAAGTACCTTAACGGATTGTAGGATTGCTGCGAAGCTTATTGTAAAGAGTCCGGGAGAATAAGGCGATTCTGATAGATTTGCAGGTCGAAACATCCCCGGATTTACCGCTGACAGTGGAGTTTGTGGGAATCCGCGGAGGGTGAAGAATCAACGCGTATTATACGGATAGAAGGCACCAGCTCGGCCAAGATTGAAGGATCAGAAGATGCGGGTCACTGACAGAGCTTATAGGTTCTTTGAATGCTTTCTTTCGTTTCATGCGGTAAGCTTCAGGGAGAACCCAGAAAACGTGGCATTCCCTGTTTGCACTTCAATGTAATTGAGTTTCTCTTTACAGTCAATGTCCCGGTTGTCACTCGACTGGTACCCACCCAGCACGGACGAGTATCACAACAAAAAAACAATTTCGCCCTTTGTCAAATGCAAAAAAACCAATTTGTGTGTGTGTGCTCCAATCGAGTGACTCACAGTTGTATGTGTGACAGACTGTGGGTTACCCGCACAATACGATGCAAACGAGTGTGAATGAACATTAAAAGAGCGCGGAGCCAATGGGAATGCGACGGTCCCGGAGTTTGTTCGGTATCGTTCCCACATAAAAGTGGCCAATCACTTTCGTTTGATTACCGCAACTTTCGATCACGGACGAAATGGTTGTTGTATTCTAATGAATGGGTACAAAACAGTGAGAAGTGAAAGTGTTAGAGCTACAGTAGTTTTTTCCGACGACAACTAGATCGCTCTTGAACACAATAGTCCATCTCCCTGTATTCAGACAGGATCCGAAAAGGGAGTCAATGCCATTCTTACTGCAGTCTAATCGGTTTCATCGTCGGTTTCTTTTTTAACAGAACGCCCGTTCATCGCCCACTTTTCGGACAGACATCAAAGGAAACGGGGGGCGCCGCTAGTCGCATCTGTTCCCCTCTCTCCACTTCGATTAAACTCTTTCACAATGGCGGTGTGGCCTTTCAACTCGTACTTCGCCCGGCGACTCCCTTTCGCACGCGCACTGGGAAACCGAAATTTCCTCGATTCGTGTCAAGAATCGTGCCACCATCGTAAGAAAAGGATGATGGTGGTGGGTGAATGGTGTGACGGGCGCATCGAAACCAGTTTTTTGTCGCCATCAGAGTGTCACAAAATGTGTCATAAATCTCAATGATTTGAACGACTTCTTTTTGTCATTGTGTGAAACAAATCGAGGAAGCAAGACCAGATTCGTACTCGAAACCACGAACGAGCGAGGACAAGTTGTACTGGTTTTAAGGGAGATCGACTGTGAGAATGTGCTTCGGGATGACAAAAGTGACAGTAAACAGAAGAATGTTAGAAACTAGCGGTTAACTGTAGAGAAAAAACTACTGGGGGTTTTTCTACGGCTCATTGCCCACCGTTAATACATGTGAATGATGTTTCCTTGGTGTAAATACATAATGATTCCTAAACATTCCGTAGTCAATTCAAACCGCTTCACCGCTTGAATGATCGTCGGTAACAAAACCCTTTCTGTCCGGACGAGTGATTTGTTTTGCCTGATTCAATGGCGCCGCGACGATCAGTACAGCTGCGACGGGTGGCAGTTAGATCGATGAGTCTCTTTTCGCAACACTCAATTTCAAACCCTGTTTGCCGCATCATATTTCATGGACTCCGCGCGACATGACATCAAACCGTTTGACCCAATTCGGATCACTGATTGATGGCTATCACATTTTGAATGAAAAACGCCGCCTACCTTCTGGAAGGCGGGGAGAGAAATAAGATGACACACGAGTGGAATTGTACTGATGAGTGGAGAGAGCACTTCAGAAGTCTCCGGCTCCTGTCGCACGACGTGCACGACGGGAACTCATTTTCTTGGGCGGCGGAGAGTGTGCTGTGATGGCAGTGTCCGAAACGGACGAGCTCGGCTTCGGAGTGTTCGAAGAGACGAATCTGAAATGGAGATTGGGATTCTGCAATTGAAAGAAAGGTGGATTACCTGAGAGGTCTCTTGGGAGCTCCCTTATTGTTGTTCATCTTTCCGCGTTTTTCTTTTTGCGAAGCGACCGTGGATTCACTCGAAACGGAACGGCCCAGCGAGGCGGTGGCGGCCGCGAGACAAGTTTCACTGCGACGCTTACGGACCGGCATGTAGTCTGAAAATAACACGAATATTCATAAGTTTTTCGGCCCCTTCTTCTTCAAAATGACTTTTGCTGGTGTTCTAACGCAACCCGACCTTGACACGAAGTAAGAAAGCAATGGTAGTTATCACGATTCATCGGCTCATCAAGAAAAAGACCGAAAGGTTTGAGACGATTTGCGTAATGCTCTTAACGCAATCCAAGTAAAAAGATAGCGGCAAAGATAAGAATAGTGGTCCATGCAATGCTCAGGTCGAATATTGGGATAAAAAGTGTCTGCATCAGTTTCCCCCTCCGAAATGTGTCAATGGTTCCCCGATTTTCCAATTTCAATTCATGCTTCCTATGTCGAATTATCGTGTCTCAGCCTCCCGAAAGCCCTCAATTTGTGTGGTTCCATCTGCTCGCTCAATTACGTCAACCTACAAAACCATCTCTCTCTCTCGCTCGCGCCAATTTGAAATTCGCTCTTTTCGAAGGCCAGCTGTTCTTTTCTCGAGTAGCGTCCCTGGTTTGCATAACTCGATATAACGGAAGAAAAGTGATCGATGAGCCGTCGAAAGGTCAACTGTCTCGCATGGAAACGAGAGAGGTTGGTGATTGAGGAGACGCAGAAAGTGGACTGTTCGGGTGACAGAGAACAGAATTGTTCGAAAAGTAAACAAATTGGGGCAAAAGTTGGCATCATGCCAAGCGTCTTATCGAGAGTGACCAGAAAGACTGACAGGCACCAGCCACACACCCAGGAACAAAGTAATCAAAAATTTTCAGGGCCAATTATTTTCAACTCACTCGTAAGTTTGGTCTGCTTGAGCATGGCTACTTCCTGTTGCTCATTTGCCATTTGACTGACAGTTGAGGATCTGCAACAACACTTTCTTTCAGGGAATTCATAGACAAAGGTTACCTGGTGACCGGCTTTTCGTATGTTGTTTCCATGTTTTTCGAAGTAGATGGAGCTAGTAATTGGGGCTCACTTTCGGTCGGCGATTCCATAACAAACAATTGCTCGTCCGGAACCTCAACTGTATCGGAAAATGGCGAGGATTCACGTCTTCTAATGGTCTTGCGCGCATGGGCAGTTCTCTCGCGATAGAAATCAGGAACATCAGCAGCGGCAACTGATTCGAACTGAAAATCTCCATGAGCGCCGACGAGCGGAACGCCGCCGACAAAGTCGAAATTCCATCTGCGAGAATCCTCCGCGTGCATTCTGTTCAGATTGTCTTGAAGCTGACGGGACACCTGCTAATACTGGGCTCAGTATCAAATTGTCTTCGTGTTTTTCATTTACCTCTCCAGGCTCGGGTCTTCCGAAAAGACATCTGGCCGCCTTTCCTTTGGCCGCAGCGGCTGTCGGCGCCGCCATTATTGGTGCTTTCTCTGAAATCATTTTGCGATAAGCGGAGCAGAGAGAAAGGGTGGAAAAGAGGAGAAAATGCGGTAAAACGTACATTTTGGGTCGGAAGAAACGAAAGGAAACAGTGCGAGTGCTGTGGCAAATCGATCGATTAGGCGGCAGAAGTGAGAGAGGCGAGAGAGAAACGAGACGAAAATGAGTTGTGAAATGCGATGGAAAAGCGGGGAAACTCGAGTTAGAATGGGTAAAAATGGGTATTCGATCGTTCACGGAGAAAACTGGGAAAGTTCTTGACAGAAAGAGCTTGAATATTTGATGTTGCCGCTCGTTTTTTAGTCAATGCGAGATTATCAGTGGAGCGGACTTGCATTGCTCTTCGCAGAAGTTGCCTTATTGCTGACTCAATGCTGAGAAATGAATGGAATCGGGTCTTCTGATGAGAGTGAAAAACAGAAGAATATCCGCAGGAGGTCCTTGGCCGATCATAAATCTCGACAGTCAGTTGGGAACCAAGGGTGGTAAGGCGCTTATCGGCCGACGAATCGGTGTCATAAAAGCGACGAAGAAAAACGAGAAGTTGGTGTTGGCGGCAGACGATCCGGAGCGTCAATTGCTTGCGAGACGTCAGATTCTTGCTTTCAGCCTTGTAAATATCTTCTAGAAGGAACGTAATTAGATGAATAATCTCGGCACGTGCCCTCTCCGCATCAGAGGATCACTTCAACTTTTATGCGCAGTTACAATGTGCGATGACCTCGTCTGTCCCTCGCAGTCACTTTTCGCCGTCTTGAGACAGCTGTTGCGCGTCTCGACTTCTTCTCAATTCCGACACTCTGAGGTATTACCTAACCGTGTACTGCACACCTGCCGACAACTGCACACTGAGACTGACGGCATCCGGATCGAGGCAGCAACAGTTGGCGTGTCGTTCAAGTGCCTCCACAACAATTAGTCCTTCCGAGTGTGATGTCAATTAGGATAAGTGACCGTTTAGGTGGCAGTAAGTACGCAACATGTGCACAGAAAGAGGTTCATGACAGGTCAGCTGTTGCCAGCTTCCGATTGAATCTCTTCGAATCCTTAATCCGTAGCCCGGCTGAGTTAGGCTTCCAGATTATGAAAAAGTTCATATAATTTTAATCACTTTTCACATGCGACCCCTCGCCTTTCCCAATCGTAAAAACTTCGGAAAAGGGGGTATTGGCTAGTTGCCAGTACAGTGATAACCGTTTCGGTCGTGTTGACTGCCGTAAACCTGTCAAACTGTCAAAAAACGGTCATTGTGTACACATGACCAGTAAAGGAGAAGAAGTCGGTTTGCACGGAAAAATGTTGTATTTTAATGTACTTTTTATCACAGTCAAACTGCCCCCTTCCGACGCTGACTCCTTTTACATTGCATGTGATGTGACATCACAACGAATTTGCATACACGATTAATAGAGCGAGACGGGCGGTCATTGAAACGAACTTCTGAAGAAGTGCCGATGGGATTCTGGAGACGTCAAGGGAAAGTGTGTGATGGGATTGCATTCAGGAACTATTCCCTTTCTGTCAACCTCTAATCCATCATAGGAACATCATAAATTAATGCTCACGCTCATCGGCTGTCCGAACACACATCGAATGCCGCCCTTTCCCTCGCATGTACCGCCCGGTTTAATTAAAAGAGTCAGTGTGGCAAACGAAGAGAAAAAGACAATGTTTGTGCATATTCCGAATCTAATTAGGTCCGTCGGAATGATGATTTATGCACTGGCTGCGACCTGCCGACACAAGGGTGTTCCCGTGTGTATTCAGAAGAAGACGGACCGCGCGATTTGCATACGGTGATGATGAATAAAAACGGACGGAAGCCGAAAGAACACATCTGCCCTTTTTATGTCTTGTTGGCAGCCGGTTTGTATAGATAATATTGACGGGAGCATGAAAAGGCGCCGAACGGAAAACATACGGACAACGACGGCTTTTCATCTGACCGATGCATCAATTGACTATTGTTAAACTACTGTAATGCGTGCGAAAGTTCTCCTTTTCCTCGGTAATCCATTGCCAGTACCTGTCGCTCTAAACCTTTCCCTATTCAACCAACTTTCCGACTCTTATCAGCACTTTCAGAACAAAGGTTCTCCAACGTCATCGTTTTTTCTGTCGCTGATAATGATTTGTTGGCACTCGGCCAACTCGCTCCCACCCTTTTTCCGTTGAAGTCTATAAACTTGACTGACGAATGAGGTTTGTTTGACTAGATGTGGGTCCCCATTGTCTCATAAAGCCATCAAGCTAACTGTGGCGCGACCGTAAATCAGGTGTCACTTAATCGACCACCACCACCACTTCTTCCTCCTCCATTTCGTTTCAATTGGTACCAGCTGTTAGCGAACAGATTGGGAAGGAAGAACAGTCTCTTCTCGCCTGTATTTGACACATCTGTGCATGCACACAGTCCCTCGCACCTTCACACGTTCGATACAATGTGGGCGATCGATTCTCCCCCGCGCGTGGTCCGTTCTTGACCGGATCACAAAAGGTCAGCTCTCGGAGATGGCATGCGGAGGACACTAATCCCGAGCGGACGGTTATCCAACTCACCATTGTTGGACCGACCGTACCTATTCATTGAATATTCGATGAATAGTCAAGTGACAATCGGAATTCGAATGGAACGGGAAAGGTGCGAATGGGACTGCCCCTTCTCGGGAACTCTTTCGCTTCCACTTCCAATAACTCATTCCGTTCCCCCCAGTGGCCCATAAATTTCGGTTCCTCTCCATCGATCATCCGACGCGAATGCCACTCCCGGAGGGACGCAGCGCCCGTCCGCTCCGCTCCGTCCACTCTTTTTAATAACCCTCCCGTCCTCGATGTGTCCGTACCACTCGGAGAAACCGCAATAAAAAGTGGGGAAGCGATCGGCCGTTCCAAGGTCTTCTCGGTCAGAAATCGAAGGTTTGAAGGGAGGGGAATGTTGGATGATGCACTCAGAGTTGGGTAACAGAGTTACGAGATGATTAATGGGCTGAACACTCAACACGACATTGATATGAACAGCCATTGCGCAACTGAGAACTTGGCCAAACAAAGATGAATAGGAGAACATTCCTTTTTCTGGATTCACGACTTTTTCCCACATTTGGAAACGCATTACACGGCTGGTAGAAGGCGTGTACGCAATGATTGCGTAATCACTAAACTGTGCAGGTGTTACCGTACTCAAAGTTCGAATGTAATAACTTTTTATTAGGATTTTTGAAACAAATGGCAATGAATATGGAAGCATAGGTTCTAAGCATTAATCAACGGGCTTTGGAAGGTAATATTCTCATGGTCTTCTGAGAAAAGACTAGTTGCACCAAGAAAAAAGGGCTCAAAGAGGCGAACAGATGATTAGAAACGACCCGCATTTGGTCAGAGACTAGAAATCAAAAGGAGAAACCTCTAATAGGGATTGCTAGTCGTCGACGAACGGCGGGACTTCACGGAGAACGAGCTTTTCGGGGACGGCGAGGCGGACTTGATAGAGGAAAGAGAGCTCTTCTTGCGGGACACGTGCATGAACGCCGTCATCTTCTTCTCCATCTGACGCTTCGTCGGCGACTTTCTCGAAGTGGACGGCTCCGTGAACTTCCAATCCTTCGGCTCATCCTCGTTCTCAAACGAACTGTCGGCAGCCAGCAGACTCTCCGTGTTGTCCGAAGTGCTCGGCGAACTGAGGGGAGTGAGTGTCGTCGAGCTCAGATCCAGAGAAGACGGCGAAGAGATGTCGACGGTGAGAAGCTTCGGTCTGGAAATGAACACTTTGAGGAAATGAAGGCAAGGAAGAGGTTGTTTACCTGTAGAACTCTGGGACTTCTTTCTGTGGAAGGACTTCGTAGACGTAGCCGGAAGTGCTCGGGACAGGGGTTCCCAGGTCGAAGTCGAATCCCCACTTTTCGATTTGTTCCTGACGGTATCTCTCGTTGGCGGCGTCCAGGAAAGCGCGAGTTCTGGCCTGCTGCTCCGGGGTCGGGCGCCCGAAAAGGCAACGGATTGCGCGGGACTTCATAATACGAGTGAGTGAGGGGACCTGGAAGAAAGAACAGTTTAGAATTGGACGAGGAAAAGTTGAGCAAAGTCAAGAAAATAAGAGGAAAGAGCCCCATAACGGGAGGGCTTCCCGCCGCAATTGCGTGCATTTGAATATCCATCGGAGGAAGGAGAGGGCCCGCCCACGGAGCGAGAAGGAGGGGAGGAGTCATATGCGCAGCCGGGGGGAGAAGGCAGTATAATGGAGGGGTACGAGGAGGGGAAAAGGGAGGTGGCCGGGGCATCAAAGTGTTCGAGGAGGTCACCAGTCGGAGAAGGGGGACGGACCATGCAAACAACGCATAGAATGCGCAACGACTGGTGGCACCGAACGGCCGGGGATCGGATTTCCTTTACGAGCACTCGGCGCTCTTTTGGACGGAACAGAAAGTTGATCGGGCAGAAGCATAAACATTCGGGGAGATCTGAGGGACAGGCGGGTACATCAAGTGATATCGGATAATGCGGAGAGCGAGTACTGTTATGAGGAAGACATAGAGGGAGAGAGAGAGGGAGAGAGATGAAAAGGAAGAAGCCCTGGGAGATTAGGATGTGTAAGATTGGTGGGAAGGTGTAATACGGATTAGATTAGGGAGAGGTAGCCGGAGCATTACAACGGGAGAGAGAGAAAGAAAGTCCCTAGGAAAAAGTACCGTATTCTTCCGAGTTTCCCACTTTCCTAATGGACTTATCGGTGAGTCATTTCAGTAGGAGAGCCCCTTTACAATGTTTACACACCTTCGTTCCCTGTGTCACTTTGCAGAAGCATTCCATCCGGTTCGTCTTGCTGCTGGACACCTTCGTGTCCGGTGGTGGTACGAGTATGACTAATTGGATAAACAAATAACGATGGGTCGACGACTGAATATATACAAAAGGATGACTGTACCGATGGACATGTATAGTTGGAACGAACGAAGGCGATGCAAAAGTGATAGTGACGGGGATGAAAAACAAAAACAGTCTGAAAGGGGAGGGGAGGATGTTCTGTTCAAATACTCGTCTCGAGAGCAGATAGTTGACCCGAGAAGGGCTTTGTCAACAAATAGAATGCGGAAAGAGTGACCGTGTTGTTACTTGTGATTAAGTATACAGACACGAAGACGACCGTCTGAGTGAGACACAGCGGCGAGACTTTTTGATGCGGAAACACCTGCGGAATGGGTTTAGGAGCACGAGCAACAGAGAAACGGAGAGAGGATGGGCTCATTTGTGAAACCAACCGGCTTCTCCTCGCGTTTTGTACCGAGACACGGGCATCTGTTCGAGCAATAATATGTGTGCTGTGGTGAGCAGTGGTGTGGTTGGCAGGAGAGAGCCAGATGTCCGAACGGAACGGAGAGGGGAGCACTACACAACAACAAATTATCTGGCACGTAATTATGAATGAGCAGAAACCGAGGCACCAGCCGGGATAAGCTGGTACCTTCTGGTTTAATTAAGAAAGGATAGGTTTGAGGTTGGAAGGAAAGCGATAGGAAGAGTAGAAAGACCTCCCAGACGGGGGCGGCGCCAGAGAGAAACCTCCCGTCAGGAGAACATAACATAACACATTGGCGGTGAATTAGAAGGGGCGGAAAGGAACGAAATGCGAGAGAGCGCTCGTCCCCCCTCATCCGAAGCCCCGCCCCTTTTCTGTTTCGCCAGACGCGCCGCCCACCCCGCTGGCACTCTGCCAACCGGCGAGAGAGCAGTCGAGAGGGAGACACGCAGACGATCGCTATCGGAGACCCGACACTGGCCGATCATCGCAACTTTTGTGTTATTTCGTTGGTGCGATTGAAGCGTCGAAATAGTACGCGAGAGGAGCAAAGCGAGAGGTCCTGGAGGGGAGGAAGACGACGTTTTGATAAGATTACTGCTATCGCTACAATAATTTTGGGCAATAATGTGACACCTTTCCTTCTCTTGGTTCTAGTACTTATCAGTGCGAGCATTTGAAATGGTATTTCAAGCGAGAATCAAGTTTTTTTGTCGTCTCTTTTTGGGGTGACGGTACACTTTTCAAGACGGAGGTGAAAAGTTGTGAAAGAAGGAGGTGGAAGGGAAAAGGAGACGACCTTCTCTTATCAGGAAGCACAGGGAACAATGCTCCGCGAGCAGGAGCAGGCAGTTCCCGGCCACGTCATTCAGGGAAACTCTTCTAGAGAAGAAACAATGGATAATGACTCCAACTTTCTCTACTCTACCAGTTTCCTTTCCCTTTCTCTCGAACTAGCCCTTCCGTGTTCATCACATCATTTTCCCTTCTTATCGTCTCTGCGAAATCTAAAAGTCTTTTTGTGAGTACACCGGAATAAAAACCGACTAATTCATCATCATCTTCAGCGGAATCTCCTTCCGAAATACCGATCATATGATTCTGTTCGAAACGGGTTTCTTCACTTCTGAAACGGTTTCTCAGCACACAAACAAACAACTGAGGGGAGGAGGACGAAGCGGCTTTTGACACACATTTCGCGCCCATATGATCGAAAGGAATTCAGAAGATTCGGGGTTAGATAGAGAAGAATTGGTGGCGAGTGAAAAACAAAAACAGACGGCAACATTAGGTGCACATGTGGAAAAGTGGGCTACGATGGATAAAGGAAATAAATTGCAAGGAACGACTGATGACTTCTTTTGTCTTCGGGTGGTTCTGAACCACTAATTTCGAGGCGAACTGACAGAAATTAATTGGATTTCGGGGGAGGGGAACTTGTGGAGGTTCAAGTGGTTTGACATCAAGATCGAGGTGAACGGAGGTAGACTGCATACTTCGCTGGATCAATGGATTCTGCTCTAGCCAAGTTCCCAGTAGAGTGACCGTACCACGGCACCGCCACTCCTCGCTTCATAATCTTTCTGACCTTCTCAGAGAATTCCCTTCAAAAGTTCATATTCGCTTGTCACTTCTCATGATTCTCACCCTGTCCTACTTCCAATCCTTCAGTTCTTTTTTCCTTTTTCTCACAATAATCCTATTCTATCACTCTTTTTTCCCGGCAAAAAACGACTGATGTTTTGTTTTCTTCGAAACGTTTTTTTTTTCAAATATCTTCACTTCGCGCCACCCAAATCGAGAGAAGGCAGAAACCGGTCCACCTTCACTTTTGGCGCCAAAAAATTCGACAGCCAAATTTCTCTTTCTTCGTCCCATTATTTCGATTTCACATGTGTGCGAAGGAGGCAAAAACATCAGGGGGAAGGATGGAAACGGTCAGTTTCGCGCCCGCGCAGCTGATTGTTTCCGATTGGCAACGTGCCAAACATGTGATGATGCCACGATATTTTGAGTCACAGAAACAGAACAAGGGATACTGTAGGAAGGAGATCGAAAGAGCACAAGACAATCAGTCTGCTGCAGCAGCAGAACCATCGCCTCCTTTGCCATCACTATTTTCCCATCCAATTCCGGCCGCAATCCGACCGGTTCCCCGCTCATTCTGATGGTCTAACGACGCCCAAAACCGCCATCGGCAAAAACAATTTTTGAATTTCCGCCGCCCATTTTTTCGGCGGGTAAAACGAGAGTTTTCAAAAAAAGGAATTTGGTTGGCGCCGATGTCTTTGCCGATGTCTTCCAGGGATGTTCTGATCAATGCTTCAGCTACAGATCACAGTACCGTACCCCCACGTGCATCTCATTCTACACCTATTTGTCCGGTCGTTTGCACGATAAATATGCAAATTGTGAAGCAGCGGGACCGAGAAGCCAGCCGAGTTAACAATAAAAACGGAAATTTACATATGCATGGCTGAGAAAACGGTACCAAGAATGCACGGGCCACCGAGAGAAAGAACGGGTTTATCGCCGAGAAGGACGTCGAAATGGGTGATAAAATGGTGATTTGGCAGTTTATGCGGGTGATTAAACGAGTGATGGGTGAGAAAGGAACTACGGAAAACGAGGGACAGATGCGGGAGGGCACGGACATAGGAAGAATCGAGCTGGAAGCGTCTCGCCAGCTCTCCATTCAAGAGTGACCCACAAATAAGGCCTCCGGCTTCGAAATTTCCGATTTTCTGAGATTCCCGACAAGATAACCGGAACAGAATCATCAAAATTTGTCGCTCGGACGGGCCGGTGCCTTCTCTAATTCGAAGCCGATGCCTATCTTCACACGCATATCTCTTCACGGTGATCGCCCCCGAAGAAGACAGCAAAATTGAGTTATGGGCGACGAGGAAATTTGAAAATTGAGACTATCGAGGGTGGTAATTGACGAGAATTTCAATGAGATCTGATGAGGCTTCTCACTGTTTGCATTGGAATTCAAAGAAAAAAGGGACAAATCGGGGCAGGTGCAGAGTGCGGAATTCGATGGATTCGGGTTGCGCAAGAGCAAAAAAGGACGGATAATGGGCAGAGAGAACGAGCAATTGGGAATGGAAACAGATGAAAGTAACCGATCTTCAAAAGTGTCCGATCTTTCTGTGACTTGCAGTACTCTTACAGTACCCCGTCTCCCTTTGCAAACAAGAGCATTTTTCTCCATTACAAAAAGTTCAAAGTGACGTGGCGCGGTGTGCTCCAGCTGCGGACGGACGGGGCACCTGAGTAACACCTGGTGATGAGTAACACTTCTTCTTCTTCTTCTTCGTCTACAGTAAGACCAACTGGATTTCCAATCTAATTTGCCATCGAAAAGCCACCAAAAGCGGACGACAGAACATTGACGAATGACCGGAATGAGTTGTTCAAACAGAACTGCCGCCGCTCCAAAAAAACCGCTGTCCTTGGAGAGAAGCACGGATTGTCGGCACAGTTGGCACGGCGCCAGAGATCTGTTTTGTCGCGGTGAGGAATGAGAAGAAGAAGAAGAAGAAGAAGAAGAAGAAGGGGGAGGCAGTCGGTACCAATCAGAGCGCGGCTTTTCAAGATTTTTATCTGAGGGTTCGAAAGAGGGAGTGACCTCCAGATGAGGTACTTGATAGCGGTTTGGCCCGATTGCGTAAGGCACGAGAAATGAGAAGAGAATAGAGGTGGAAACGAAGGATATTGAAGGGAAGTTGGAAACGTTTGCTCCAATCAGAAAAAGGGAACAAATGCAAACAGAACACACTGAAAAGTTGCAGCCGCCAGTCGGTTATCATCGTTTTATCAGTGTGCTCCGCCGCAGAAACTGTGTCGCCGCTCCTTCTTCTCCTTCTCCTTTTTCTTTCCCTTTCTGTTTGTTCTTTTCATAATGCAACTGCGCCAAAACCATGCTTCTTTCTCCACATAAAAGGGAAAAAGGGGGCCGATGACCGTTGTTGGCCTTTTTGTTTTTGTTGAAGAAAAGCTGGTGCCAGGTGAACAAAACTACGGGCGGGTCAAGGGTTTTCGGCACGCGTGTGTGGTTGGAGGGAAACATGCGGATGAGGGGGTTCTACAGTATCTGAAGCAGTCTTTGGAAGGACGAAAAGACTGGAAAATCCAGGACTTTGACCTAGTTCGAGCTGATCATCATAGTAAGGATCCTTAAGATGTATATCATAAAAACTGTAATAGAAAAGCACCCCTAATACCGTCCATTCAGGACTATGTAAAAAAAGTTGTCAACTAATAAAATGTACAAAATATTTTGCTGAGCTTTTACTAATATACCACTTGTTTTATTTCTCTACGAGCAGCTAAGATACAGTCTTGAAGGAACGGTATAACAGTTTTTACGGCACCGCATGGCCTAATCGCCTCCAACTGTGGCAAAAGTCCAGTCCTTGAATCCTCAGAAGGTGTGACCCTTCTCGAAACAATTCGTCGGTGATTCGTCAAGTTGACATCTCGATTACGGTAGTTAACCCGTCGTCGTTCCGACCATTCTCAACTCGCCCATTAACTCGTCCGCAGCTCTGCGTGACATGTGTCAACACTTCCCAATCACATTATCCTTTTGTGATCCGGCCTTTTTTCTGTTTGCTGTGAACGTCGTTCCCTTCTTTCGAGGATACTGTATTTATGTAAATTAAGTGTTTGCACACTTTGCATTCTCGTTTTATTAGCGACAGAATTACGATCTCAAAATGGGAAAGCGAAAGAATGGAATGCAGAATAGAATAACCTTTAAGAGATATCGGGAGGGAACAGGAGGAATTCTAAAGTAATCTAACTGATCACTCCTACAAGAAAAACCCTCCGAAACCGCACCATCAGATAGTGTGAAATGGAAGTCGGTGACTTCAAAAATGCGGCAAAACGGTGCCCTTGACACGCGGTTTTTTGGCATCAAATATAGGAATCTAGTGAAGAGGAAAACATGGACGCCGAGGGACAGAAAGATTAGGATCAGTGGGACGTGTCGGTTCGGATTACGGTTAGGGAGTTTAATAGGGATGAGAAGAAAATACTGAAAAGACGGGAACCGTTTCAAAGATAACATATGGGTGTTCAGAAGATTATGGGCGGTTAATAAAGATTTTTCATTCAGTACCCGACATCCTTGAACCAATTCGGCTTGAGAAGCTTCATGTTGAGGAGATTCTTTTTGGTCTGATCGGCGCCGTATCGTCGGGTGAAGTCCATTGCTTCGCTATAATGAGCTCAAAATTCGTTACAATAGCTCAGTTAATCTCACTTGTAGTGATCTTTAAAGTCTTGGAACACGGAGACATTTTTAGCCGGATTATCCGTATCGATCACGTCCACAATTACGACGCGGTGTTCTTCCACTTCAGCTCTTGTCTTCGGAACAGTTTTGCCAGTTCTGATGTCCAATTTGTCCTCTCGAACATTAATGACGTTAGTGTAGAAATCGACGAAAAGTAAAAACAGAGTTCCAACGCTGATCTCACACGAGTTACTAGTCTTCCAGTTTCGGACATCTTAAATCAAATGTTTTCTTTTATTATAATGCCTGGATCACCTTCATTCGGAATTCCAAAAGATCCTTCTTCGCCATGAACTGCCATCGGCCAAGTCGCTGAATTCTGTTCAAGTTTATCTGAAAAATGGGAAATCTGCTGGAACACGTCAGATTTTTGTTCAAACCGGAATGTTTGGAGTTGACATTAGGAAGCAATCCGTAGTGTTTCATGAAGAAGACGACCATGAGGACAGTGCTGCACGAGCTGGGAAACACCATTCTGTGGTACTGCTCGTTCTCGTCCGTCTTCATCGACTTCTGCCATTTCTTGATGAAAGCAGCCAATGGAATAAAGTGAGCGAAAGTGAAATTATTTGGAAAACGATCTGGCACAAAAGTGAAAAATAAAATTATTTCTACAGTAGAGCAAAGAGGGAACATGTGACTATGAGATGGGAAAAGAACCGGTGAACATTTCAGTGTTGGCCCGAGCCGTGACAAGTATGGCAGAAGAGCTTTCAATAAGAAATACTAGCAAACAAAAAGGAAAACGGAAGAGAATAAAAGTAAACGAGATGAGAAAAGGTGCAGAAGGAGCTGTACAACAACTACAAAGTTTCCTGGGAATGGCTGGTCTGGTCCGATAAGCCCGGAAATTCGAAAAACCTCTAAGATTTTTAGCAAAAACAATTGTTTGTATAAATTTTCTGTGTAACAGCAGAGGGTTAACAAGAAAGCTGAAGTTTCCTTTCAAATTTCGTCATACTTTTCGAATGAACGTCAAAAAATTGAATACGGCAAACAGCAAGTGAAAAGCAAAACTTTCTGCTCTTCGAACATTAGAATTATCGTTTTTAAGTTCAAATTGAGGGTCGAAGTAAAGCAATAAAGTTTAAATCGGCAAAAATAGAAAACGGCCGAAACACTTTTCGGGACTTTTCAAGTGCGCTCCACCAAACACCCGCGAAAAGTTAAAAAAACAAAATTTTCGGCAATCGACTTTTGACACAAATGCACTCGAAAGAAACAATTAATTCTCAGTTTCGTGGGCCACGGTGGGAAACTGCCAGACATAGCGAATAATCATCTCGACCATTCCGTATCAACAAAACACTGTTGAGTCGCTACTCATCGAATTCGCGGCGAGACCCAACAATTTCGGCGCGAGTTCAAATGTTTGTTTTTACCGTATTTTCGATGCGGCAGAGACAGAAATGCAAAAAACTATCTTCATGATAAAGTAAAGCAAATTTCGGAAACTTTTTATAAGTGCAAAAACGTTTCATAAATATGTATTTAAATGTTCATAAAATACGCCTTGTGAGAGAGGCATTTAATGTTGAGGGCCTTTAAATATATAAAACAACAATTGAATCGTTTCTTAGTAAACTCTATCCACGAACCACGACGGCTTGTTGAGTTTCATTTTCAGTAGCTTCTCTGCAGCACTATTCGGTTGTTCTATTATGATTTGTCTCGCTTCTCTGCAAAAGTTTCGGTTAGAATCGTCCTTCTTTTTCAACTAACTGTAAATGATCATCGTAGTCTCGGAGCACGGAGACATTTTTAGCCGGATTGTCCGTGTCGATCACGTCCACAATTACGACGCAGTGTTCTTCCACTTCAGCTCTTGTCTTCGGAACAGTTTTGCCAGTTCTGATGTCCAATTTGTCCTCTCGAACATTAATGACGTTAGTGTAGAAATCGACGAAGAGTAAAAACAGAGTTCCGACGCTGATCTCATACGAGTTACTAGTCTTCCAGTTTCGGACATCTGAAATCAAATTTTTTCTTTTATTATAATGCCTGGATCACATTCGTTCGGAATTCCAAAAGATCCTTCTTCGCCATGAACTGCCATCGGCCAAGTCGCTGAATTCTGTTCAAGTTTATCTGAAAAATGGGAAATCTGCTGGAACACGTCAGCTTTTTGTTCAAACCGGAATGTTTGGAGTTGACATTAGGAAGCAATCCGTAGTGTTTCATGAAGAAGACGACCATGAGGACAGTGCTGCACGAGCTGGGAAACACCATTCTGTGGTACTGCTCGTTCTCGTCCGTCTTCATCGACTTCTGCCATTTCTTGATGAAAGCAGCCAATGGAATAAAGTGAGCGTTGTATCTGAAGTTAGACAAATTATGAAAAAAAACAACTTTTTGATGAGTGCTCACTTTTCATAGGCGTCTACGAACTTCGCGGCGAGATACTGCGCTGGCACGAGTCGATCCATCGAAATACTGATGTCTATCTCGACTCCATCCACGAATCCTGTAATGATCGGAACTCTCGCTGTTCGGATGTGTTCCATATCCTTCAAAGTTCTATTTTTGAACAAATCGAAGCATTTTCCTAATTGTATATCTTGAAAGATGACACCCAGGATCTCGTTGCGTCTCTTTTTGATCAATTCCTCGTCCTCCGTGAAATTGTCGAGATGCAAACAGACAAGCATGTCCAGATCTCCATCTTTCGTCGCAAGTGACGAAGCAGAACTGCCGAACGGAACCACTGCTTTCAGAGTGTATTTGATACCTCCAATCTGTATGCAAGAGCAACTTACTTTTTACTTTCATTCTCGTATTCCCACTTACCGGATAGGTCCGGAAAAGTTTTTTCAGGTATGCATTCACCTCTTCAATGATGCCTTTCTTCTTGTTCCACTCTCTCTCCGACTGAAAAACGAAAAAAAATAAGAATCTGCGTATACTCGAAAAATGAACCTCTTTTTTTTCTAAGTAATCCTGTTCGATGGAAATGCTGAACTTATCCAAATATGAATCGCACGCTTGAATTGCTGTTACATTATGATGAGGCCCTCGAAATAACGCGAGAGCTTTCAACCTAGCTTCGGCACCTTGCTTCCCATTAATCGGAGATTCCTGCAGTCATGACACTAATCAGAAGCACACTCAATATCTTTATTACCGTGGTCCTCATTGTGTTACCCGTTGATGCAAGCAAACCTTCAGAGAAACGAACTGTAGTTGAAGTTGTTTTGTGAATTACAGGTTCATATTCCACACACAGTGGATTAGCAGGCACCGTTCTGTTTTTTCTTGATCTAGACCTGTTTCTTGATCTTGATCTCGACTTTGTTCTTGATTGTCTTGGAGTTGTTACTTCGAACAGCGGATAGGTAAACATTTTCTTCATTAGAACGCTAATATTAAGTTCTTCCCTAACGTCTATTTTTGCTTTACTGGAAATCTAACTTTCACATGTAACTTTAAATTATGTTTACCGCAGCACATTCATGTACTTTTCTATTTCAGTTACTGATCGACATGGGTTCCACTTGTCAATAACATCCACTATGTAAATGCGATTTTTGGCATTTCTGAAATACAAACGTAAGGAAGTCAGTATCGTGTACCTTCAATTCACTTTCTGCCTTTTAGCAAAGCTTTTCCTTTACTAATATCTAGTTTATGTGATTTCAGATCGACAACCTCCGCGTAAAAGTCGATGAATAGAAGGAAAAGTGTAGCGACACTAACTTCACACTTATTCGACAACTTCCAATTTTGAACGTCTGGAAACCAATTCAATGGAACTGTTTCACTTGCGACTTCTGTTAACCTATGTCCGGAATACCAAAAGAACCGTTTTCCCCTTGATTTACTCTTTTCCAGTTAGCAACATCATATCCGAGTATATCTATAATTAACCTGTTTTCTTACTATTAACAAATGTGGTACCTTTGTGTTTACTGTAAATATTCGGCAGCAGTCCGTAATGTTTCATGAAAAAGACGACGAGCAGAACGGTGCTGCACGAGTTCGGAATAACTCTGTTATAGTAGCCCTCATTATCTCCTGTTTTCATAGACTTCTGCCACTTCTTCACGAAAGCAGCCAGCAATATAAAGCGATGATCGTATCTGGAAAACCTGTTTCGCAAAATTTAGGTTATATTTTCTCACTTTCCATAAGCATCAATAAATTTGGAAGAGAGATACTGCGCCGACACGAGGAAAGTCATTGAAATGCTGATGTCCAACTCAATGCCATCCACATATCCAGTTATGATTGGAACTGTTGCTTCTGAGATGTGCTTCATTTCCCTAACGTCCCTATTGGGGAATATGTTTTTGATAGATGCAAATATAGTTCGCAGAATATCATTGCTTTTACTGTGTATTTCAGCTCTGCGTTTTCGACCGATAGGAGGATGGACACAAATGGTCATATCCAGATCGCCTCCCTTCATTCCGAGTCCAGAAGTCGAACTTCCGAATGGAACGACACCTTTCAACGCATACAAATCACCTTCGATCTGGAACTAAATGACTGCACACATGCATCAATTCTCTACCAAACTGATTTATTGAAAACATGTCTCGCCATATAGTTTTCGATTTCTTCTAGAATTTCAATCTTTTTCTCAAAGTCTGCTCGTGGCTGAAATGTTACGGTTTCATAATGCCTCAATTCATCACTGACCTCTCTGTTATCAATGTAATCTTTCTCGATTGCATTGCTAAACTTTTTCAACGCACTATCCCACTTTTGAATGAATGTGTCTCCTTCTACATAAACATTTGGCAGGCCAATGCTTCTCAATCGACTCTCGATCATTTCTCGAGCCGACATTCTCTAAATGTTTGGAATTATTTGTGAAACCGTCTGGTGAAACAGTGAAAAATATAGCGACTTCTTCAGTAGATCTAGAGCGAATAATGATTATGAGGAGTTTATGGCAGGGAAAAGGGCGGATTCGGAGGGGTGTCTCGATCTCCTTCTGCGGAACGCACTCCCGTTTTAGCAATAGCAATGGAAGGTTTTATGACTTTTGATAAGAAATACTGAACGAAAGAAGGAGAGGAACAGAGAAAGAGCACGAAAATGAAGTAAACAGAATGAAACCAGGGAACAATGAGAATCTCCTAATGATAATCTGACAACTCTCGAGTTACGAAAGATTCAATGACATTTCGATTGTAGTACATCAACATTCTTCCTAAAATCATTGAAAACATCTTCTGCATAAAAACCCGTTAAAAAAATGCGATTGCATGCAAAATGTTCCAGAAGCGGGGTCGGAGTGCAACAGAGCGAACATGCATAGTGACTGAGTCTCTCGTTCTCTAAACAGTGAGTTGCCCTTCAGCAAGAGGGTTTGCAGATGAAAAAAACATGTATTTTTGGGAGAAAAAGAGCAGTAATTGGAACGGAATGGCATTCGAGCTGATTGAGTCGGCCGCTTTTGCAGACAGATTCATTAGAGCAAATTGGGGTTTTGTTTGTGAAAAAAACAGAAAGAAAGACATGCTCATTCTGGAAAAGAGTTCCTCTGGAATGTTGCTTCATGAAGACGTCCTCCTGATTCCGGGCGCCTCACTTCTTCTTCTTCTCCATTATTCAATGCCTTCTCCTTCTCCTTTGGTGGCCGTCTGAAACCAAAAAACGAGAGCGAAGGCCTTGCTTCCTCCTCGTTTTTCTCACCTCTTCTTCTTCGTTTTTATTGTTTCGGCTCCGCATAACAAATAGGTCGAAAGACACTCTGACTGCTTCCTTTCAGCCCCTGCAGTCATCCCGCCCGGCGCTCTCCCTCTTCCTTTCTGTGCTCATTTGATTTGTAGCTTTTCAAGTGGCTTTTTTTTGAAACCCAAATTGTTTTCGTTTCGAGAAACGAAGAAAGAGAAACTAAAACTTTTCGTGTTCCCCACTTCCAACAATTTTGTGTCTCAACAAGTCTAACCACAAATTTCCGTTTCGACGAGTACAATTCCGTTTATTTCCTCGTTTTGCTCGCTGAATTATTCAAATGACAATAAAACGATGTACCTGAAAAGCACCTGGTGCGCGTGTTTTAATATTCCACGACATTGTGTTATGCGACTGGAAGTGCTGGAGCAAAAGCGGAAAACGCGTCCGAAAGAGCATGTTTATCTCTTTCGAATCGCTTTATTGGCACTTATTTAAATGTTCTTCGCATGTGGACTACGAATGCTCGGCGAGCCACGGAAAGACCACACAAACGCACGCACTTCCAGTGTCTGGCCCTATCAGCCAGCTGAGAGGACCAGTCCGTCTTGATTTCAAGTATCCTGAATCACTTTGTGACCCAACAGTTTCTTCTCATTCCTTTGCAAATCCCTTCTGCAACATTTTCGTGGCCTTCTCCAATTGATCTCGGCCTGACCTTTCTTCCCTCCTGAATCCTGCTCCTCCCCCGCCAATTCCTTACTTCTTCACTTGTTCTTCTTCTTCTTCTTCTTCTTCATAACCACTTCACACTCTCCTTCTCTTCTTCTCTCTTTCCTTTTCTCCTTCTTCGGCCGCACATTTGCATAGAATTAAACGGACTTTCGACGACGACGACACGAAGAAGAAGTAGAAAAGAGGCGGGGCGGAAAGAAATTCGGACGGAGCAACAGGGCCCCTCGGCGCTTCCGAAGAACGAAACGGGATTAGTGCTGCTGAGGGTGGCCAGGTGTCAGAGCATGTTTCCTACAGAAACTTCCGAAAGCACGGCACTCTCAATCATTCTGCTTTTTTATTTTCTTTCAGTTCTTTCACTTCCTATCTGTTTTCCTTTAAAGCCGCCTTGACGAGCAGAACGACTCATTCGCAATCAGAAAACTTCAAATTCCTCTTTTTGTACACTCCTTACTATAATTTCCGCCCGTCAGAAATGATTTGTGATCGTCGCCGAGGCACTCCAATTAGCTCGAAGATCAAGTGAAAAAAGGAGGAAGTGTTTGAACTTTGAAGAGGGGAAAATGTGTGAAAAGAATGAGGAAGAGGGTCCGCGGGGGAGCAAAAACCGGAAGCGCACTGAGTTGGAGAAAATATGCATGCCGTGGCAATTGGGAGCATTTGCCACGTGGAAATGTGTTCAGATTCCCATTATTCCAAGCATCCTCAAGCATCCGACCACCTTGATTAATTTTTGATATTTTTCTCACCAGCCTTCTTCTCCTTCCTCCTCGAAGCCCCGCCCACTTTGCTCCCTCCGTCCTTCGAATCACTCGTTCCCGAACTCGACGCTTTTTTCTAGCCGCGTGTATGAATTCGCATCGATAACATGTTTGGGAGAACCTGAAATTATTTATAGGCGTAGAAAATAATCGTTCTTTTTCTTTCTAACCGCAACTCCTCAGCCCTCTTCCGATTTCCATCCGCGTCGAGCGTTTTCATATTTACGGCGCTTTCCAATGACTCCTAAAAACATTTTTTATTTTTTTTGCGAAGAACTGGCGCGAAAAATAGCGTTTCGACAAGTTTTAACAGACAAAAACGAAAAAATGTTGAAGTTGCAAATCCATGGAGCGGAAATTCCGTCTGCCGTCTTCCGTAAGAAAATTTTCTTCCGTCTTCCGTCTTCCGGATTTCAAAATTCCATTTCCGCTCAAGTCTGATGTTCACGCTGCGACTCAGTGCCGCGGCTCTCTTGTCAGACGTTCGCATCTTCCATGCTTGCAGTTTTCGGTTTGATTGACAAGATGTTTGAAAATGATTCGAGCAGACGCTTCGAGATCTTTGCTCACTTTCTCTTCCACAGATACTTATTTTCTGCCTTTGAATACACTTTGCCTTGCCCTCTCGTGGACGTGTCACTTCCATTCCTTTCTCATGTTTTCATTCTCTTTTTTCTCGCTCGTCTGACACTATTTTGAGTGATCTCAGACTGAGCTTACTGTAGTCTGACTTCTCTCGCTTCATTTCCTCCACAGAAGAGAGTTTCATAATGCAGACATCCTCGCAATTTCGCATTCAAATGACGTGTCACAATGGTGCATCATAATCCAAATGACCTTTGTCAATCGGAGCAGCTCACACGACTGCTCCGCGAGCTCGGAGATTTCTGAAAGAAAGTCTCTGAGTCTCGCGCCGACGCGCCCTTCCTCCATTTCGACGCACAATTCAATTTCAGAGTCTCTTTTCCGCCCCCCTATCATCATCATCATCATCGTTTTGTGCTCCGTGGGCCGTCTCTCTCTCTCTCTCTTTTCTTTTTTTGTGTCCTCCTCCTTCCTATTTCCATCCCAGAAAGTTCGTTTCGTTTCGATCTCGCACTTTTCTTTCTCTTTCACAAAATGGGATCATAGACATCAGAAATTAGTCATTCTCGGAATACATATCCCATTTCCCCCTACTCTAATTTTTTGATCCATTCGAGGAATTCTAGAGTTTCTAATCGGGAGAGAGAGAGAGAAGAGTTTAGACCAAGTTGTGAAATTTTATAGTTTTCCACGCAAAACAAGCGCTTCCCTTCAGCAAAAATACCCAGATTTCTTTTCGCCTCCAAATGTATTCCAGACTCACTTCTTTTTGCACGGATTCTTTCGAGACTTATTGCAAACTAACATAGTTTGCTCGCTTCTCACCAATGCTCAGAGAAAGTTCAACTTCGTTCCGACACCCCGTGATTATCTCGTCTGCCTCTCTCCACCAAAAAAAGTCCAAAGTGGCGGGAATCGGATGAAATCTGAGGGCCAATCAAACGGCGATTCACTCTTCTCATAACCTCTCCATTGGTCCGTCTACCCCTAGGGATTTCGCTCCTTTCGTTTTCTTTCCGATACACTTTTTGATATAAAATGTGCTTTGGTTTGCGTGTCCGATTCTCTCTCCATTTTCTTACCTTTCCGTCATTTCAGATGAGCTAAACTCGCAAGAAAAAGCATGCAAGAGAAATGTCGTTTAGTTGGATTTTCACTTCTTCTGGCTGTTTTATCTTCTCCGCACACTCGAGCCGACGATCGATTTCACATAGGTGTGTACTTCTGAAGGAGGGCTCTGAGAGTATGAAACATATTTAAGGAACCATTTCAAATCGAGGCTCTTTTGCCTACGAACACCTGAGATATGCAATCGATCGGTGGAACACGGAGCACGGAGCCCACACTCAGATTAAGTTCTCGCTTGTTTCTCCCATCAGACATGATAACAATTATGAGGAGAGAAGTGAGTCCTGATCCTTTGCGAGTTGCTGATCATTCTGAAGTATTTCAGTGTGCGAGATCATGCAGCAGGGCATCGTAGCCGTCGTTTTGTCAAACGAGGAAAGCGAGCAAGACGCCCAGCTCATCAAGTCCATGTGCCATTTCTTCAACGTGAGTCCCTCGATCCCACTGCTTCCGAACTGCCCTCCCTTCAGATCCCGTGTCTTTCCCTCCAATCCACTTCTCTCCGTGACTCTGTCTCCGATTTCGTCACCTTTCTCGGACCTTCTCGTGGCGCCGGAGCCCGTGCAACCAGCGAGTTCCTCGATTCAATGAGATGGACGGGATTTCTGTTGGCTTACCAGCACGGAACGGACCTGGAAGACCTCTCTCCGTTGATGCAGTACAAAGAGATCGCGGAGACGGGCGGCCGGAGGATCCACATAAAAGTACGGAGACTTCCCAATAACACGGATGACTATGAGCCGTTTTTGAAGTATGTGAAGACGAGGTTGAAGCAGACGAATATCGTGAGTCTTTGAGAAACCAAATTGAAGAAAAAACAAGTTGAGTTAATTTGCAGATCATTCACTCGAATAACATCACAGTTCTCTACAATCTGCTCCAGCAAGCGAGAGGCCTGAATATGGCAGAACCACCGTTCTCGTACGTCTTCACAAATACTGTAAGAACAGCTGAAAAAGTTAAGCCAAGAAAGAGTACGAAAGCATGTTCAGGATCTGTCCCTGCTCGAAGACTTTCTCAACAATATGTACGGCGCGTCGTTCCATTGCAACATCACTGGATTGCAGTTGGTGAAAAACGATCCGATGATGAAGGTTCGCTTCTTTTCTCCAGATGACTGCTCAAGCATTCCCATTCAGACGCAACTTGCTCTCACTTCTGAAGCCGTCTATGTCGTCGGAATGGCAATCTATCGAATGAGAGAAGTCCGTTTCCCCCTTCCTTTCAATCAAATCCCTTCATTTCCAGCTCGGCCACGCACCCCGACAGTCTTCTGTGATGTGTGATTCGCATGACATTTGGTCGGACGGCCGTATAATGAACGACGGCATTCGGAAGGTGATTCTCGAATGAAACCGACGCGATTCGCTTGTTTCGTGTCCTTCAAGTCTCCTTTAAATCCGCAAACAACTGGGCATTCAAACCGTCGTCGTTTCTTTTCCTGTTGATCCTTCAAACGTGTCTTTTTCTTCTCTTTTCTTTTCAAAAAGAAAGAAGAGGTTCTTTAGAGGATTACTGTAGTTGTAAAGAAGACGATACGGTTGGTTTGCCGGCGAAAGAATCGGTTCAATTGAGTGCGCTTTGCGTGATCTTTCGGAACGCAAATGACACATTTCCCTGACTGGATATTCTGGATTCGTTGCCTCCGACCATCCAGAATATGTCCTGCTCGGGTCACTCCGATTACTCATAGTCGGAATCCAGTCACCATACCAATTACAACATTGCAAAATCTGTGTGGAACAACTTTTCAATTCAGTTAAAACTTCGCAATCAACTGACGGGCGACGTCCAATTCAAGGAAAACGGAGAGCGCGACGACATCATGTACCACGGCGTCGGAAGAATTAACTCGCAGTTCGTGAAGGTAAGAGAGAGGAACCGGTTCGAATGAAATCGGTGATTTCGAGTCTGGAACTGAAGTGATTTGATAAAGGAAAGTCACAAAACAGACATGTTCTATGACCTGTTAATCGAGAAAGGAAGACCTTGAACTACGGCGACAACTTCTCAAATCGTCGCACTTTTGGTCAATCAAAAGAGACAAACCTACACTTTGAATTGGAACTGATCAACTGAGAGAGAGAGAGAGAGAGAGAGAGAGAGAGAGAGAGAAGTGTAGTTTGGATAGTAGCGTGCCCATAGATTACATTGTGCAACAGCAAAAGTTCCAAAAGTTTCAAAAGTCTCTTATTCTTCTCCCCGAGTCCTTTTTGTGCGCAAACAAACAGCCTGTACAAGTTTGTGTTTGGCCACCCTCCGTTACATAAATCTATACTGTATACATACTATACATAGAATATTCGTGTTTTAATTCAAAAACGGTTCTCGAGCGTCACGATGTTTTATTATAATTAGTGCTCAAAACGGAATGAGAACAACGAGAGAGTGAGAGGGTATTTACAAAAAGGAAATCGAGTGAAGAGTCAGTGCTTATTGTCCCTGGGCCTTCTCGAGTTCGGTGCGGACGTTGGCTGGGAGGGACTGGAGATACGACTGGATCTTCTGTCCCTTGGCCTGAACGGAGAGCGATCCGTCGTTGGAGATGGCGGTCAGTTCAGCGTCGGCCTGGAAAAGGAAAGAGTTTGGATGATGGAAGGACTCGGCGATCTTTTGTTTCGTGATCAACGATCAAACCGGCAGTAGCTACTAGTTGCCCATGCTAGTTTTCCCTTAATCCCTGCTGTATCCGCTTACCTTCTTGGCAGCCGGGGAGAAAGAGGCAATGGCGGCCTGGTGAGCAGCCTCGGCCTGTCCCTGCTGTCCCTTGATGAACTTCTGGAACTCGGCCCAGTCGGCGGCGACGTTTCCTCCCTGCTGCTTGACCCACTCTTGGACTTTGGTGTCGAGGGCAGCGTCGGTCAGATGTCCGTTGTTCTGGATGATTCCTTGGAAGCTCTGGAGCTGGGCCGGAGTGGCTCTGCGAAGGAACGGCGGCACATCCTGTCCTCCGGCTGGCTGTCCGTAGACAGAGACGGCGACGACGGCGAGAAGAGCGACGACGGCAAGACGGCACATTTTAGAAGGAATCAGAAGAAGAAGACGACGACTGATGGAGATTCCCCGCCAGAAATTGTTTCTTTTATACCGTCGCGCACACGGTCTATGCCGCCCTTTCGCTCCTCCCACCTGGGCAGAAGAGTGCGCGGAGGCGCAGAGTATGACAGAGTGTTCGCTGAAGTCGGCCAGTTTTCCGAGGGGCAAATCGCTGAATTTGAGGCTGATTCAAGGGGAAAACCCCCGGGTGACGAATTGTTTTTGGTAAAGAACGGCTGATAAGAGTTCAGCGTCACGTAGATACCAAGCTTCTGAGGAGCTTGACAGTTGGGGTGTGGGAGGTGTGAGGTCTTTCTGAAAGAGTGTAGAAGATCTGTGAGTGTGAGCTCCTGGGGTTTAGTTTTAAGAGTATGTCCAACGTCGATACGGTTCAAAACGTTAGAAAAGTGAAAGGAAGTGCTTTAGTGGACAATCAATCGCTTATCTTTCCAATCCGACCAGATACTTCCAAAAAGATAATTCCCGTCTCGGTCTTGACTCGATACGACCATCCGCGAGGGTCCAGTTGCCCTTTCTTCCGTCTCACTTCCATCTTCCATTTTCCACGTCATCAGGTGTTTCTGACCTTCCGTCCGTATCTTCTCTCCTTCGTGTCTGACTTTTACACCTCATCTGGTGACATCATCCATTTCGAAGCTTGTCATGGTCAACGGGCGGAAGAATTGAAACAAAAAGTGTTGTTTGCACAACCTTGAACTGCTTTTTCCTCTTCTCCATTTCCTATTCACCCGATTCAGTCACTCCGATGATTATCTTCTTCAGTTTACCCCAAAACGAAGTCCGCTTTTCCGTCTTTTCCCTACTTCGCCCATCCTTTTCCACTTCCTGATGGAAAGGATAGAGAGAGAGAGAGAGAAGGAATAGTTGATCTCTGATGATGCCTTCCTTCGATGGTACCTCAAGTTGGAAGTTCACCTGATGACGTGGCACAGTTATTCGAATGGTCAGGCCAGAGAAATGAAAGATAGAAGATGTCTCGGGGGAACAGTGATCATATTGCAATTTGAGAAGATACTGAAAAAAGACTCTTCTGATCTTTTAGACTTCCAATTCCAATCTTTCATCACAACCTTTGGTGTGTTTCTTTTTCATAAATCAATCCATGAATCTTATCATGGCCAGTTTGGCGTGGCAATCTCTACTTGTCTATCTCTTCCGAGAACCTATGCAAACATCAATGACCCGTCGTTTCTTGTCGTGGTAAATCAACGTAATCGATGGATGCACCAGTGCCATGAGAACCCAAACTACACAAACTGTTGGCGAACCGACCAAAAACCATTCCGAGCAATTTGAAAACTTCAATGAATGAATGGCAAAAAGTGATAAACAAACAAGCGGTGATCGTTGAGAGAAAGACGGTAGAAATGCAAATAAACTTACTACTGCATAACGAACTTTTCGCGGCTTTTGGCTCATGAGAGCAAAGTATTTGTAAAAGAAACTGGAACAGAAAAGAAGAAAAAATGGGAGCAGTTGTCAAAGGGAAAAACAAAAACATTTTCAACTTTTCAGCTGGGTAATTGGTCTGAGAAACGTGGATGGAGCTTCGATTCTCGGTACGCCAACCGATGGGAATTCGATATTGATCCGGACTCGGAAGATCTGGAGGGACTCCATCTCCGAGTGGTCGTTTATTTGGAGGAACCGTTTGTGATCAAAACGGGCGACAATCAGTACGAGGGATTCTGCATTGATCTGCTGAACGAGATGACGAAGGTCCTCAAGTTCAACTATACGATCATTGAGGTGCAAGACGGAACATATGGAATAGAGGTGAGAGTAGGGAAGAGGACGCCACTTGAATGAAGGAAGGGTTACAGGACGAATCTGGGAGGTGGAATGGGATCATCGGAGCACTTCAGAGGCACGAGGCCGATCTGTCACTCTCTGCAGTTACGATCACTTATAGCAGGGCAGAAGTTGTTGGTGAGCAATGTTTCTGAGGGAAATTAACACAATTCAAATAAAATTTCAGACTTTACACTTCCATTTATGCACCTCGGAATATCCATTCTTCTTGCCAGAACATCCGAAGAAACGGACAAAGGTTCACTGTGGACTTTCCTGGAGCCGTTGTCTCTGACTGTCTGGGTCAGCCTGCTCTGCAGCTATTGCATCGTCTCCTATTCAATGCATTTGCTTGCCAAGTTCTCACCGTACGAATGGTAACTTCACGAGTACAAATGTTGTGAAGATTGCCCCTTTTTTCAGGTATAACATTGAGCGCATTGACGAACGAGACTTTGAGAACATTAAAAACCAAAAGAATCAGTTCACAGTGCTCAATTCGTTCTGGTTCACAATGGGATCTTTGATGCAGCAGGGATCCGACGTGATCCCGAGAGCCGCGGCCACCAGGCTCATTGCCGTTGTGTGGTAAGTTCAATGAGACCACTTTCAAACGGAATAAGCGTCCTTCTTCCAGGTGGATGTTCACTCAAATCATAATCTCTTCTTATACTGCCCAATTGGCTGCCTTCCTGACCGTGGAGAGAATGTCCACACCGATAGAAAGTACGCAGGACTTGGCCAATCAACAGAAAATAGATACGGAGTACTCAAAAGCGGGTCGACTATGGACTTCTTCCGCGAGAGCAAGATACCGATGTACGAGCGGATGTGAGTGATCTCAGCCATTAACGCTTTGAGGAATGAGCTCTTTTTGCAGGTGGTCAGTGATGGAATCTTCCTCGCCCGGAGTGTTTGTAAACAGTTCTCGGGAGGGAATTGCACGGGTCAAATCGGGTGGATACGCGTACATGATGGAGAGTTCAATGCTCGAATATTACCTGGAAAGAGATTGCGACCTGCAAAGCATAGGAGGTTTACTCGATTCGAAAGTAAGACAATAGCCCATTCCAAAGAATTTGAGGACATTCTTCAGGGTTACGGTATTGCTCTTCCGAAAGGATCTCCGTTACGAGACATATTATCAAGAACAGTTCTGCAGTTACAAGAAAGGACTATTTTAGAAGCACTCAAGAATAAATGGTGGAGGGATATGCGAGGTTCGTATTCTTTGTCAGGTGCTCTCACTTTTATTAGATTCAGAAGGTCCTTCTTGTGGTCCGCCGCCTGCGGAAAAAGCAACAAACTCGAAACCTCAGAATATATTCGGTTGGTTTCATGCCCAATATAAACTGACCTCAATAGGTAACTTTCAGGAATCTTCTACGTGCTGCTCACCGGTCTCATCGTGGCCTTCCTTCTGGCGTGCGGAGAGTACTGCATTGAATCCCGGCACGACGTGTTCCGTCTCAAATTGACAATCTTCGGAAAGGTTCCCACCGAACTCTCAGTTCTTTTCATTTTCTTGCTTTCAGCTCTCTGACTGGTACCGTGGCAACTCGAAAGATTTGAAGAATCGGAACAAAATGAGGAATGTGCAACTGGACACTGCCGGCCAGGAAGTCGCCATGTGAGTCGTCCCCTTTCCTCTCGCCATTCATTTCAGATCAAACTCTTAAAATTCCGCTTCTCTCGTACAATTATATTCGGTTCGATTTCCTGCAGAAATCCTGATTTTGCATGAAAATTCGCGGCAGAATTTTCCGAACTTTTCTTTTCAGTTTCAATAATAAATTAGAATGAAGAAAAGAGAGATTCCCGAGAAAGGTAGGTCGAATCGATCGCTTCTGCATGCAAAACCGCTTCTTCCTTGGTTTTCTTCGACCGTTTTGTTGGCTGACTCTCGAGCTTTCGGTTTTCATTTTCATCTTTCCTATCCGTTTCGTTTCCCTCTTTTGGTTGGCAAATGAGAAAACTTCCAGAGAATTCACAAATCACCGTTTCCATCCACTTTTCTAACCGAATAGTTGAATACTCACTTTCACACACCAACTAACGCCCTAACTCTTCAGTCTTTCCTGTTCCCCGCCAACTTGTTTTTTCAGATCCTCCCGTCCGGATCTTCCTCTTGCACCTCCACCGCAGTCATCTCTTCCTTCGAGACCTGATCCGAACCGTCTCTCCATCTCCTCCCCAGCTCCCACCATCTGCGTCGTTTCCTGCGATGACGGCGCTCCCGTCTGTCAGGACAGACCGCCCTCCATCAGTCGAGCTGGGCTCCGAAGGCTCAGTCGCATGCTTCCGGCCACGACGCACGAGCAGTTGTCCCGCTTCCGACTGGGATCCACGTCGTGAATCGGACGATGAGGAATCGAACGTTTCTGTAAATCTTGTAAATATTCGTCTCTCTCCCGTTCTACCTTTCTACAATCATCACAACCAAATTCTTGCCCACTGGTCGTTTTCAGCACAATAAAGTTACTTTTCACAAGAAAAAAGGCTTATTCACGTGAAAATGTCCGCGACGTGGAATTTGAATTCTGAAACTATCTTTAATTTACCACTTTAGCCTTCTTATTTCCATTTTACTTCTCTTCTTCAAAGTCGAAATTGTGAGCAAGTTTCGGTAAAATGAATTCGAACATTGAAGTGAGTCCGTTGCATCGCTCGGAGCGGACCGTTCCGAATTCAGGAGTCCGTCATGTCTTCGAGGGCACGATCCACTCTAACTGCTGACAAATCAGAGAAAATGTCAAAGGAGAAGACAAACGAGCCATTTCTTCTGGCAAAACCGAACAAGAACAACAACATCAAAGCGGCGGAAGAGAAGGACGCCCAAGTGATGTCTCCGAAGAAGTTGGGAGTGATGCCGCGACTGAAAAGACTGGAAATGGACACGATTCCCCTGATGCCAATCGATGAGAAGTTCCGGAAGAGGTGGCACGTGGAGGGAATAATTGGGAAGGGTGGATACGGAGAGATTTATCTGGCGATCGACATGAAAAGGGCCGAGGAAGTGGCGATCAAGGTGGAGCCGAAAGTACGGAAGGGGAAAGTGGCGAGACGGATGGTTCTGGAGCAGGAGGTGCTCGTCAAGATGCAGGGAAAACCGCACGTGCCCATCTTTTTCGCGTCCGGCACACTGACAAATTTAATTTCATCAGTAGGCTGGCAGAGCGTTCTTTGAGAATAAACGTGTGTTTCAGTCCTTCAACTACTGAGCATCAATTTGGGAGACATCCGGAGAATGAGCCCGACTCGCAGACTGAGCAAGCCAACCGTCGGCCGTATCATCAATCAATCGATCGCCGCGCTCCGGGATCTTCACGAGATCGGCTACTTGCACAGAGACGTCAAACCGGCCAATATGTGCTTTGGGATAACTGCCAAGGTATTTCTTCTGCGCTTCCCTTTGATTCCATTCCATTTTTTTGCGTCAGAATCGTCATGTCTTGATGCTTCTCGACTTCGGATTGGTGCGTCGATTTAAAGAACCTGATGGAGAATGGCGGCAGCACCGTCCGAAAGCAGGATTTCGAGGAACCCAGAGATACGTGTCGGTCCGTGTGCACGCAAGACTCGAACAGACGCCCGCCGACGATCTGGTCTCTCTTCTGTACACTTCATTAGAGCTGTTAACTGGAGAACTGCCGTGGAGAAGTATGGAGAAAAGCGAGGATATCTGGAAGATTAAGGAAGCCATGGTGGGTGGACTAGGAGTTCTCTTGTAATATCTGCAAGCGATTACAGCATCACGGACATATGGACTATTTCCACGCGTCGGCCCGCGAACTCTTCGACTTTTCAAAGCTGGTCTCTGGACTCGATCCGATGGCCGATCCTCCATACGCCACTCTTCAGACATGCGTCAAAAAGTTATACGTGCCAAGGAAACTCGTGGATCTCTACGATTGGGAAGAGAATTTCAAGGAGGCGCTGTTGGAAAAGACGTTGTCGACCGACGAGAGCACTAAATAGTTCGTATTTGCTGATTATCTCACCAATAAAATTTTTTTCGGTTTTAATTCATTTTAAATTCGATTGAACATTTGAGCTCGTTTTTCAAGTGAATTCTACCATTTATTCAGAAACAATGCATCAAAAGCTAACGTACGACCACAAAATCGATGACTGAAAAAGATGATACTGTTGAAAAAAAGGTTCGGCATTAGAATCGGAGTTGGCAGCGAGCCAAGGACACGCCCCCCAAATAGCGTGCGGGAGTTGCAACAGAAATTATTTGGGGGACGCGTCCTTGGCTCGCTGCCAACTCCGATTTTAATGTCGAACCTTTTTTTTGAACATTAAGTACATGCGTTTAGATGATTCAGTCCCACGTGGCAGTAGACGTGGACGGCTGCTCCCAGGGTTCTGGAATGCCGAACAGTTCTCGCATCTCCTCCGTCGACTTTCCCTTTGCCATATTCGCGAGCGTTTTGCACGCGATGTTCATGAGGCCTTCAATGTTCAGAGTGTGCGAGGCGGAAATCAAGTCGAACAACTGATTTCTGTCAAGTCTTGCCAAGAACTGTTTGTCCCATTCCGGAATCCGCAAGCTTCTCGGTCGCTTCTTCTGTTCCTCGAGCAGTGCCGGATCGTCGTCTTTGTGCCGTTCACACCATTCGATCACTAATTTGAGAGTGGATGCGATGACGTCTTTGACTAGAAGCGGTCCTTTCTTTTCCCATCCGTCTTTGTCATATCCGAGCTCTTTGATCGATTGTTCGATTGTTTTTGAGACAGAAAGAACGACAACATCTCCATCGAGGATGAATCCGTCTGACGATTTCACTTTTATTACACGACGAGAATTGGAAGGCATTTCTGAAACAATTTTTGCGATTTTTTTTTAAAGTTGCTGATATCGTTTTCATCAGAAGACTTCTCGATTGCTTCCGATTTGTTGCAGAAAATGAAAATCTGATTTTCATTATAATGTTTCAAGCATTTTTCTTTTCAACAGTTGGAACACGAAGAAAAAGTTACCTGATTGATTTTGTGGAAAGTGTCGATGGACTCAGAGGGTAACACTTGCCGCCGACGAGGGGAAGATTCCTGAAAGTGGAAAATTAATTGAAAATCGATACAGCGTTGAAAAGACATTAAACTCTGAACGGCAAAGCCAGAACCGGTTGGAATTCATGAAGAAGATGCCCGAGGTCTTATGAATCAACAGCGCTACAACGAAGGAGAACTCGCACGGAATGGAACTGTTACGATTTGGAACTCGCAACGTTACAATAGCGAGTTCCAAATCGTAACAGTTTCATTCCGGGCGAGTTCTACTTATAGGAACAACTATAGTTGTAGCGCCGAATCAACTGATTGGGTGCGTTCGCAATGGAGCGCGGTTGCCGCCACCCTCTTTTCACAACTTCAGTTCGTTCACAACGTTTTCCATGTTGATCAGTACTCAGTTGATGTCGAAAAAGGAACATTCAGATGGTCATTGAACAGGAATCCAGCTAGTGGCAGAATGGAGAAGAGAAAAATACATTTTGGCGAATTGCAAAAACTGAATTTAAGATTTTTTGGTTCTCTTGTCTTCGACACAAATCAATTCAGTCCACGAGCAGGTCTTGGGGAGAGAGTACGCGGAACCGCCTCGCGTGGAGCACACCAGGAGACTGTTCATTTCATAACATTGCAGGTATTCACTCGACTGCTCTCTCACGGAATATTCCTCCTCCTTGCTGTGTCTTATTATCCTTTTCCGTTATTTTTTGCTATGTCTGTCCTCTAGAAAATAATCTCTAACGATGGCGTGACGTTTAATATGAGCGAAGCCTCTCTGAGTCAATCAACAACTCTCGAAACGCTCGTCTCCTCCCTTGACATCACCCCAGCAGACTCCAACCAGAAGGAGCCGATTCTAGTGGACAAGGTGTCTGGAGCCACCCTCGGGAAGGTTGTCGAATGGGCCGAACATCACAAAGACGACGTCCTTCTGTCGGATCGGGAAAAAGAGAGACAAAGACAGAATTCCACTCCGGAGAAGGACGTGACGTTCCTCAGAAATCTCGAAAACATGGAGTAACTTGTACGATCTCATTTGTGCGGCCAACTTCCCCGAAATCAAGGGGCTCATTGCCGTCGCGTGCAAGGATGTCGCTTTCCGGATCAAGGGAAAATCGCCGAAAGAGCTGAGATGGAACCCTCCGTAAGTGATTCATGAATATTCGCTTTATTTGAGTTCAATAAAGTTTCACATTTTCATGGCATTTTATTGTGATCATTTGATTTGAAGTTCATTAGAGATCTCGGTTAGGCTACCAGTGAAGCGATATTGTACAAAACAATTTGCTGATTGTGAGTATTATTAGTTTATTAGCAAGATTAATATCGAATTGCAATTGTTCAGCTCTTTTCTTATTTGTTATTTCAAAGTCCGTAAACGATTTTCATCTCCGCCGAATTGAGTCCATTTCCGAACGAAGCGACGTGTTTGCAGCAGATGTCAAGAAGTCCGAAAATGTCGAGGAAATTTGCGACGCGGATCAGTTTTGCCAGGTTCCTATCATCAATCGACGCGAGATACTCCAAGTCTTCCGGCGACATGTCTCCAGGTCTTGGGTCGGTTTCCACTTCGTCATCCACTGGTTCGTCTCGGTGATTCTCGCAGTAGGTGATGACCAGCTGGAGCATGTCGGCGGTCACGTCTTCATATGGAATCGGGATCGGTTCCCCGTTATTGAAAGCCGCAGATCTTCGCAGAACTTTCGACTGATTCAACGCCGCCTCCGTGATCTCAAAAGTCTGACCTTCTAACGAGACGAGCTCGTAGATCCTCTCAGGTTCCTCAGGTGGTTCCGCCATCTGAAAATGTAAGCACGTTGGTTTGAAAGCAAAAAAAAAAGGAATTTCGATAAGTAAAAATTCAGATGAACACTGACCAATATGAAGAAAATCAACACAATTTTTGAACAAAATGAAAATTCATTATTAAGGTTAGATTATTACAATTATGACAATCAAATAAAGCAGTCAGTAGGTGAGAATCAATTTAGTTATTACATGTTTGGCATCAATCACTCAAATCGGATATTGGAGAAGGAGGATCGGACGAGGACGCCGACTCCAACTCGGACGGATCCGATTCTTTCTCCTCTGCTTTCTTCTGCTCGTCACTTTTGATATTGAACGTTGCTCGCAGTTGCTCGGCGGTCTTTCCACTTATCATTGTGGCCACCTTCTTGCAGGAACAATCGAGAAGACGGGGCATGTTCAGGTAGTTGGCGGCGTTTATCAGTTCGAACAGCTCACTGTTTGGTATCTGAAACGAAATAAAATATGCGGCCCGAACACCATCGATTTCGTACCGCGAAAAAGTTCCTTTGGAACGTGCCCAGCAAGAGATTTGGGATGTGATTCTTGTCGACACTCTCGACATACGGCGGCACATTCTTGTAGTGATTCATCCATTCGCAGACCTTCGCCATCATTTCAGAGTTCACGTTGTTCGCCGGAATCGGCTCTCTCTTCGTTGTCGGCTGATCGTATTCGAACGAGGTGACCAGTTTTTGAAGTGTATCCGACTGAGAAATCATTTGCAAATCCATCGGAAACTCTTTTCCGTCCGAAGAAAGAACTATGATAGGACCGAACGAAGTGGAAGCGGAAGACGTTCCCGCTTCGGAGGTATCCATCTGTGGTTCTGAAAAAGAGAAATAGTACACCTAGTCGGACGGAATGGAAGCGACAAAATAAGAAATCGATTAAAATGGAGCCACATTAATTCTGAAGTTGTGCGAAATTAGACATTTTCGAGTTATTTTTAAGAAATAGAAGCATGTATTATTAGCAAAAGCGTCAAAAAAGCATGTTTTGAATCACTGGAGTTTGTAAAAACAATTTAGGCCGGCCGCGCGTCAGATTTCGAATGCGCGTGCTTCGAAGCGGTTGTGAAAAGGGCAGGGTCCGCGAGTGCGCTCCACCGAACATTCATATTCTCTCCTGTCTGGGGCTACAGCGAAATATACGAACACAAGCACTGTGCGAGCTTATTCTTGAAGTGAACAAAAAGGGTTCGGAAAAAAATTGAAACAACTTTACTTCAGGGAATTGTTGCTCTAGGCAAAAACAGAGTTACTATTTGAGAAGGCGTACACTATTTTACATGCTTTGAAATTACAATAATACGGACTAAGTGGCATGGGTGATTGATTAGAAAATGGGAGATCGGATATGGGGGAGGGGGTAAATTTCAATTAATCGGACACGAGTCGGCTGCCTCCACGCTGTTCAGTTTTCCTTTTCCTCGAACTTTGGCATCTGGAGAGTGGCTTTTTTGAATACTGCTCCAGTTTTGGCGACAGGAGCGGAAAGATTCACATAATTGAAACGCGTAGCCGGGGTGGCTGCTTGCTTCTTCTCCGCTTTTTCTCGTTCACGACGCTCTGCCCATTCTGACGTGACATCCTTTTTTATGGTCGAAGAAGCTCTGGAGGTGATGGAGGCGGGCCTCTGGAATCAGCGCAATTTCAAATATAACCAAAGCCAATGAGTCTACCTGAGGAGTTATCTGCATGCTCGTCATCGATGTTTGCAGCGGTGCGCTCAGCTCGATGAGTTTCGGTTTCGCGAAAAACGACGGACGGGAGTTGTCGGTCGGTTTGAGAGGAGCGCGGAGTTGCGGATAATCCGAATCGGCATCTTGAACATGAACAGAACGTATTCATCGGGAAAGAATTCGGACTCACTTGCAGTGTTGACAGCAGACCGTAATTTCCTGTTAAGACACTCCACGTCGAACTGCAACTGCTCGATCTTCACTTGCTGATTCTCATTCTCTTGCTGAAGTCCTCGAATCGTCGTCACGTGCTGCTCGTTCATTTTCAGAATTTGATCCTGTCCGCCTTTCACGCTGGCAATAGAACACTTGAAAGACTCGAAATATCCGGCAACGAGGTTTCCGAGATCTCTTTTCGGCACCGTCTTCATTTTTGTGAAAAGGCGCTCCCAGAGATGTGTTCTCTCCAGTTCCAGCTCGTGAACTCTTTCACGGAGCCGTCTCATTTCTTTCACGTCGACGTCGTTGATGGCGGTTCGGACGACGAGCCCTCGATTCATTGCACTGCGAGCCCGTTCCTCCGCGTCTTCCTTTTCCAAATTGAGCCGTTTCACCAATTGTGCCAGCTGTTGCTTTTCTTTGAACACTTGACGCAGATCATCTTCCAGTTTTCGTTCAGCCTCCATTGCCTAAAATTCGACATTTTTTTAGTGCTTCGAGAAGACAACCCACCTCTGCAAAGATCGAGTTTCCGCTAGTCGCGTGCTTTCCATGGCCAGAATTCTTCAAATCAAACAGTTCTCCCTCTAATCTTGATATTTCCTCCTCGCGCGTTTTCATGTGGCTCTCCAAACTTCTAACG